TCAGCACCAGTGGATTCAGCACTTAGTGGATTCAGCACCAGAGGCAGCTGGACCAGATTCGGAAGCACCAGTAGATTGAGCACCGGATTCAGAAGCAGTACCTTCAGTAGATGGAGCGGATTCAGAAGCACCAGTGGATTCAGCACCAGAGGCAGCTGGACCAGATTCGGAAGCACCAGTAGATTGAGCACCGGATTCAGAAGCAGTACCTTCAGTAGATTGGGCACCGGATTCAGAAGCACCAGTGGATTCAGCACCAGAGGCAGCTGGACCAGATTGAGAAGCAGTACCTTCAGTAGATGGAGCGGATTCAGAAGCAGTACCTTCAGTAGATGGAGCGGATTCAGAAGCACCAGTGGATTCAGCACCAGAGGCAGCTGGACCAGATTGAGAAGCAGTACCTTCAGTAGATTGGGCACCGGATTCAGAAGCACCAGTGGATTCAGCACCAGAGGCAGCTGGACCAGATTCGGAAGCACCAGTAGATTGAGCACCGGATTCAGAAGCAGTACCTTCAGTAGATGGAGCGGATTCAGAGGCACCAGTGGATTCAGCACCAGAGGCAGCTGGACCAGATTCGGAAGCACCAGTAGATTGAGCACCGGATTCAGAAGCAGTACCTTCAGTAGATGGAGCGGATTCGGAAGCACCAGTGGATTCAGCACCGGATTCTGAAGCAGTACCTTCAGTAGATGGAGCAGATTCAGTATTTGAGGTTTCTGTAACTTCGCTGGAGGTGTAGGTGAAGGATGATGAGGATTCATCATATTCACTAGATGGGGTAACACTTGAAATGATTGTTTCAGTAGAAGTTAATGGACAGTAGGTGGTAATAACTGTGACTGTTTCAGATTCGGTAACTGTGATGACAGTAACACCTGTTTGGAAGGTAGATTCAGTACAGACGTGGTTATGACAATCAGTAGTAGTAATGACTGTGGTAACGGTTGCTGTGTGAGTTTCATAAGATGTTGACCAAATTCCAGTTGGAGATTCAGTTGTGGAAACTTCTGAAGATGTGGTTGGAGATGCAATTGTAGTATCAGAACTAGTTGGTGGGAGTGAACTACTTTCAGTTGATTCACTGGTAGTAAGCAAGGATGAGGAAGTTCCAGAACAAGTGAAAATAGAACATTTAGTCTTAGTGTAGACACAGTGGTTGGAAGTGTACTTGCTAGTGGTACAAGTGGTAGAAACTGTTGGAGTAGCTACAGAACTGACTTCGGTGGTACTAGCAGTTGTTGGAAGGGAACTACTTTCAGTAGCATCACTAGTGGACAACAATGAAGATGAACTAGATGAGACAGTGTAGATGGAACACTTGGTAGTGGTGTAGACCCAGAACAACTTGGTGTAGGAACCGGTGGTACAGGTAGTAGCGACTGTTGGAGTAGCTACAGAACTAACATCAGTAGAAGTGGCTGAAATAGAACTACTTTCAGTTGATTCACTGGTAGTAAGCAAGGATGAGGAAGTTCCAGAACAAGTGAAAATAGAACATTTAGTCTTAGTGTAGACACAGTGGTTGGAAGTGTACTTGCTAGTGGTACAAGTGGTAGAAACTGTTGGAGTAGCTACAGAACTGACTTCGGTGGTACTAGCAGTTGTTGGAAGGGAACTACTTTCAGTAGCATCACTAGTGGACAACAATGAAGATGAACTAGATGAAACAGTGTAGATGGAACACTTGGTAGTGGTGTAGACCCAGAACAACTTGGTGTAGGAACCAGTAGTACAGGTAGTAGCCACTGTTGGAGTAGCAACGGTAATTGAACTGCTTGCAACAGTCTTAGTCGTTGAAACCAAAGTAGATGATGTTCCAGAAACAGTGAAAACAGAACAATCAGTGGTTGTATAAACCCAGAACCAGTTCTTAGATGTACCAGTAGTACATGTAGTAGACAAACTTGGGTGAATATTTACACTAGTCTTGGTAATTCCACCAGTATTAGAAGTGGTAGTAGTTGGGTGGATATCAACACTTGTCTTTGTAATTGAGCCAGTACTAATAGTAGAAGTGGATTCATCACAATTGCTTGGTTTTGACCAATGCCAATACCATGGCTTCGATTTTGTAGAATGGACGACAAGGGTTTTAGAACAGGTAGATTTGATAACTTCGTGAGAGGTAGTCAATGGACAATAAGTAGTATAAGCAGTGGTAACACCAGAATGAATAGTGGTGGTTTTAGTAACACCAGTAGGGGTAGCATGATTGGAACATACACCTCCAGAACATTTGGTAACAGTAACCATAGTTGTAGAAGGAGCATATTCAGTGACCCAGTACGTAGTTTCTTGGTCATTATCTTTATTCATATTAATGACCCCCGCTGCTGCGGCAGATACAATACCAGCCAAAGCGACAATTGACTCGAATTTCATAGCGGTTCAAATGGTTTGGTCGATAGCGAATGGAAAACAAAAAAAAAGGAGAAAGAAAATTCCAAATCTGAATATATGTTTTGTAGATCCAGGAAATGAATTCTTATTTATACAACCATACCATTCATTCAAAGGAGGCGATTGATCAGCAAAATGCAAAAAAAAGAAAAGTAAAAAAATCAGAAATGTTAACCAAACTTAGTGAAAAACATTTTGTACTCTCTGGCACCTTTCCATACTAATCAGTCAAATATCCTTATAATGAAGTAGGGTCCGGCAAGGCATTTTTCCAAACAAGTAATCACAATTAATCTTTTAGCATCAAGGGCTAAACTGCAAAAATTCCAAACCATTTAGTGAAACTTTCCGAATGCATAGGCTATACGCAAAAAGGAAAACCATTTTTCTTTTTTTATTTTTATCATTATTGATGTAAAATAAAAAGTAATCAAGCGTCAGAAAGATTTTCAAGTGATAAATTTTTTTGTTGATTTGATAGTTCGCGATGATTTTGCGCCAGGTCGTGTACACGCGTGAATTTTTCATTATTTTTTTTTTTTTCTAACCGCCAATTCTACAGCAAGTTTAACATACACAAAACGAAGGGATGAAATACACATATGAACCGCAATGATGTGAATTCCGATTGGGATAATTTCCGGAGTGCTGAGTATATATTGCCTGCAAAGGACAAAAGTAACAATTAGTGTATAAATTAAAGCGTGCATACGCTGACGGTTTGACTTCGTGTTTGTACTGACAACAACTCAGGGTATTCCATTAGCTGTGTAGTAGAAATATCCTTCTGATTCACAATTGTAAATTTACCCAAGCATTTCTGGGTTGAAACAGTTCTGTTTTGGGTTTGAGCAAAGTGTTTTTGTCGGTGATCAATTCTCCGCTGTGATAAAAGTGTGAAGTGTTGGGCGGGTATTTGCATTTTGATGAGTATATATTGAAACAATGGATTAATTCGAAGAAAAAGGCTCCTGATATAAAGTTAAAGTGGGTGAAAAGGGAGAAATGTGTGTGTGATAGAGATGCACCCATAACGGAATCAGCCTGCAGAGATTAAAAAGGGGGCAACCTACTACCACGCATGTATCAATTGATGCTGCAGAAAAGTATGTCCGCCATATCCGATGGTTGACATCTTCTTGATTCGATACTGGTATTCATATTACTGCTTCAAGGTAGGAATACTTGATGTTCAAGTGTAGAGTGAAAGTTTTTTACTGGTTGAAGTAAAAAGTTGGTACGAGAGTATAGTTGGATTTTTGCATTGAGAAGAATAGCAAAGTTGACGAGCGAAATACAGTTGCTGTAAATCCTTAGGTAATGTGAGACAATGTTTTGCTAGGATATCAAGTGGCGATCATTATTTTGAAGTGATCCGATTTAGTGAAAACAAAGAAACAAAGCCATGTAAAAGATGCAAATTATTAAAATTAATATTATTATCATTGTATAAATTAATTTTGTGCATAACAATGTATATCCATTAAATATATATATATATATATATATAAATTCAGGCGATTGGAGCAATTAAAGGAACGTCCATCTCTCATCTCAATCTATTGGTCGAAGAGTTTTGATATCACAAGTAATAAAACTTCTTCAGGTGATTTTACATCATGCCCGAATTTCGGGCACCTGTTGAAAGTTCGTACACATGTTTGGTCTAGTTTCCAGCAGAAAGGGATTATGGTACCGTATATGTGAACCATAATGAACATTTTGAGTCTTTAGTGTGTTTCAACAAATATTAAATTGTTGTAGGCTAGGTGTTTTGTACCATGCATGTGACCAGCAATGTATTGGTTATTAACATTCTTGTTCTTAACCAAATTTCAGTGAGAGTTAAGAAATAATTTCCAACAATCCTATAAAAGACACAAAGAACAACTGTATCCTTCTTCACTTCTCTTCCCTTCTTTCTATTCCATTTTGTGGAAAAATGGAAAAATTTTGAACAATTGGCTAATCACAAAGAACCAATCCTTGTAGGGTGTTCATTCTTCCCTTTAAAAGCTTGCATGCATTAAAATTCCCCGGGCTCATTAATGTGCTCATTAAAATTTTGCACAAAGAATGATGAAACACAAAACTAAATAAGACAAACAATGAGTGGGTCAAATGCACCCTGATAGAGAAGAAGACCACCGAACAATAAGGCATTCCTTTGTACTCTTCTCCTTCTCCTTTGTCTTCCCCCTCGCCCTCCCCATTTCCATTTCCATTTCCATTTCCATGGGCAAATGGAATTTCAAGTTTCCCACTTTTGCTCAATTTCATTGGTTGATTGGTGGCTGGGGTGGTCGTTTTAATTACCGCGAATTTCCCACTAGTACAAATTGTATATTTTATTTTTGGTCCACAATGAAAATACACAAGTAAGGAAGTGTATTACGAACTACAGTATGACTTACATTACATACGAGCTTGACTGAAAAAAAAAAGGAAAATTCCCTCAACAAGTATTCAGCTGTAAAGTCAATGAATCGTCAATCCGATTAAACAAGATTATCCCTTGCATCAATGTAAATGTATTTATAGACATAGTAGAGCCAGATGGTTGACGAACAATATTGGTTATGAAGGTGAGCAAGATATCTTCGTCTATCAACGCACACAACACTTGCATGCGGTTGACCGGTTTGTCGATTAGAACATTTTACATATCCCATCGTAAAAGACAGCTTATTATTAAACAATGGTAATAAATATTTGAACAAGAATTGGTGCATCAAACAGAACAAACTTCTAAGCATTGTTATAATTATTATAATTTGACTTTAGTGGTAACCCTTTCGTTCATTCCTTTTTTTCCTTTGTTACTATTTCAGTTATGGAAACTCCAATAATAAATTCCTGCTTCCAAAAAGCCACAATTTGAAGAGACACGGAAACTAATGATCAACAACGATGATGTTGCTCAATAGAACAGTCATCTTTATGTGTTCCAACTCTCTACTAAGAAAATGATGTTTGTGTTTCCGGCCAATCATTAGCCCGAGGCAAAACTGCTAAAAGAAAAAAAAAATCCGGGAATAAGACTTGCTCTGGTGTGTTCATAGTTGAATAAATGATTCCATTTATAGAATAAAAGACATTCGTCTGTTTCTTTCTTTCTTTTTCACCACTTTTGTCATTACCTTCCACTAGTACTCCAGGCGGTTAAAAAAAAGAGAGACAGGCGTCGGTATTACCGAAATACACAGATATGATTTTTTTTGACGGGGAGGAGCGCGGATAGATAGATTCCTCTATTCCAAATGTTATGAGCATTGGACTTACCCTTGGCTTCTTCTGTTTCACCTTGGTGTAGAAACAAAAGATGGAGTTCCACTTGCCTTTGTCATTAAAAGAGCGTATATTTGGGTATTGATTCTAGAAACAGGGTAATTCACAGAGAAAATTAAAGTCGCCATCTTTTAAATGGAACATTCTATAGTTTGTAGAATTTAAAGAATTATCTATAAACATTCCCCAGTTCCATTCCCTGGATTACAAAACCAAAAACTATCCCACATAACCTCGTACGTTATTTTTCCATGTCTTTTCATTTCTTTTTCATTGTTGGCTGTTGTTCTTTTTGGGGTAATGTAAATAGTTCAGGAATTAATCCAACATGGAAACTCGCCCTTTCATGCATCGAAACTAATTAGTTATCATGTCGGATAAAGTTGCCATTAATTGTTTGAAGCACAAATCAATCAATTCTGGGAAATAAAGTCTAAGAAAAACCAAAAACATAAAACAAAAATAATAACCGTTGAAGAATAATATATTGTGAATCATGTGTTTCTAAATTGTAAAAAATTCGCTTAGCCCGATATTTGCTGTTTTTTTAGTCTAGTTAAGATTTATGATTACTAATTGGATCGTTTATGGGCTTAACGACTTTTTCATCAAGATGAAAAGAAGACAGCAAACAGAAAATAGTTGCAAATGACCTAAAAAAAAATTTTTTCTTTCTTTTTTTGTTGTTCAAAAGTTCCCAGTATTTTTGCAACCTATGCATACACATGAAATTTACGTCACCGCAGTTTCCCTGCTCTTCACTTCTCTTCTCTTCTCTCCTCTTCTCTTCAACTATCTTCTATTATCTTACCTCATCATGCTTGACAATTCTTGGACAGGGCCGGAAAAATAAAATAAAAGAAAAAGAAAAAGAAAAAGAAAAGAATGAACAGCAAGGCAAAGCTATGCGAAGCTATGCAAATCTATGCAGGGAATGTTGAACAGTAGTCAACTAATGTTGTTTTCTTCATTTACGCTTCTTTAATATTAAGTTTCAGATTGGTATTGTTGATCATCGAAAGGATTTATGTTCTTCGTCTAATTACAACTCGCAATTACGCCTTGAATGATTATACTGGTACTTATATTTTACGTCTAATCGAGGCGAACATTTACTTAAGATGAACATCGAATATACAATAAACCATCATATGATCTAAAATACCCATCTCTCGATTGTTTGTCTCTACTGCAATATCAGTCTGGTTATTGTTATCTATTCAATGATTTTCAGAATTTCAGATTTTTCTTTTTTCTTTTTTTTTTGACTTGCTGTTGTTAAATTATCTTTTTGTGTAATAAATTAATCCAGGGATATTTCTCGTGATATGCTTCACGTGTAATGTCACGTGATTATATAACTTATGTTGGTTACTTTACTTATTATCTTGTTAATAGCTAAGTAATTGTAGATCATGAAGTGTTAATACTTTAACATATTGTATTTGTAATATGTCTTTTTTTTGTAATTTATTTTTTTTTTGCAATTGTACATTTTACTACATTTTCGATTCAAATTTTAAGTAAATTCAATAGAAACCTAACCCTAACAAACGCTACCAAATGGTGGTATTAAATAATGGTACATAATTCAATAACCATTGTCCACAGGTTTACATAATTGTTATATAATTATTACTAAACAACCAATTGAGCTCCTGATACTAATTATAGAGCAGTTTATAAATGTTGGTGCAAGATTGTCACATCTCAAGTATCGAGCTGATTTAATATTATGTCCATTTGAACAAACAAAAAATTTATTAGAATCAACTGACTACTTTAGGGTATTCTTTAAAATATCAAACATCTAATGGATGTAATTTCCTGTTCATGAAAATTCATCTTGTACATGCTTTTAAGGAAAATAAAAATAAGTCACGTGACTAAAATTGCTTGAGATGTACAATACTACAAAGATATCAGTGTAAAAATATTAACAAAACTGAAAATATGGACTATTCATTCTAAAGATATTGTTTGAGATTAAGTTGGCAATAGTTATTCCAAAAGGGTGTCATTAATGTGGTTCATTTAACGCTAATATTTTACAAGCTACATCCGAATATCCTGAAGTTAGAGATTTTTTTTACCATTAGACAAAATACATTGTAATAATGGTAAACACGTTCTATTAGGTATACTAGTCATTCGAGAGGATCATTGTCACCCATTGTATGTGAAAAAAAACAGCAAATTGAAATTGATAATTGCTAATTCTGACAAAATCACAAGAAATTCCTAGATCTTGTATAACTATCTGATATATAAAGATTGCGCACTAGTCCGTATTTATCAGAGACTTTTCTTATCATCTTGTTAATGTGTAATCCCGGCCTTCCGGTTTTGTTCGGTGCGCCGGTAGCTGATCCGAGTCTAACTTTAAAGCAAAAATAAAATAAAAAAAAAACGCAATTAATTTTGACATGGAAATCTATAAAGATACGACAAGATGGATGAGGATTGTAAATATCGTTAGTGGTTTCTGTTAATTATTTCTTTTTCTATATTTCACTTATATCGTCAGAACCAATGAAAGTATCATCATTTGATCCACGACCGGAAATATTTAAATCTCAATTTCATGAAATCATAGTGGTTGGATTGATATGTTTAGCGCAATTACTCACCCAAGGTGGTATAACCATGTCATTATCTTCAATGAATATAATTTTAAAATCCTTTAATAGTATTGATTCAACTAAACAAGTCTGGTTTATGGGATCTTATGCTTTAACAGTAGGAACATTTATTTTAATAAGTGGGAAATTAGGAGATATTTTTGGATTAAAATTAATATTTGTCATTGGTTGGATTTGGATAACTATATTTTCAATAATAACAGGCATTTCAAATTATGTATCCATTGAATTTTTCATCATATGTAGAGCATTACAAGGAATTGGATTTGCATTATTGATACCTTGTGGAATGGGAATATTGGGACATATTTATCCTAATGGGAAACGTAAAAACTTTGCCTTTGGTTGTGTTGGTGCTAATGGTCCAATTGGTGCTTATATTGGTGCAATAATGAGTGCTGTTATATCTCAATTATGGTGGTGGCCATGGAATTTCTGGATATTAAGTATAGTAAGTGCCGTACTTACCGTGGCATCTTGGGTATTTATTCCAAATGTGAATATTCGTGATACAGTTGATTTATTTAATAAATTAGATCCATGGGGGTGTTTAACTGGGGTTTCAGGGTTGATTTTATTGAATTTTGTATGGAATCAAGGTCCAATTCAAGGATGGAATACAGTATATGTAATTGTATTGTTGATTGTTGCTGTTTTATTCATTATTGCATTTTTCTTATTGGAATTACATGTGTCCAAGTATCCATTAATACCGAAACCAATATTCAATATTAAAATCGGAATGATTCTTGCTTGTATAAGTTGTGGATGGGGATCATTTGGAGTTTGGCAATACTATTATTGGAATATTATAATGAATCTTCGACAGTACACTCCCATTGAAGGTGGATTGACGTATACTCCATTTTTAGTATTGGGGGTGATTGCCTCATTGTTTGTTTCCTATGTTATTTCACATACGAAACCATCTTATATTATATGTTTTGCTACCATTTGTTTTATGATAGGAGATTTGATGTTAGCTGTAACACCAATCAAACAATCTTTCTTTAGGTTAACTTTTGGGCAAATGTTTATCTTGTGCTGGGGTATGGATATGTCATTTCCTGCTGCTTCAATAATCCTCAGTGACATATTACCCAACCATCATCAAGGTATGGCTGGCTCTTTGGTATCCACGATGATTAATTACTCTGTGAGTTTGTTCTTGGCAATGTCAAGTTGTGTTGAGATTGAAATCATGAAGCGTACTAATGATCAGTTGTTGAGTTATAGAAGTGGGTTATATTTTGGTATAGGAGTTGCTTGTCTTGGTGTCTTGTGTTCAGTGATCTTTATATTTATCCAAAAGGATGATGGTGCAGGCACGAATGATTTGATCAAGCAACAAGAGTTTATAGATTCAAGTAAGGAAAGCTTATAGAGTGATAGATGTGCAAATTGCCTAATCTGGAAATCTACCGAGCGGCGTTCTGTGCATTTCCCAAATTGGGAAATTTTAAGGAACTTGCCAACAAAGAAAAACGAGAAATTCTCTAACATGAACAAATCTCCACCACTACGAATAAATTTTTCAATCATTTACAATTTCCATCAACAAGTGTTCTTTTCTACAATTGAGTTTAAACAAAGATGAAGCTGTCATTATTACCGGTATTATCCTTAATTCCACTATCACTAGCCAGATCATTCTACGTAGCTACAAATCAAAACGTGGCATGTTTAGAAATTAAAACCCCATCATCATCAATATCACTTACTAAAACTATAGGTACAGCAAGTGGAGCCAATCCACCAGTATTGATATTTAATTATAATGATAGAAATCTATTACCAATTCCAAATTTTGATTATTTAGTAACTGATAGGAAAATTGATGATTATTTCAATGAAACTGGATTTCTTTTCCCAAAGGGAATTCTGGGGTCTACATATAATGATATATTAATTGATACTTTAGAATATAATATTAGTACACCAGGAACTTATTGTATTTATTCACCAATTATTGATGGTTATGAATATCGTGTTGATATTAATGAATCGAATATATATTTGGATAATGTGATTTTCTGTATGGTTAATATCTTATCTAATTTATTCTTTACTGGGTTTTTTGGTAAACAAAAGAAAGTGATTTTTAAATTAATCAGTAAATTTACCTTTTTGAAGGTGATTCTTTATGGAATTTCATTAGTGTTATCATTAAAATTTAATATTATTCAATATACTGAAGATTTGGCATCAGCTGTGGATGAAGTTTTCACATTACTATTCTTACTTGGTTATGGTACTGTCTACGCCAATTATGAAAATCAAAATGTTAAAAGAATTGCTATTGTTACTATATTAACTATTACTCCATCGATTTTATCTCGTTATTTTGATTTGAAAACAAATGTAACCAACATTGTGATTAATAACAAATATTACAATGTAGCTAATGGCGTTTTAGGGTCAGATAAATTTGATGGGTTGAGTGTTTTGAAAAGAGTTGTTCGTGATGTTAGCATTCATAGATTCAGTGTTCCTATTGCATTTTTATATGGGTTGAGTAAGTTTGTTAAATTGACCACTTTTATTTATGCTTTTAGACAAACTTCTGCACAATTAGTAGGTGGAACCAAAACAAGTTATACTTGGAGTGTTATCCTTTGGTTATTTGTCTATCCATTAGCTAGCTTTGGATTATATCCTGATTTGGTTTACAATTATTATAAAGTTCTTGATTATAGTAAAGTATTGGCTGAGTTTAATTTGCAATTTTTAAGAGATAAATATTGGGTGTTGTTTTTGGATGAACTCCATTGGTTGTTATTCTATTCTCTTTGGTTTGCTGGTGTTAGAGGCTTGGTTGTGGATGATGGTGTTGCTGTTGATAAAGACAAGAAACAAGAGTGAGTGCTACCATATGATATTGTGATTCTTTGCGAGAGAAGAAAAAAAAAAATCCACGAACAAAAATGTAAACAAAAAAACAATTCACTTCATTTCAACCAAGCAACCAAGCAACCAACCGTGTATCCATTCACTCACGTATAGATGTGTGAGTTTTCATAGATCACGTTACTTCAAATAGGAAATATATTCATTGTCTACATATATAATACTACGTTGTTTCATCATAATATTATTTTGATCTGTGTACTTTTCATTCATATAATTCCCTTGCATTTTGTTTCATCCCTGTTTCATATCAAATAAATACCATGGCTTTAGATAATATAAAATCCCCATCACCTTCACGAGAGGAAACTAGTAATAATAAAAGACCCTTGTCAGAAATATCACCAAATATACCACGAACTTCTAAAACAATAGGATTCAAGAAAAGAAGAAATTCATTAGGATTTGAAATGGCTAGTATTCCAAGTAATTTTAAATCCAAAATCCCACAACTTTCAAATTCTTTAGGGTCATCTTCAGGTTCATTAGGAGGGTCATCATCAGGATCATCTGCAGGTTCAACATCATCTTCAATATCAATACCACAAGGTATACTATCTATTCAAGAAAGATTAAAACGAAAATCAACAATACGTCTGAATTTTAAAAATGTTCAATCTGTTGTTACTTCATCTACTTCACAAATAAGTGAATTACAAGAAGAATATTATTCTTTAAATGAATCTTATAAACGACAAGCACAATTTTTAGAAAATCAAGAAATTGAATTGAATAAATTGAAACGAATTTTTAAAAATACTTATTATAAAATTGAAAAAATTTCAAATTTAATTAATGAAAAACAAATTCATTTGGAATTTATTGAAGAGGATATTGTATCATTTATTGAACAAGAAGAAAAATTGATTAATTTGAAAATTAAAGAATATGAAATGAAATTAAATTCTCAATTTAAAGAATTGGAATTTGAAATGATGAATGAATTGGAAGATGCAAAAAAATTTGATTTTACCGATTTGATTGAAAATGTTGAAAGTTTGACTAGAAAGAGAGATGTTGTAAAGAATGAAATTGAAGAATTGAAAGAGAAGGTAAATGAAAGATTGAATGAAGAAACAAAAATGTTTGAAACGGAATTGGCAAATAAGATTGAACCTTTAGTTGAACAGAAGAAAACAATACAACTGGAATTGGATGATAAAAAGAAGGAACTTGAAAAAATTCTGATGGAACATTATCAACAAGAGTCTACGTTAGTAGAGAAACAAACTGATATTGATGTTGTCAAACATGAAATTTCTAGAATTGAACAAATTATGAATAATTTCCAAGCAACCAAAAAATCACTAGAATCAGATCTTGATAAAGTTGATCAAGAACTATCTTCCATAATGACCAAAGATTCTGAAGAACAAAAGGAATATGATATTATTCATTCAGAATATTCCATCCTTCGGAATAAGATTTCCAAACATGATCATCAACGAAGAGTTTTAGAAAATTCAATAATGGAATATGAAGGTAAATTCCGAGTTTATGGAATTGGTACCGATGTCAATTTATTTAATAAATCATTTACTGTAAATAACCCTTCGAGTTTTATAATTGAAGAATTTCAATGTTTGGTTAAATCAGTATTGAAAAATCGTAATGTTTGTATTATTAACAATTATCTACCTGGTGGATCAATTGTAATTAATTCATTTGAAAATTTCAAACAACAAAATAGTATCTATCAATGTATTTCTATAAAAGATGATGATATTTGTGATTTATTAAATTCAAACATGTCGGTGGATACTTTATTTCAACATCAAAAAATGATTATTGATGATTTTGATCAATTTAAACAAGTTGTTGAAGATTTAGATTCTACTATATCTGAAGAATTAGCTATTCATATTATATCCAATGAAAAGACGAAATTCATTGTGGTTGATTGTTCAAGAGTAGATATTGACAAACAAAAGAATATACTTTCAAGATTTATAAAGAGTGATATCAAGGGTAATGATTTCTTGGGTTGTTTGTTGAATTGGTTATATAAAAATTGTACTGCTTTGTTTTTATACGATGCTAAAGATCAAGAATCAATCAATTTATTAAATACTATAAATTCTATAGATATACCTTCTTAATCAATATAGAAAGGAAAAATAAGAAGTAAATTAAATTTTAACTACTCATAGTCATTCTTTTTTTTTTTTATTGATCACATTGTTGATACAAGATCATGTAATACCCATTTCAATTCATCAGCAGAACCAATATGAGCATCGGGTCTTGGTATAACTGAAGAATTTGAATTATCTTTCTTTTGAGGAGATGATGTGGTACTAGCAGGAGCACCAGCTGCAACTGCAGATTCTTTAGCAATATATTCTATACTTTTTGGAGGTAATTCATAATCCAAACCATTTCCATCATTTATCATATCATCATTTTCCAACATAACATTAGATAATCTTAATTTTGGACCATTTGGTTCAATTAAATGAGGATACATTTCAAAAGTATCATATAAATCCTCAATACATAAGGTTATATCTTTACTTGATGTGGCTTCTTCAAATTTACTTTTACTTTTACCATTATTAGTAGTTGATGTTGATGTAGTGGTGGTGGTGGTAGATTTATCTAATGGAACATAACTATCATTAGTATATTTATTCTTTCTAAATTTAGCAACATCAATTGCAGTTTCAACGATATTTTTCAAATGAGATTCTAAACCTAATAATAAAACTTCCATCACACCTGGATTCATACCACCAGTTAAACCATATTCTCTCATGGTCATCAACATATGTCTTGATAAATTGTCATAATCAGGAATTTCATAATTTTCTGTTGCTATTGGTGTATTAATACCATTTAAAACATCTTGTTGCCATTGAACAAGATTATTCACTTGTAATTGTTGCTGTTCTTTATCTTGAATCATAGGAATTTTAGGTAAAATAGAATGTCTAGTAAGAATAATATCAGTTGCAATTTTATTCTTTTTACCACTATCTCTTGAAATATCAATGATTCTTTTACGTTCCTTAACAGGTAATCCCATGATAATACTTTTAAATTTCTCAAGTTGATTATTCTTATTCTTTGTAATTTTACCAGATTTTTTATTAAAGAAATTAGAAAATTCATTTGATAATTCCATAGGATTGTCTTTTAAAGAATTAGCAAAATTCAATAATAATAATTTATTATGATATTTCAATAATTTCTTCTCTTTAAGAATGGGTATTATAATAGATATTAATTCTTGACGTGATAATTTACCAATTAAAAATAGACTCAATGTTTCATGATATTTCTCCCAATTCCTACCTAATTTAGTTTGAAACTCTCGTATTAGTTTCTCCATTTCTAATCTCTTAAAACTCTTTGCTTTCTTTTGAGGTTGTCCAGCCATCCCTGTCGCTGTTGAAGGTTGCGTGGTTGTACCTTTAGTTGTTGTTGTTGTTGTTGTAGCAGTGGTGGTGGTATTTGCCGTACCATTCTTGTTTAGTGGATTGATAGCAGAAGATGTGGCTGTGGAACTAGTAGTGGTAGTATTTACTTGTGAAGTCATACTGGTTGGGGGTAATAATAATTATTAACTATAAAAGATTGCAAAATTAGGATTAAAGGAAGTGTTGCAGATTATACTGATGAAAAAATGAAAAAAAAAAAAAAAAAGATTACAGGATTAATGCTAATGAAATATATGGAAATGAAAATAATGAGAAATAAATAAATAGTAATAGATTAATGTGTTAGACAGACTCACGTGATCCAATAATAATAATAAAAACAACAATATTGATTGATTGATTGGTTGATGGATGGATGGATGGATGGATAGACGGTTGATTGATTCTGTTGATTCTGATTGATTTGGTCGACAGTCAAATTTTTTTTTTCTTTCTCTCTGTTGGGTTTTTTTGTTTATCACAAAATTTGGCAAACAAATTTTTTTTTGTTTGTTTGGTTCATGAGAGATTTGATTTGTATGGTGTTTTTGTTGATTCACGTGATTGATACACAGGTTGTGGATAGAATAATGTGTAAGAATGAACATGTCTCCTAGTAATAATATACTATTCATTTGAATGGTTTTTGATAATAAATGAGAGCGAGTAAGTTCATTGTCTTGTATGTGTAGTAGAGAAATATATCAGAGACAACTTCTTAAAAGAAAAAGTCGGTACGATTGTATTGGTAAAGGAACGACCGTCATTGTTAAAAAAAAACCAACAGTCACGGGTAGATTGCTGACTAATCAATGATGCCCGCACCCAGTTAGTTCTATACTTTCAGCAAGTATCTGGTGACAGTTCATAACCAGTAGAACAGAGCAGTTGTCGTATTTTATCGTTGTCTAGAGGGACATCTTTATTTAAAGCCTAGTTGAGGTATTAGTATTAGTGTGTCGCGTGGTGCCAGGCATTTTTGCTTACAAATTAAACTATGCTAATCTAAAACCCGAAAAGCACTAAATAATAGATTACAAACTATTTGGGTAATTCCGGTATCATGTCCCCACATAGCGGAATATCCAGTTATAATAATAATAATAATATGAAGAGGAGGAGTCTTTGTGATTTCACATTATATCTGACTATAGACCAATGCACGACTCTTTTCATGCAACGTGGATTTTCATAGTTATGAGTCGAAGTTTAATTGTAAATATGAACACTTTTGCGCTTATACCAGCCAAGAAACAGATTGTAATGACAATGAAGTAGTTAAATATTTTGGAACTATTTAACTTCCCTTGGGTAATCTGATGCCAACGAACTAAACCCGAGACGAGGAAGTTAAAGATCCAACATCTTTGTAACTTACAAGATCGTTCCGAGACTCGGGATGCGGCTACACCCGAGAAATTTTGCTTGGCCCAATTTATTGTTCGGGATGTGTGTGTCATCACCAAAAAGTCGATGGTTTGCGGATAAAGTGACAATGATTATAATATTTTTTTCTTCTTTCTGTTTTAAAAAAATATATATATAATAGAAGATGATCCCTGTTTAGTCCAAATTGATCTAATTTACATAAATTATCATTTATTCTTTTCAGTATTTCATCACAATCATCATCACTTGTCAAAGATGTCAAATTTACAGGAATCAAGCTCTGATTCAAAGAGATCAGAATTACCTCCAACTACTAGTTCAGAACATTCAATACAACATTTCATCCCAACAGCAAATTCCGACAGCAGTCAACTAGAAGCACAAAATGATAATCAAGATGATTATAACGAATTAGGAGAATCAATTTCAAGACAATCAACAGTGCTACAAAGGTTTCAAAGTAGATATTCATTTTTCAGTAAAAAAATAGACAAACAAAGAAATGATATCTATCTCAGTTTTTTAAAAGTATATTTGATCATAGCAATTGGCTGTCTAGGTGTGTTTTCTATTTATTGGGGATCATTTTATAGGAGACAATCCAGAGTTAAAAATCTAAGAATGTTGGTGGTTTTGGAAGATCAACAATCCGATGAAATACCTCCTATTTATGGGAATCAAATGAGAGAGTTATTGCAAACAGGTTATGTTAAACTGCTCGGTGATTGGCATATTTATAACTACACGGAATTCGAGGAAATTGCCATAAAACACAATAATACTGTCGAGGAAGAAGTGATACGAGAAATCCATCATCAACAATACTGGTCTTGTATCTATATCAAACAAAATACATCTATTGATATTTATAATGGTTTGGCCAATGGTCAGTTTTTCAATGCTAGTAATGCCACATATTCTTATTATGAAACAGGAAGACATTTGACAAGCATGCCAACTATTATTCAGTCCATTCAAGAAGTACAAACTTTATGGCTCGATGAGAATCTGGTAATGAGTGAGATAATTAAATTGGGAAATATCACTTTAGATAATGAAAATTCCATAAACACAGCAATACAATCATTAGGATTCCAATTGGTGGATCGTATACCATTAGTCAATGATGTCCTTATTGCTAGTTTGCAAATTGGTCTTTTGTATTTAGTTATTGTTAGTTTCTTCAGTTTCAATTTCTTCGATGGGGTTCATAAATCAGTAGCGCAAGTGGTTAAAAAACCGCATTTTTTACTTTATAGAACAATTTCTTCTATTGTTTCATATTTTGTTATTAGTTTAATGTTTGGATTGGTTACATTGGCATTCCAAGTGAGTTTCTCAGTTACGTTTGGCAAATCAGGTTTTTTGGTATACTGGATGGTTACTTTTCTCACTATGTGGACAGTAGGATTAGCTTCTGAGTTGGCTGCTTTGATAATTATTCCAATTTACCCTCCATTGTTAGGATTTTGGTTAATTTTCTGGGTTATCATTAATATTACTCCTTCGTTTACCCCAATAGCTCTTCTACCAGAATTTTTCCGATACGGGTATGCTATGCCATTGCATAATGCGTTTGAGATATATTGTGTGATATTTTTCAATACTTACAAAGGTCAAATTGGTAGGAATATTGGTATTATAATTGCTTGGGTGGTGGTATTAACAGCATTGACACCTTTAGTATTGATTCATTTTAGCAAACAGATGGCCAAGAAAGCAGCCAGAGCAGCTGAAGCTGAAGCAAAAGAAAAATAATAGCAATATATGAGTGTATATATAGTTTTATTTCTAATAATTACAATAAGGTCATTATCAAAAATTTATCATTATTGCTAATTCTAATCTATGCGCTTATGCGCTACCAAGCATATGATATTCTCCACATTTGATTCTTTGCGGGTGTGGCAGTGGGTGTGGGCGTGGCAGGCGAAAACAAAATTTCATTTGAAGCGAGGTTCAAAGACACGACGCACCAAACAACCAAACAAAAAATTGTGATTTATTATCAACGTTGAATTCAATCCCCACTGCCCCCCACGATTCAGTGTATTTTGAAAACATGTCAGATTTATATCATAAACTAGGACCACAGGGACGTGCTTTGTTAGCTCAGAAGAGTGGTTTATCAACTGTTCCTTCGTATACCCCTGGTGATATTACTACTATTAAAAGTGGCACACCGCAAGAATTGGATTATCTTGTGAATGAATTGAGAAATCCACCACCGGGTACTACAGTTAATAAAGTCTTGGGATATTTATATAATTATTTGCCTTATATTAAACATGAACAAAATTTACGATTAGTTATTGCTAGTTTCTTGAATACACCAGTTTGTTTTAATGTTCATCAAATCCCCAAATTTGAAGAAAATTATCCAATTATTGAAGTTTTTAAATTGATTTTTGATAAGAAATTAAAAATATCTATACCTACATTACCAATTAAAACTTTTTATTCTATTTTATTAAAAGAATTGAAAAATTTTCAAGCTTTCAATCCAAAACTAAATAGTTGGAAAATATTACCTATTTTAAGTGGGGTATTGTTATCGAATAATTTAAGAAATGAATTATATTCAGAAGTTAATTTTGTTGAATATAAATGGTTTTTTGATGATTGGGATAAAGAAGTTATGGAATTATTTACTACTGCATTGAATTATTCAATTTCTGAAATATTACCTAATGATGTTAATTTCTTAAGTTTGACAAGTTTTGCATTAGTTTATAAAAAAGAAGAAAAAAATATCATTGAAGAATATACTAGAAAAATCCCAAGTCCTGTTATTATCAATAAATTAATGGAAATGGTATTTGTTGATCATGATGTATCTACATTAGTTTATCAAAAATTTTTCAATTTAGATTCTAAAAATCCCGAGATTGAACAAATTGTATATAATGAAATCATGAATAAACCAGTGGTCAAACATTTAAATAAACTTTCATTTTTACTTGAGGCATATTTCACTACCCTAGGATTTGATCAAGTAAATGAATTATTAGTTAGAGATAATTTAATTCGGATTACTCAATTCAATAAAACACTTAATCATACTGCTAATGGATCTATATTTAATGATTTCAATGGTTCCAAACAAGCCAATGCATTAATTAAAAATTTTTGGTTTTTCATGAAGAGTTTATTATTTTCAGAGATTATTATCTTTCAAGGTATTTTAACAAGATTTGTTACAGCCAATTCTAATTTTGGTAATAGAAGTTTTTTCTTATTTGGAGGACGTCGTGAATTATCTCGAATTGAATATCAATATAAAGATATTGCATTGGAATTGATACCTAATTTATACTATATCAATTTCATATTATTATCTATTGGACAAGGTGGATTTGATAATTATAATTTTGTTTATTATTTAACCATTGAATTGGCATTAACTACAGGTATAAGATTTGAGAAAAATACATTATATTTAATAGGAAATTATCAAGAAGTTAATTTACATCCAGATGTTTTAAATAATAATTATATTGATACATCAAAAGTGATCTTTATATTAGGATTATGGGAAAATTACCTTCAACTGCCACATCGTCAACCTGGATTTCGTCAAGAAGTATATAATATTGTTATTGGATTAGCTGATGATAAGAGATATGATAATGATGAATTATTAGAAGCTGCCCATTCCGTATTGTTATTTTATTTTGCCAATAGTGAAGTCATTAACATTAATGATGTATTGCAATATGTTGAATTATTGTTACTGCAATTTCCACAAAGATTATCCGAAACACAATTAAATGTGGCTATAGAAACCCTCGGTAAAAAGATATTACCAACTTCGGATGGGGAAAGATTTTTAATGTTTTTAATAACCAGAAAATGCTATATTCCATTAATTCAACTTATTCCTTATATTCCAGTGGATAAATTCTTACATTGGATTAACAGAATTCATGATTTAATAAGTGTTGGTAATTCCAAAGAGGAGGAAATGTTTTGGAAAGTGTTGACTGAGAAATTGGACCCTAATAGAACTGATCTAGCATTGTATAGTTTCTATTGAGATAATTAAACAGTGTAATTGTGTACTACGGGAGTTGCATAACTCTGTGACTCTACATATCTACTGTCTAACAGCTTGTAAGCAGGTACGGTCATTTCCAGAGTTAATCTAATCGATTATTCTGGACATCGATGATGATGATGGTTTAATGATTTGTTGTTTATTGGAATTTACCCCGGATTTTTGCCACATCACACGACTTTAGTTTTAGTTTTTTTTTTTTTTCACATGAAAAATTTTTCAACGGGGATGAAACGAAATGGCAATGGACGATCCAGAATTGCTGTATAAACATTGGACATTCAAAGTGAGTGAATGGTAAATCAACAAACGATGATAGTTAGAGATAAATAGATTACTTCTTGTACATAGTTTAGATTAGTTTATATTGTTTACCGAGAAATGAGTATTGATTAATTTATAGAAGTTCCGTTGTTCCGAACACCGGTTGGCTCAAACGAGGTTAAGAATCTGGGGATAAGTAGAAAGAACGATAGAGAAAGCGGATGTTATGTCGGAAACAATTCGTTGTTGAAGTAAGCCATTGATTTTAATTGAAACAGTAGGTTAGTCCTTCACGTGATACGTCTCATGAACCAACTTCTTTGATTCCCATAAACAATCATCTTTTCCAATGGATAGTTGTAAGTAAAAAATTGAAAAATTCCGCTTCCCCGGGATTAACTGTCGACAATTGGTAGCGTTTTAGTATTTAATTTTTTTTTTTTTTTTTGCGTGGAGAAATTTGTCTGGCATTCTCATTCTCACAGTACAGTGTACTATAAACAAAGAGAGAGAGAGAAAATTTAATCACCAGAGAAATATAATTTTATATTTATTTCTACCATTACCAGTTCTTTATCCAATTGATTAGTTGTTTCATAAATACAGGATTTTGAACATACATAGAATAGCTCCCCTTACTCACTCATTTCTATTTAGTTTATTATTGTTATTGTTATTATTATTGCCGCTCCTGTCATTTGATTCCTATTACTTATTTTGAACTATAAATATCATGGCAAAGAAAAGTAAACAACCAAACGAATCAACTGTTTCTTCAAATTTTAAGTTAATTAGCACTTCTTCAGGTGTCAGAGTATCTCAGGCTTGTGATAGGTGCCGTATAAAGAAAATCAAATGTGATGGACAATCCCCTTGTCATAATTGTAAAAAAGTCGAAGTTGAATGTAAAACAAGTGATAAATTATCAAGAAAATCTTTCCCAAAAGGGTTCACTCTGTTTTTAGAAGCACGAGTTAAAGAATTAGAAGATGAAAATCAGAAATTACGTGATAAAATAGGTAGCACTAGTGGTGGTGGAGGTCATACAGATAATGATGATTCATTGGCTAGTAGTGCCATTCATACGGGACAAACTACTCCAACTAGACCAATGACAAATAATAGCTCTATCCCAACTACTACTACTACAAATGATAAAGTTCTTTTCCAATCAAATAACCAATCAGTACCTATTAATAACCCGATTGATCAAATTTTCAATATTGACAACAAAGGTGTCATTATTGGTAATGACAATTTAAATTTTGAATCCCAATTTAATCATTTATTGATCAATTTGAACTTGCCATTTTTAAAAATTACAAATAGTCACAACTATTTGTTGAACGATCCTGATAGTTATTTGTACAATCCATCATATACCAAAAGTAACAAGTTTCACAATCGAGATCTAGACTTGATTTATAATCCTTTAACTGGTACCAATACCGATATCAGTATGAAGAGTGAATTACCAACAGATATCTATGATTTATTTATTAAATTAATTAACAATTTTAAAAAGATTTTCAAAAATAAAAAGGAAATGGATAATCAAATTGTACAATTTTTCTTAAACTATAATGTGTTTATTCCCATATTTGATTTTAAACAATTTATGGAATCATATGAAGCTTTTCATACCATGTATCCCTTTATGTTTACTTATGATGATTCTTCTATCAATGGATTTAACTTGTCCAACACCAATGACTATCAAATAGTCAACAGTTATTTGATGACAATCATTCAAATTTACGCCATGATTATGATCAATAATCCAACGGTCAACCTCAACTTACTCCTCAATCATTCGGATCCACATTATTCTATGAATAACCGAGAAAAATCAATTATAAAATCTCTTTATGATTTCCTACCGTACTTTAATGGATTCCACATATCAATTGGTCAATTACAAACATATTTATTATTATTATACTATTCTTTGTTGACAAACAACAAAGAGAAATCATTGGTGTTGTCATCCTTAACCAATGCATTTATTGGTATTTTGGGTATCAATTTAAACTCCAAAAATTTGTTTTTCAATGATCTTGCATTGAATCAACAACAAAGAAGAAATAGAGTCAAGATCTTTTGGGTGTTTAAAGTGTTATTGAAATGTTTTAATTTGAAGTTTGGATTCAAACCAAGTTTAAACACTACAGTTATTAATCCTGTTACTATTGATAGATATTTTCAATTAACACCAGAGAAATTGTCTTCTTTACTTGGAGATGATGACGATTTATTCAACACTTTATTGAAACCAAGTATCGAATTCCTAAATTTAATGAACATTATCATTCCATCTTCTTTTTCACCAAATTATTACCAATACTTGAAACAGGATCGTAAGAAAAAGGAAAAGGATTTACATACTAGTCCTCATCGATTAGATATGATTTTGAATGAAGATGACGGTGATGGTAATGATGGGAATTTGAATTACAATTACAGTCAATTCTTAACTATCGATAAAAACTTGACTGATTGGAGAGAATCATTAAAGTCAAAGAAAATGTCACTATTACCATTGAAGGACTTGGGACTTCCTGATTTGATCAACATTACTGAAAATGATCTTCATTTTGCTATGGATAAGGATGCATTATCACGTGAAGGTTTGATCAATTACTATCAAACTGGGTTGCCTGACATTCATACTGCTTCTCAGTTGATTAAATTGCAATTGAATTTTCATTACACATTAATTAGATCAGCCAATTACTTGAATTTTATTGTTGATCGAGAATTGACGTTTGAATATTACAAAAAGATTTACGTATTATCAAGTGAAGTGTTGCAATACTTTTTGTTAGTATTTGAACACGTTAGTAAATCACAGGAAAAATTAAACTCACCAAGAGTAGCTTCAAATTCAATAGTTATGGAAAGTTTAGGTTTAGATGTTGACGATGACGGGTTCGTGATTAATGACTTTTCAGTTAAAAGACGTAAAATTGGTTCAACCAAAACTCCTAATAATATCAAGAAACTTGTTCGAGAAGTTCCTATTTCTCCATTCAATACTATGTTGAATGGTCTCTCATTGACTGTCATAAATTTGAAAAAATCGATAATTTTACAAATGTTGTATTTATTAATTTGTCAAATGAAGTTTGTCAAGACACAAGAAGAACGGAGCAAAATTAATGATTCATTTGACTTGTTATCACAAACGGTAGATTTGTTTATTAAATTATTCATCAACTATAAGCCAGGAGCCAAGAGTATGCAGAATGATAAATTATTCCAAAAGTTGATGAATGACGAACTAAAGGAGGATATCTTGTTCCATCACCAATATGGTTCTGACGACGAAGGAGACGAAGATGGGAAATATTATAAAACTATCGACTGGGATGATGAGAATTTAGATGAAGATTTAAAATATTTAAAGATTTTGAAGTTTATCAAATACAAATCCCGTGATGTTGTTGATCAGTTGAATAATAAACAAACTGTCAGTGGTATTCCTGAACCGTCAGTTGTTATTCATCACCACCATCACAGTCATAACCACAATCACAAAAATAGCCACCTCAAGCAAGAGGAGAATCAACAACATCCTCAACCAATGACACATCAGCAATATCAACTCCAACACCAGCAACAACCACCAGCACCACCAGCACCAGTACCACCACAATCACAACCACAACAACAGCCAAAACGTCTTCTGTCACATGAGACTCCGGCTTTACCTTCTTCAACTTCACCTTCCTTAAACTCCCGAATGATGTCCACGTCTACAATGCCATTGTCGGCAGCAACTTCACCTATGTCAACTGGACCAAGTTTAGGTTTACAAAACTTGAACAAACCTACAAGTTTGCCATTACCCCAATATTACAATCCATACCAATCAATGTCTCCTGTATTTGATAATGACGATAAAGATGCAGTCAATGATTTAATGAACCTTAGACGTGGTTCCAATATTAAATAGTTACATTTTTTTTTATTATAATAGTTTAATTTTATTATATTTATTTATTTATTTATTTCGTATCAATGTATAATTACTCGAGTTTTGTGAAATTCACACACATACATATACAAATCAAAAATCTACACACTTTTCTTGAACCCACTACTTTGGTCTTCTTCAAAAACTCCATAAGTTTCAACACCATGATGAACTTCATGACCAACCAATTCTTCTTCAAAACTCTCCACATCTTGGTTTTCTTCAAACCAACCTTTTTCAAATGGACCCACATTTTCAACACCTATTGGAACAGGGAACCAATACGATAAAATTGAATAAACAATCCAAGAACTGAAAAATCCCATAAAGAAATTCAATCTATAAACTTCTGTAGCACCAATAGGAACTTTATGAGTACCAGTAGCACCAACAAATCCAACAATATTTGGTAAAATTCCAGAAATATAAGCAGCATAAGCTCTCCAATTAACTCCAATTTTATTATATCTATAAATTGATGGTTGGGATTTGTCTTGTGGATTAGTTAATGAATATAATTCAAGGATTTTAATATATCCTCTACGAATATAGAAATAATCACAAGCAACAACACCAGCAACAGATGATAAAAATACAGAATAAGCTGATAAATAAGTGGTAAATCTTGAAGATGATGATATTAATTTCCATGGACAAATAGCAAGGGCTAAAAATGCACAAATATAACTTCCTCTTCTAATATTTAAAAATTGTGGTAATAAAGCAGAACAATCAGTACCAAAAGAAATAGAATTTGCTGAAATATTAGTACCTAATTGAGCTAAAGCAAAAGCAGCAGAAATGAAAAAGACACCAGCACGATTTCCAGGAGTATAATTATCTAAAAATGTTCCCAATACATCTAATGGAGACCAATAAGCAACACCATACATTGCTTCTGAAGCAGAAGTAACCAATACACCAATAAGAGAAGTGATTGAAAAACAAATTGGAATAGATAAAGTATAAACCAAATATTTCATACCAAATGAAGGTTTATTAGCAAAACGAGAGAAATCTGGGGCATTAACAATCAATGTTGCAAAATTAGCTAATGCATTCATGGTAGATTCAACAAATGCCCAAGCTAATTCAGATCCTTGTGCTTTTGATTTTTGATGAATTACTGGTCCAATACCACCAGCTTTAACAATTGTCCATACCAAAAAGGCAATACCAGCAACAGGAACAATATATGCTTTAACTGTAAACAAATGTCTAATCTTATGTGGAGGAAACCATAAGAAAGGCAATTGAAATAACCAAAAGAGAAAGATTCCAAGGAATTGAAAAGTAGTTAAATCTTTATCAGGAATTGTATCATGGATTCTCTCCGGGAGATTCTTACCAAAGATGGAATGTAACATAAGTTCAAAAGTTGGACCAGCAACAGCAGTTTGAACAGCATACCAGATACATGACATAAACACACGATTTAATACTGGCCATAAAGAACCATAAATACCAAATGAAGAACGAGCAGCTACTGGGAATGAAATATGATAGAATAAACCAACTCGTGATCCAATACTTACAAATATACCACATAATGCATAACCTAACCAAACACTTAACCAAGTTTGCCACCAATTCATACCACCTGATTGAATACCAGTGGCTGCAATTTGCCAAGTATTAATATTAAAAGAATCAGCTATCCAAAAGAAAACATAATTATACCATGCCCATTGACGTCTTGCTTCTTCAACAGGACGTAAATCATGATTATATAAAAACATTTGTGCCGTAGATAATTCACCTTTTGGTTGAACCTCAAGGGTTTTAATTAGTTTTTGCCAAAATGTCATTGACTTACCATCATAATATTCTTCTTCAACAAAACTATTACTAGCATCTTCTGATACAATCTGTTGTTGTTGTTTTTTATCCTCTTGCATCTTTGAATTTGTTATTACTATTATTTTAAATATATATATATGTAAAAAAAAGGGAATAATTTTGAATAAATAAAGAGGAGATCTTGATCACTTTATATAAAAAGCAAATCACTCAGATATGTTTCTCTTGATAATGATGATTCAACTATTGTTATTTCCCGAATAAGCGGGGGGCGAGTAGGAGGAGTTTAAAAAAGAAGATATTAATCAACAGCAATGCAGCATGGTTATAGTCTAAAATCTACTTGAAATGGGCGCAAACAATGAAATTCCTTTTGATATGATAATACAAAGAAGAAGAAATAGGGTTGCTTTGCTTTGGGGCATGGTCGAGTACATGCAGGAGATTATCTTTTCTTTTTTAGTACGGTGCCGCAATTCGCCGCGTGTCCAAATTAAACGTTGTTGATAAGAAAGGGGGTTTCTTATTGTTATTGTTATTATTGTACCAATAATTTTTCAATTTAAATTGCCTAAAAAGCAAACTTTGATTAATTTTTGACTCAGTTAAATCAGATCATAATTCCGTTACAGGAGTTTAACTCTTAATTTTAATTACAAAAATATTGGGTATCAAAATTTGACTTGCTGGGGTACATGGGTTGATTAATTCTTGCTTCAGATATACCACTACTACTAAGATGACTCTCTTTGGTGTATAACTGGATGACATTACCATCCTCATCTTCATCATCATCAGATATCGATGAGTTAATCATACGATATCAGTAATAATAATATATCCCAATATGGTATATCAATCATTAATCTAATCAATTACCTGTAATCTCACGGAAGGTACCGAAGAATTTTTTTTTTTTTTTCGCTTCTCGTTATCTATGCAAGATTATCAATGTGTGTAGGAATTCTAAAATTCAACTTCGCTGATATCTCCAAAAATGGCATTTGTTACTCGAATCTTCCCATTCTTATTTATCATAAAACAATACTACATATCGTTAGATATGAATTAATGATCATATCGTCGTATATTAGAGACAAATGGAAAACATGTCTATTATGCAAAATTAATCAGTTGCGAAACAAGAGGAAATTTAAAAAGAAAAACCCTTGTTCGTGCTACAAATTACATGCTGTGTTTTTGCGTTTCTAATGGAAATTGCAACATCCACACTTGAGTCATCTTTAATTTACAATTGCTTAATCTCTAACCTTTAATATACTTCTATCTCTATGGAAACCTTTTTGTTGGCACATGTGAACAGTTTGTATTCTTGAGTAGGAAACAAACTCATATTTTTGATTACGTAAGCACCACAGTTTGACTTTTTTTTTTTTCGTTTGTCCTTTGCGTGTAAAGGGATCAATTCTCGTGGTAAAAGTTTACTAACTACGCCTATCAATTATACACTATCCTCCCCCCTAAAAGGCAAACACTTTTCTCGTTACGATAAACCTTGATTACAACACAACTTGTAAAGGTATTTTGTTATTATCATCGAGTGGTACATGACGTCTCAAATGAATTCCCCATATAGTCTACCTTCTCATAGTGCTTCAAAACTGTCTAGTCGACTACCGCCCGATTCCGTGGCATCAAGCTCAACAAATCTTCAATCACATTTCTCAAATCCCAACGATTTTATAACTTATATCATTCCTGATTTTAATGCAGTCAAGTATTTTCAAAAGGAGTTTATAGCTTCGAATGAGTTTCATTTGATACAAGAATCCGAAGTCACCGGTTTTGAAATATATTTAGTTGAACAATGGGTTAATGATCGTAACATTAGTTCTATCGTCACTGCCTTTACAGGGAATGAAGCCTCCAAAATATCTGTTGTTAGATTGACAATAATTAAGAAACCTGCTAAATATTACCCTGTCAGATTCCAAGAATATTTAAATGAATTGATTCAGAACCATTCAAGAATGAAAAAAATGGAAAAGGATAGACCAAAAAATTTACATAGTCGAACAAACAGTGCTGGTGAAATGTTGACTTTGTCAAAATTATCTACAACCCAATCTTCTCCAGCTCCTCCACCTTCACCAAAGAGAGAAAATAGCACCGCGGATTATACCAATGAAGTTTGTTTTGTTACGAATTTGACATCCTTACCTTCCGCATTAAATCTTATTCCTATTCCTAGTGGTGATGTACGTAAAGTTGAAACCCCTTTTATGGTTAATTCAAATTTGAAGAAATTACAATGTACAGGGCGTTCTATTTCAATGACAACGAGCAAAATTTCCGATGCTTCAGAAGATAAATTCCGTCAAATGTATAAAATTTATAATACAAAAGTACCAATCCTGTTTGCTGCTAAAGAGTTGGTGAATATTGTTCAAACTTGTTTATTTTATTTTGATTTACTAGATGCAAGATACTGTGATGGTTTATTGTGTGCCAAAACAGAAGAAGCTATTATGAATTGGTGGAATTTAATTGGATTACCCCATTTCAATGTAAAACCAAATCCGGTTAATGGTATCTTACCAGCAAGAACAGTGGCTGCTGTGGTTAGTTTAATTCTTAGTGTTCGAATGAGAATGGTATTAGTTGGTGGATCCGATGTTCCTAAAGACCCATTTGATTTTGAAAATTTTATGCTTGCAATTGGACAATTTCAAAGACAATTTAAGCTAGATAAGACTAGAAAATTGGACATGGAAACTTTGAACAAGATGTTTACTGTTACCAATGCAAGATTATTACCAGAGAAAAATAGTAATTATTTCTATTCAACAGCTTATAACAGTTCTGCAGATTTCGATCCTCATGATTATGAAGTTGCACCTGCTATTTCGGGAAACTCAAAAGGATTGACAAGTAATTCATCTAATACCACCCAAAAGAGAAGATATGGGAAAGAGTTAAAGAAACTTACCAACGTAATGAAATCATCAGTGCTGCCGAGCACTAAAGATATCGATGATAATAATATTGCTGCACCAAAGGCAACTTCTGGTAGAATCAGAAACAAAATTGCAAAATTTGCTGATATGGCAACTCCATTAGATGTTGAAACTTTAGATTTGGAATGTTTGGTAAAGACTCATTTAGCAGGAAAAACGTTGATTCGTTTATTCTATGGAGTGCAAAACAATCACGTGTTTACCTATTCAGACAGGTCAACAATCGATAACAACCACTCTCAGAATCAGAATCAAACTCCGAACCTGGTCCAGAATCAAACCGAAAAGCATCGCCATACTCACGGTTCAAGTCATCTTCATTTCCAAAAACGTCGTGGTCGTGGTGTGGGTGACGATTCCAATGCTAGTCAATATGGGTTTGAAAGTTTAAGAGATAGGATTGCACAAACTCAGGAGTTATTGGTTAATAATGATCCATCAAAATATTCACGTGGATTTAGTAAGATGAAACTTGGCTTACAAAGTAGAAAGAATATAACAAATACTTCAAAACAAGATACAACATTACTAGTTCCTGGTGATAATGGTGATGCTAAAGAAGTGCGTCCGACTTCAATGGTTGATTCTTTCTTGCAAATTCATAGTGATAACGCGTCTTTCACAGAAAGCGTTTCTTCAAACACGGCATCTATTCCTCCTAAATGTTCAGTTACTGATAATGATTTTAGTCATCCTATTTCGAAGTTTAAATATAACTTGAATAGAAGAAACTCATACCCGTATTTGATCAACAAACACGAGGAGAATTTGAACACTTTGCTGATTTCAAAGAATGAAGTTAGATACAATGAGGATCAAGTTAATATTTGCCGTTTGAGACGAAGCATCAGTTTCTCTGATGTGGAGGAAGCTGTATTGTCAAGACATATTGTAAAACCTGGATCCATGACTAAATTTTCTCAGTCGTACCTTGAAAGTATCAACACGTTAATGAGATATGAGAATTTAAGAACCTGCTATATTGATAGTGAAGCAAAGACGGTACCTCATATTAATAATGCCACTGTTGATAAATCATACCAATTAATGAATTTAGAATTGATCAAGTTGAAGAATATTAGACACCAGATGCATGCTAATAAAGGCAGAGAAGAAGGTATGCATGAAGAATTGGACTACAATATGAAGTTGTTAAACACCACTATTGATCGATTGCTTTATGAAACAAGAATAGTTTCAAAGAGAATAAATGAATTAGATGAGAATTTCAAATTGTACGAGTTGAAACTTCATGAAGATTGCAACAAACGAATGGTTGGGATCATTGATCGAGTGCTTCGTCTGAAGCAGTTCAAAGAAGTCTATACTAATGCAGAAGAAAGAAAGAGTATTGCCGTTAAGTTGACTGGGAATGAGCATTATTTTGATACTATCGAAGAGGAGAAACCTATCAGTTTTCTTCGATGTGTGGCGATATTTGTTTATGAACTTATCATTTGTTTGTTCCAATTATTCCATTTCAATAGAGAGAATATGAACTTGGAGAGAATTAGGGAAAGTTGGAAAAAATTAGATCCCAATAGATCCATCATCAAGGGAGCTTATTCGTATATTGGTCGTGAACCTTCTCAAGAAAGTATTGCTTCTCCTGTTGATCCTAAATAGGGGGGGGCTGTCAATTTATAGATTCTTAATCTCTTTTAACTAATTGTTTGAATGCGTTTACTAAATATTTCACTTCTTTTTGATAACTTTCTGATTGTAGAAGTGTTGGTTCTCTTTGTATATCTTGTTCGATTTCCATTAGTTTCTCAGCAAGTCGTTCTATCTTTGTATGAAGAATCTGATTATTTTCCCTTAGTTGAATCCGTGTTGGTTGTATTATATCATGAACAAATTTTTCAATATCATTCTTGGTATATAAATCTTCTTCAATTTGTATTGATTCTCTTGCTTGGAGGTATTCTTTCACAGAGTCAAGCATTTCTTGATTTTGATCAATTAATTCCCTTAGTTTCTCACCAACAAAATCTTGTTTTTGGATATCCATAACAAGAGCAATTCTTTCATCTTCTAGTTTTCGTATTATTGAACTCTCATCTTCCTCTTCGTCATCATCTTCATTATCATTATTAGAACTACAATTATCTTGTGGTTGATCAGTGGTGGTTTTATCGGTTGTACTATTGTGAGGAACAATCACATTCGATATCTCTTGTAGTTTAAAAATAGACTCGGCTGATTCGTTAACTCTTTGGTTTAATGTCAGTACAAGGCTCGATATGGCCAGTAGATCATCATATGATTTATCCATAGTTGTTGATATCACAATTGATTGTTATGGGTTGTTTGATGGGTTGTCTAAAATGGCGTGTAAATTTGCCAATTTTTTTTTTTTATTTCGTTTCCCTGTTATTATTATCACGAGTTAGCGAGAGTGTGGGACGTGTTCATTTGCACTTTTTTTTTTTCTTTCTTTTTTTTTTTTTTTCAGTTTCTCGTTCTTTGTCCTTTTGGTAAACCTAAACAAAAAAAAAAACCGATATTGAACATTTTCTTCATAATCACTGAATCTAAAATCAAAACTTTTCATCACATTCATATTACACATAACACATAGTTTAAAATAAATAATGGTGACAATTGGAAATGCTCATGAAGATTTGATCCATGATGCAGTCTTGGATTATTATGGAAAGAGATTGGCCACTTGTTCTTCTGATAAAACTATTAAAATATTTGATCTTGAAGGTACTGACAATTATAAATTAACAACTACATTGACAGGACATGAAGGTCCAATTTGGCAAGTTTCTTGGGCACATCCTAAATTTGGATCTATATTGGCATCATGTTCATATGATGGTAAAGCATTGATTTGGAAAGAACAACCAGAAACTCAACAATGGTCTATAATTGCCGAACATACTGTTCATCAAGCAAGTGTCAATTCTGTTTCTTGGGCTCCTCATGAATTAGGAGCTGTTTTATTATGTACTTCTTCAGATGGTAAAGTTTCAGTAGTGGATTTCAATGATGATGGTACTACTTCACATGTTGTATTTGATGCACATGCCATAGGAGCAAACTCGGCCACTTGGGCTCCAATATCTACTTCTTCTAAAGATCCAGCCACTTTGAAACAACAACGTAGAATCGTTAGTTGTGGGTCTGATAATTTGGCCAAAATTTGGAAGTATGATCCTGTAAACAATACTTATATTGAAGAAGCTAAATTAGAAGGTCATACAGATTGGGTTAGAGATGTTGCTTGGTCTCCTTCAAATTTGGTTAGATCTTATATTGCCACTGCTTCTCAAGACCGTACTGTTTTGATCTGGACTCAAGATAGAGATGGTAAATGGCAAAAACAATTATTGACTGATGAAAAATTCCCAGATGTTTGTTGGAGATGTTCTTGGTCATTATCAGGAAACATTTTGGCTGTTTCTGGTGGTGACAACAAAGTAAGTTTATGGAAAGAAAACTTACAAGGAAAATGGGAATCTGCAGGTGAAGTTGACCAATAAATTATGTAGAACAAAAGTCAATAGTATACTGAATGAATAGAAAAATTAAAAAAGACTAACATGATAATAATAATAATAAAAATAATAAAAGATGTACATTTACTTATAATTCATTAACAACAGATTCTACAATTTTTTCAACGTCTTTAGATGCTTCGTTAGCAGCTTCTAACACTTCGTCATGACTGGCCATACCTTCATCTAATGCTTTAGGATTTTCATCAAAAGCACTTGGTGGTTTATCACCAACACCTGCATTTGTAATCAATGACAATGCAAGAACTCTCAAACCAGAATGACGAGCAACAATGACTTCAGGGACAGTTGACATACCAACAGCATCACCACCTAATAATCTAATCATTCTAACTTCAGCTCTACTTTCAAAAGTTGGACCAGCAGCAAAAAAATATGTTCCTTCAAAAATATTTCTAGTAATTCCTAACTTATCTCTAGCAGTTTTAATAAACAATTTTCGTAATTCATAATCATAAGCGTCTGAAAGTGGTTGAAATCTTGGACCAAACTCAGCTAAATTTGGTCCTCTTAATGGATGATAACCAGCTAAACCTGGGAAATTAATATGATCTTCAATAACCATTAAATCACCTGGTTTATATTCTGGATTAACTCCACCAGCAGCATTAGTAACAATAACACTAGTAATACCCAAAAGTTTAGCAATTCTAACAGGGAATGTGGTTTCTTGGAATGTATAACCTTCATAAAAATGTAATCTTCCAACCATACACATAACTGGAACTTTATTGGTTCCAATTAATCCAAAAACTAATTTCCCAGCATGTCCTGGAACAGTAGATGTTTTGAAACCTGGAATATCTGAATATGAAATTTCAAGTTTAGTACTTGATTCAAGAATATTGGCTATTCCTCCTAAACCAGATCCACATATAATCATGACTCTAGGTTCGGATAACTCTGGAAATTGACCAATTTTTTGTTTAATCACATCAGCAGCATGGCTGATTTGTTTAAGGTATTCTTCTGGTGGAATTGTTTCTGCCATTGCTTAATATAGTGTTTTGAAGTCGACGAGATCTAAACGTAAATGGTGACCAAAAGGAACCAGAAGAAAAAGAGAGTGCGAAACGAAAGTTCAAAAAAAAAAAAAAAAAAAAAGTCTGAGGTGTAATGAGCACGGCATTCTTCAATTTCACGTCATTGAATTTGTTCAACTTTTTCTATTCATGTCTGACTTTTTCATGAAAAGGGTCACAGAGTTAGAAACCTCTTGGCTATTATTTTGTGTTTATATATACATGAATAATTATTGGGAAAGGGTTCTACTTGGGGAGTATATACAATTTGCATTATTCTGGCCACCAGTCAGGGATACCAACTTTTAATCCAATATGTTTGTGTCCATCTTCCAAAGATGGAACTTCAAGTTTATAAAATTGGTTCTTTTCAACGTCAGCAACAGGGAATAAAACTAATCCAAGATTATCTTGACGTGACATCAATTTACCAATAGAAGTCTTTCTCTTTCTGACACTTCGTGTAGATGCAAAAGGGGATGCTGCTGCTGCTGTAGAAGCAGACGGGTCCTGTCCATCCAGTTCAGGATTGGATTCCGATTTTTCCTGAAGTGGGGTAATTTCTAACTTTGTCAATGTAGAATCAGGGATACCAGTAAAAACATCCACTATTGGATCTTGTGAATCAAGCTCAATAGGATGATGCTGTAAGTAATCTAAGCTCTCGTCGGTGATTTCAAAAAATTGAACTGGAAAGATTCTCTTTCTTATGACACCATTATTAAATGATCTAATGGTTAATTCTTGACCAACATAACATCCTTTGTCTAATGATAACCCATTAACATAATCCAAGTTACATTCAAAAGGCAATAATGATGTTCCCTTTGGAGCATCTTGAGTTTCAAACACTCCGTTTTCAAATCTTCTTCTTATCACTTCGTCCTCAGCAATAGTAGTTGTATCGAATTTTTCTTTAAATTGTGATGAAAAAACCGATTCAAGTGGAATACCTTCAGGATTGTCATTTGAAATTGGTTTATTGGTGACAAATTTTACACCAAAGTTAGGAATTCTATTATCTACTGCAAATCCCAAAATGTTCTTTGCAATATCACTGTTGAAAAATAATTCATCTTTAATAAATGAGTTGGCATCTTGCAATGCAGTTACTGGGTCTTGACCTTTGAGATATTTAAATTGAATTTCCTCTAGCCATTCATCAAATTGAACAGTATCATTATAGTAATAATAAGAGAACAAACTTTTATCTGGAGAAATATCCACTTTTGCACTTAGTTTATGTAATTTCAATAACATCATAAGTTGCAGCAGTATCAGTGAATCCACTTCTAATACAAATCCTGGTTGTTCCATTTCTTTATCAAACATACCATCCAAATTATGGAATGGCTCTGGGTATAAGAAACAATCTGTAACTACTCTTCCCTTTGAATTCAAAATCATTGAATTAATCCCATCTCGACTGATAGTTATAGTACCATCTGGGTCATATATATCTTCATGAATCAATCCATAATTCTTCGAGACGTCTATTATTTCTGAAAGGTTAACGTTTCTGTTCTCTTCTGATTCACTAATTGTATGTTGCTTTTTCTTAACGATGTTTGGGAGCAATCTCGAAGTGATTAACCCATTGAGAAATTTAGTTGCATCTGGACCTCGTATTGTGATTAATGTCTTTGATAGTTGAGCTAAACCCACATTAGGAAACCTCATTGTAAGTAATGGTATGAGTTATGCCAGAAGAGTTGATTATTAATCTTGGGTGGAGTTGGTATTTTTGATTGATTTTTTTTTTTCAGATTTGCCAGTGCACTTTAAGATTCATTTTACTGGATAAACACCCTGGTGAAATCAATGCAAATGTTGAGTATTTTATTACCTGTCGTTATCTATTTTTTTTGTTTTTATGAACTATTTACAATCCTAATACATACATACTGTTCTATTTACTTACTTGGAAAACTCTTCTTTCAATTTTTCTTCATAAAAATAATGCATGAATTTAACTGGTTTAGGTTGATCTGGTCTATCAACATGTAATACAGGAACATCGTAACAATATTTATCAAACCATTCTTGATTCTTTGGATCCATTATATCTATAGTTGTCAATTTTATTGGAACTTTGGCGAGATCTGGGGATTTTAAAGTACCATGAAGAATATTCTTCGCATTGGTACACAACATACAATTATCTTTAGTGAAAAATGTCAAATTGACCTGACTGTTGATTCTAGTAGATGAAAGGTATCTTCTGGATATGTTAATAAATTGCTTCATGATAGTACGTAGATTATTGAAATTATGATTTAAAGAAAAAAGGAATACAGTCGTTGCAGTTTTATTTCTCACTGTTTGCAAAGAAAAGTTCATATAAACTCGGCCAATAGTTTTGATAATAGTGCGCAATGAATGTTCGTATTCCTTGATCGCTATCTGTTCATACTAAAAATGTATGATATTTGGTATGAACAAAAAATAGGGCAGCTGGTTTGAAAGTATTATTACTGCTGGTGTAACATTTTGACTCCATCTACTATGAGCAATTAATCTCTCTTACTATGAATTAAATTTGTCACACTAGTATTAATAATTTCTTTGAAAGTAGAAACACTGTACAGAAAAAAAGAATCATTTACGACACTCTTGAACAATTCTTTTTGACATATTTTTTATAATACATTTGAATATAATGGGAATCAATCAAGATCATCAGTTTGACACAATTCTGAATAAGGAAAGACAGATAACAGTGGATTATATTCATCAATTTGATGGCGGTAACTTATAAATTTACATTCCGAAAATAAATATATATGAATATTCAAATATTACATCCTTGAAACCATATTTTTGAATGTCACTTTTTGTTGTACATTTATATGTTCCATTGGTCGCGCCCTATATCTGTGTGTCACAATGATCCATACATTAAACCATTGATTTACATGTTCCTGATTTGGTGCGCATTTGTATGTAGAAATTTTCCCTCCATATATCCATAGATTTAAATGTCTGTTCCATAGATCCATAGATTTATATGTTCCAGAATTGTAGAATATTTGGATGTTCTAGAAAAAAGTAGCATTTTGACCTCTGTTTTCTATGATCGTTACAGCGTGACATACAAATGTTCCACGATTTCCAACATTTTTCTCTTCTAGTACGATTTTTGCAATTTTGAAAATGGCATGTGATTCCCAGTGATAAATTATGCTATATAAGTTCATTCTGAATCAATTGGATAAATATTGGTGTAGTTATCTATCAATCTTACTCTTGGAATTTCAAACAATCTTTTTTTTATCGGGAATTATAATTTTTCCAAATAAATCAGTAATTGCACTATCCAGACAGCTCAAACTGTATTCATTGGAATATTAATGTAAATAGCATTATATCTATACTATTATTATATTATATTTCTCATTTTTTGTCCATATAGTATTCCCAAAGGTGTTGATCAGGAACCCAAGTGGTTTATTTCCGTAGTTTTCAAAATGGTTCACGCACGAAAAAATTTCAAAATTTGACGTGAATCTCTTTTCCCCATACAAAAAGTAGAATTTGGTTTATTTTCAGTGGTATTGGTAAGAAACATGTTCCATTATGGGTTCTATGCATTTGACTCAATAATATAATAAAATAATAACATAATATATGGTTCTGGTAAATACTAGGAGTGGAATCACTGATTCAGAAACTGATTTATACATTATATATGTCATTCCTTTCGATACTTGAATTATTTTTCTTCGGATTCTTTCGTGCGAACCATGGACCTAAATTTAAAAATTCGCACCACTTGCACTTCGAGAATAGGTTGAGCATAACAAATAACCAACTTTAATCTGTAAGTATTTGTAATGCTGATTCATTTCAAACCATCTACTACTAATACTTTATTCAAAAGGTAAATTTTTTCTTCCAAATCTACCTACAGTCCACCCCTTTGGGAAATGAAGTATAGACTGGATTTTTATACCGATACAGCATAGTTTCGTTAATTGCCGCTGATGTATATTTGTCACTATTTCATATATAATGATAGTCTATCCGAGTATTCATAGTATTGCGATGTATTGTTTATCGATATTGTTGTCTAACAAAAATATGATGAAAGCTATTACCAATCAATTGATCTTGTTGCAAGATTTTGGAAAAAAAGGTGAATTAATAAAGTTGAGGGAGTCTTTTTGAAATAACCAAAATTGAGAAATCGCGGTAGTCTTTTAAGATTGCTGAAAACATCATTATGTTGCTGAAAAGTGGCAACGTCATAAGGTTGTCCAAAGGTTGCCAAAAAGTGGAATATAAGAAACCTCATTAATCTTATGAAAATTTCCAAAAATGCGACGACAGGAAATTATTTCCCTTATTTTTAAAACCAAAGTAATTTCATGAAGTTGTCCATGTTTTGCTAGATCTATTGATTCTAACTCGATATTCGTCGTTTGAACAACGGTACATTATTTGTATCAGTGTTTAACACTACCACACTTACTCTTGAACACATTTGATAACAATTGGTGGAGTTGATGGTCAATTATTACTTTGGAGAAATTGAAATATCTTTTTTTTATCGGGAATTATAATTTTTCTAAATAACTCAATAATTATGATACTGAACCCGCTCAAATTGTATTCATTGGAATATTAATATAAATAGTATTCTTTTCATACCATTCTTATTTTATATTTCTGATTTTTGGGGTATCTAGTGTTTCCTAAGGGGTTGATCAGCTTGTCGATTGGTTTATTCCCGTAGTTTTAATTTTGGCCCAGACACGAAAAAATCTTAAAAATTGATGTGAATCTCCTTTCCCCATACAAAATTGTGGTAAATTTGTAATGTAGTGAGAATCGATCTTTGATATACAGAAAAAAATGGAAGATTTTAGACACTCTTGGATAGTTCCTTTTAAAATATAGATTTTCTATTCCATCTGAATACAATGTGAATGAATCATAATAGTCTATTTCATTGTAATGGAAATCGATCAAGATAGCCTATTTGTCAAGATTCTGAGTAAAAAGAGACAGAAGATGGATGATTACATTTATGGGTTTGATGGTTGCAACTTATATATTCAAATATTCCGTTGAATAGATCATATATTTTAAGTTTCTGATTTGGTGTATATTTGTATTTTCCAATGTTTGTGTCATGTATATCTGTATATTCAAATATTCTGTGCACTAATTCACTGATTTTCAATGTCGTAATTAGTGCGTATTTCTATATTCCAATGGTTGTGCTCTGTATTAAAATGTCCAAATATTCCAACCAATTCAGCATAGATTTGAATGTTCCAAATTTGTGGAATATTTGGATGCTTCAGAAAAAAGTAGCATTTACATCTCTGTTTTCTATGGTCGTCACAGTGCGACATGCAAATGTTCCACGATTTGCAACATTTTTCTCTTCTAGTACGATTTTTGCAATTTTGAAAATGGCATGTGATTCCCAGTGATAAATTATGCTATATAAGTTCATTCTGAATCAATTGGATAAATATTGGTGTAGTTATCTATCAATCTTACTCTTGGAATTTCAAACAATCTTTTTTTTATCGGGAATTATAATTTTTCCAAATAAATCAGTAATTGCACTATCCAGACAGCTCAAACTGTATTCATTGGAATATTAATGTAAATAGCATTATATCTATACTATTATTATATTATATTTCTCATTTTTTGTCCATATAGTATTCCCAAAGGTGTTGATCAGGAACCCAAGTGGTTTATTTCCGTAGTTTTCAAAATGGTTCACGCACGAAAAAATTTCAAAATTTGACGTGAATCTCTTTTTCCCATACAAAATGTAATAAATGGAATGTTTTCAGTTGTACTGGTTGGAAACATGATCCATTGTGGGTTTTATGCATTTAACTCAATGATATAATAAAAGAATAACATACTAGATTGTCCTGGTAAGTACTAATAGTGATAGTAATGAACCAGAATCCGATTTATGTATTGTATATTTCATTCTTTCTGATATTAGAATTCTTCTTTTTTCTTCTTCAGATTCTTTCGTACGAACCATGGACCTAAATTCAAGAGTTTGCAGAGTTTGTGCGTCGAGAATAGGCTGAACATAACTAATAGCCAATTTAAATATGCAAATATTTGTAATGCTGATTCATTTCAAACCATCTACTACTAATACTTTATTCAAAAGGTAAATTTTTTCTTCCAAATCTACCTACAGTCCACCCCTTTGGAGAATGAAGTATAGTCTGGATTTTTATACCGATACAGTATAGTTTCGTTAATTGCCGCTGATGTATATTTGTTACTATTTTATATATAAAGATAGTCTATAAGAAGATTCATAGTATTCCACGATATTGTTTATCGATATTGTTGTGGTTTCCACTTTTTTCAAATAACAAAAATATGATCAAAGCTATTATTTGAAGTACCAGTCAATTGATTTCGTTGCGAAATTTTGGAAGAACAGGAGTATTTATAAAGTTGCGAAAGACTTTTGAAAATAACCTAAAGTGAGAACCCCCGATGTTCTTTTTAGTTTGCTGAAAACTTCATTATGTTGCTGAAAAATAGTAACATTATAAGGTTGCCCAAAAGTTGCCAAAAGGTGGAAAATAAGAAACTTCATTAATTTTACAGAAATTTCCAAAAATGCGACGACAGGAAATTATTCTCCTTATTCTATAAACTAAAGTAATTTCATAAAGTTGCACATGTTTTGCTAGATCTATTGGTTCTAGCTTGATTCTTATTGCTTAAACAACATGATGTTATTTATATCACCCTTTAATACTACCATACTCACTCCTGAACGGATTGGCTAACAATTAGTGGACTTATCTATCCATCCTTACTCTTCAAAAATCAAAGTATCTTTTTTTTATCGGGAATTATGGTTTTCCTAAATAACTCAATAATTACGATATCCAGACCGGTAAAAATGTATTCATTAGAATATTCATATATATATTGACACATATATACTATTATTATATTTATTTTCTAACTTTTAGACCATCTAGTATTCCCAAAGGGGTTCATCAGGAATTCGATTGATTTATTCCCGTGAAATTCAAATAGGTTCACGCACGAAAAAATTTCAAAATTTGACTTGAATCTCTTCTCCCCATACAAAATTCAACTGATGGCATATTTTCAGTGGTACCAGTATGATATCATCAATTTGCTGTCACTTGAATCTATTGTGGAAGTCATCAAAGGTGAATACATTCGTCTAGTATTGTTCAAATATCCTTAAAGGTATTAATAGTGCTAAATTTGCACATTTGTATCATTACAGCATTTCTGTAATTTATTTCAATTTTTTTTGAATCTTGCGTTTTTTTCGCCGTAATTGTCGACTAAAATTAAAAAATTATCGACCAGTTTACGTCGAGGGATAAATTTCCAAGGAACATCCCTTGATATTTTCACCTTTGAGACCCAATTTCTGCAAATTACTAGAAATCAGAGGCAAAACTCCATCAATTGAAATTATAACTACATAATACTATTACTAATGCGGTACTGTATTAATCACATATAGAATTCAACCGTAATTGTTATTGTAGTATGTTTACTGCTATTAATTCTATTTGAACCATACATTTTTAGTATGAACATTTTTTGCGCACAAGTTTCAAAAATACAGACCGCCTTAATATGAACTTTTCTTTGCAAATAGTGCAAATAATTTTGACTCATTGATCTGAAAATTATGCTCACACTAGTACAAAATAAAATTGCAACGACTGTACTTAAATAACTTGTACCATACGACGTTAAAATTTAGCTTCCACTAAAAAAAAAATAAGAATCGGTCGTGTTTATTATTCAGGAACTATATCATTTGTTACATATAAGGTTCTGTTTCTTTATCGAGATAAGCCCATAACCTATCACCAATAGCATCAGATTTCAAGTCTTCTCTAATGTGAGCTGGATTACCAAATGAGATGGCATGAGTACCATCCTTAACGTCGGGAGAAAGTGCAGCATACAATTCAGTATAAGCACCGTATCTTCTTGGTGATAACAACCAGGATAAAACTGCTCTTTCAACTGGATTTAAGTGTCTTTGTAATTCCGTGTCTAAATAACCAGGACAAATGGATGAACTAATAACATTAGGGTTACCATGTTTTCTTGACCAAGTTCTTGCTTGAATAATATTACCAGCTTTACTTTGACCATAAAGAGTAACTTGAAGATTCTTGGAAAACTTCAAGTTGTCAAATTTAATATTCTCCCAAAATATACCACCTTGTGGGCAAGCCATATAAGCAGTAGAAGCAACCCAGACAATTCTGCTCAAACCTGCAGGATTTGTTTCACTTGTTTTAATAAATAATGGATCTAACAATCTTTGTAGTAAGTGAGGACCTAAAACATTAGTACCCCATTGTAATTCATAACCTTGTTTGGTTTCGGATCCAACAGGTGGAGTCATAACACCAGCATTATGGATAATGATATCCAAACGGTTTTCCAACTTCAAGAACTCTTCAACAGCTGGTTTTATACTAGTTAAATCACTTAAATCAATTTGGATAAATTTTATTTCTCTATTGGTGACATTATACTCTTTAGCTATTTCCAATTGAATCTTCTTAATGGCTTCCAAAGTCTTTTCTTTATTTCTGGAAAAGATGTAAAGTCTGGATTTGGTTGATCCAGCCAAAGATTTGACAGTTTCATAACCGACACCAGTATTACCACCAGTAACAATTACAACTTTATCTTTCAATTCAGGGTACAGGGATTCAGTATATTTTGGCTTGCCTGGCCAAAAACCATGAAGCATTTGTTTCCAATCAGCGCAGGATCTCCAAGGAACAGTAGGGTAGGACATTGTTTAATGATGATGATATGATGGTAGTATTGCAAAAATTTAATCAATGAATGAAATGTGCCAAATTAAACTCCTTTTGTAGTTCATTCTATGTTACAAGATGCGGTTAGTGGAACTTATCGGGTAACGGATGATAAAAAATAAAAATAAAAATTAAAGCGAGAGATGCGAAAAACACTGCCGATTGTTTCTAGAAGATAATATTACACTACACACGACCTTCTCTTTCTCGGATTTATGCCACATGTAGTAATCAAACGTACAGCAATAATTAAAACTCATAATAGAATTGATTGTGTTTGACATCTGTTCGGGCGAATTACACAAGAATTCAAATTCGGAGACAGAAAAAAAAAAAGAAAAGGCAAATTCTTACTCGGGCGAGTTGATTCAGGATTTCTATTTTTTTTTTCTCATTTATTGAATCAATTACTGCAAAATTTTGTCAGAATTTAAGACAAAAAAAATCGGAATGGTATCAACTTCAATTATCATCTGAAAAAAGTTTGAGTCTTTTTGTTATTGTCAACGTAGGTAGTGAGCTGTACAGAACAAGAAAATTGAAGAAATACGGTATACGTGTGATGAAAATTTCAGTATCAAATCACGTGAATTCACCCATAACATTCACTGTGAGCAATGATTCAACATATGAAAAACTCCTAAACCTGTAACTTTAGATTTACTAAGGATAGGTTTCCAACAAAGGTGTCATAATATTACTACTGATTATTACTATAGCTTTACTGAGTTGCCTTTCGTCACAGCATAGTTGCAAAAAAAGTTGTAAACTCGGTGCGATCATCGTGGGATAATCTACTCATTAGTTTTCCGTTATGATAAGTTTTGTGGATGTTTTTAAAACAGACATAAACTTGTTGTAGACTACTTTATTAATACAAATTGGCATCATTCTAACATAAATTGTACCAAAAATGGACTAAGATGAATATGTATAGACATCTCGAGTTCGTATTATGAACAAAAAAAATTGTTAAAAGAAAAGCCCAACGCGGGGCTCGAACCCGCAACCTTTTGATGACTAGTATTTCTAAGAGTCAAATGCTCTACCGATTGAGCTAGCCAGGCTTTCTTGTTGTTTCTAGAAAATCACGACAAAACCGAGCCTAGTAAGTAACTGTATTTTCCATAATCAAGATATCGTGTGACTACAAGAAGACTGGCTGCCCTCTTAATCCCAGATGATCAAGAAAGTAATTGGTATTTCAATGTGCTAAAATAAATTATTAACTGACTGCATCTTACTCATGAGGACATTAATTAAGAAATATCATCTTTAATTTAAAGTCTGCAAGTAGAAAAGTACAATTATTACAGGTGATTATACCCGTTTTATGCCTTACCGTTGTCTCTGGTAGTAAAACGTTTTTCCTGAATGTACAAAAAAGTGTTATTGAAATAAATGGGAAAAACTGAAAATGACAAGCTGGTATGAGAACTTGCATGATATTGCATCGGTATCAAAATGAAATGTCAACATGTGTTTCTTTGGAGAGAAATAAATATTATAATTAAACTTTTAAAGATCAACAGAATAGAACAGTAAAGAAAACGAAAGAAAAATCAAAAAAATTAAAAAAACAACAACAATAACAAAGAAACAGAACTTTATACCTGTGTTTTATTACCATTCCATGGTGATTTTTTTTTTTTGTTTAATTTAATTTGTATTTCACAAAAAAATTCATTCAGTTAATAAAGATGATTGAACGAATAAAGGTCATGGTACTAAAACTAAGCGAAAGATGGTTATCTTGGTTAAGAAAATTAAAAACCACAAAGGTGAGTTTAAGTGTTTTTATTTCAGTTGTTTTTTTAATGATTTTATCATTTGTAATTGGAGTTACTTATTACTTGAATGATTTAGATCGATTGGAAGTGATTACAACTATGTACAAACCACAAAGTAATGATATGAAAATATCAGGTGAAATGACTGTAAAATATATGAAAAAGTTACTTAGAATTAATAAATATAATATATTTGAAAGTTTCCCACTTTCAAGTAAATATCTTGATGAAATTAAGATTAACAGTCTGCCAATGAAGTTACAAACGTTTGGTGATTTTTATGCTACCAAATCGGTATGCAATGATTTGAAGGCTGAAAAAGATATTTACGTTTCCAATGAAAAACACGTCACCTTTGACTTACTGGTATTTTTAAGAAAACTTCACTCGATACAATCATATTCTGAGTTGATAAAACTGGCACAGAAACATTTTGACCCATTCTTGGAAGAAAAGACTTGGAATGATTTGGATTCAACAAGTGATTCGAAAATACTATCTGGTAATGGAGAAGAAAAGAAATGGTTACGATTTGGTGGTTCATCAGTTTGGTTACCAGAATATAATATTCATTATATGGTTAGTAGGGTATTGTATTCACCAAGTGAAATACCAAATCAGTCATTTGCTAGTTTCTTGTATATCCAGATATTTGATTCGAATTGGAACGAATTACCTGATGGGACTACTTTAGAATTTCCATTTGAAGAAGTTGTCCCAATAGACACATCCAGAATTCAAGGATTATTTCATGGAACAAGAATTGAAAGATTTTTAAATTTCAAGAAAACAAGTTTCCCATATGTCTTGCCAATTCCTTTTGATTATGAATTAGAACCATACTCCAACAGGTATTATTTTGGTCCAGAAGATCCTCGAGTGTCAATCCGTCGTAACTCGTTAGGTTTCATTGAACCAATAATTGTATTCAACATGAAAACTTTCAACTTAACTAAAAGAGTTATGCATTTATATCTACCATTTTCAGATGATTTGAAAATTTTGAAAAAAAGAAAAATGAAGTTTGCCCATATTGAAAAAAATTGGATACCGTTAATGGGGAATTTATCAGAATCTCAGAATACAATGAAATTTGTTTATTCATTTGAACCATTAGAAGTTTTAGAATGTAGTATCTATTCAGGGTTTTGTAGTATATTACAAAAATCCGAAAAAGAAGATTATAATTATTTTGGAGATTTAAGAGGTGGTACCCAATTGATCCAATTGCCAATATTTTCATCTCAACTAATTCCTGATTCTTTGTCTTCTATATTTAAACTTCCTGAAAACCGAAAAGTCTATGTGGGATGGGCAAGAACACATTTAAATGATTGTGGATGTGGTGATTCAATGTATCGACCCAATTTCATTCTTCTAATTGAAGATTATACTATTGTCGACAAGAAGTACTCCTATAGAATAAGTGACATTTCTGGGTATTTTGATTTTAATGCCGAAATAGTACCATGGTATCCAGATGAAACCAAAGGTATAGTTCCTGGTATTTCAGGAGAATGTCTGGGTAGAAATGTTCTAACCCCGAATTCGATAGCATATTGGGAAATAGAATCGGTAACCCAGAATGACAAAAAATACACCAAACAAGATTTGAAATATAATAAATTCGAAGGAAATAGAAACAGTTTTCAGTTTGTTGATCGTATGGGTGTAACATTATCATCAGGGGATAGAGATGTTAGAATAGTTCATGTTAAAGGATTATTAGATTATATTTTAAAACTACCAAGTTTATTTGATACAAATGTCACATCTACACTGGTAGATAATGTCAACCTTACCAATGTTCAATGTGCTAAATTAGAAAGTGAGAAATATTGCCGCATTTATGCCATAGATCATGATGCGGTTATTCTATAGTTGATATTCTTTGATAAATACATACATTACCGAGATTATTTCATGCCGTGCGATGGCTGTTACCGCGACTGCCCGAGTCCACGCGTCTGCGAGTGTGTAATGAAATTTTTTCTATGGTTAGCATTCGGTTTGCCCCACCATCAATAACCGAGAATATGCCAAATCGGTAAAATTAAGCTGCGAAAAATTTTTTCAAAAGGGAACAGGATTACATCCTTTTAGCAATTTTAGAACGTTACACAAGATTTATCACCATTGATATAAATACAACATGAGATTTCCTCTATCATAATAAGGTCCTTATTTTAAATCAATCAACATACAAACAATGTGTGAGAGTGAAAAGAATTCAATTGAACTAAACCAACAAGATTTATCAACAACAACCTCATCAACTTTATCATCTCATATTACTACTACTGATAATGATAATGATGATGATGATGACGTTTTGGAATTCACAGTATCAAACTACGAAAAACAACAAGAAAAGACTGGCTCGCAATCAAGACGAAGCTCTGTTTCTAAGAAATCATTAGAAGTTATTAGAAAACACATCACAGGAGAATCAAACTATAAATCTACTGAGAATCATGACTACTCTATCCACCACATCTATGGAGATTTACCTCAAGAAGAAATTCAAATTCAGCGTACCCAGACAAGAAACACTATTTTATCTAAATTAGAAAGTAGAATAGAAAATGAATGTGACAATCTTGATCTTAGTACAACCATTCAAGATATAGATGTTCCTATTACTCAACATGGAGAAGAATTTAATAAAATCGATCCAGAATTAATCACTTGGAATGGTTCTAATGATCCAGAAGATCCACGTAACTGGCCTTTTAAAACAAAAATGATTCTTCTTGGGTTTGTATCGTTATACGCATTTGTTGCTCCCATGTCTTCTTCAATGTTATCTCCAGCAATGACATTTATTGCAGAAGATTTTCATATCACATCACCAATTCTCAAATCCATGGTGGTATCTATTCAAATCTTAGCATGGGCATTTGGTCCATTAATAATTGCCCCATTATCAGAACATGATTATATTGGACGTAAATTAATTCTTGATATTTCCTGTTGGATGTCATTTTTTTTTAATCTTGGATGCGCCTTTTCACAAACCACTGCTCAAATGATGGTATGTCGATTCATTGGTGGATTATTTGGATGTGTACCTATGAATGTTTGTGCTGGTGTTATATCTGATATGTTTGATGCAAAATCAAGAAATGCAGCATTGGCTTCATATTCATTGGTTCCACTTTTAGGACCAGTTATTGCTCCTTTGATTTCTGGTTTTATTGTTGATCATAAACAATGGAGATGGACATTCTATGTCTTGTCAATATTTAATGGGTTTGTTGCCGTTAGTGCAACAATTTTCTTTAAAGAAACTTATTCACCAACTTTACTTAAAAGAAAAGCGAACAAACTTAGAAAAGAAACAGGTAACAACAATTTACACACAATTTATGAGATTGCTGATGGGGAAAGTAAATTAGGCAAGATTTGGCTTTGTATGGTTAGACCGGTTAAATTATTATTTACCCATCCAATGATTGTCGGATTAGGTTCATTCATGGCTTTCACTTATGGATTTATGTATCTTATGATTGTTACATTTCCAGAAATTTTTGGAGAACAGTATGGATACAGCAAAAGTACAACTGGATTAATGTATATTCCAATGGGTGTTGGTTTCATATTGGGGGTTTTATTTTGGACTTATCTTGTTGGTAAAGTTTATCGCCATTTAACTGCCAAGAACAATGGTGTTGCTAAACCTGAATTCAGATTACCATGTTTAATTGCATCCTCGATATTTATCCCAGTTGGTTTGATTTGGTTTGGATGGTCAGCAGAACGTAAACTTCATTGGATAATGCCAGGAATTGGAAGTGCCATATTTGCCATGGGGTTGGTCTGCGTTTTTCAAACCATTCAAAATTACTTGATTGATATGAATGTAAGATATGCAGCCAGTTCAGTTGCCGCTGCTGCTTTATTCAGATCATTATTTGGGTTCACTTTCCCACTTTTTGCTAATAAAATGTATCATGCATTAGGATATGGCTGGGCCAATACTATGTGTGCATTCATTGGGATTTTACTTGGTGTTCCATTCCCAATTTTCTGTTATTTATATGGGGAAAAGATCAGACAATGGGCTGACAGAAGAATAGAATCCAAACAAATCAGACGTGATCAAAAGAACTTGGAAAAGTTGAAAAGAAAGAATGCCACTGATATTGTATAAAAGTGGTGTTAGATTATTTATTTATAGAAGACTTAATATATTAATTCGTAATTATGGATTGGTATTTGACGGCGTGTACACGACCTCTAGTGATATTTTTTTCTTTTTCCCTCCTTTGATAAGTATTCTAATATTTTTTTTTTTTGGCCACAGAATGGCAACAGATCACATTCACTATTACGACGACAACAAAAAACAACCACCAGTATAATGACGGATATCCATCTTGATCAGACACGGCAAAAGATACCGCAACCAGTTAAACAATTGACCTTTGATGAATTAAAAGCATTTCCTTTACCAAAAGCAGTAGAAACATTACCCACCTCGTATTTACAAGATTTCTCAGACAACAAACAACTACTACAAGGGTATATTAGACAACTTGAGGCTTACTCAACTAAACAACAGGAAGTTGTCAGGACTTTGCAACAAGCGGATGATATTTTAGAGAATGTGGTATACAGTCAATTGATCAAGGATTATGAAAAAGTGATTGACAAGATCAATCAGCAGATCAAGAGTATAAATATAATCTATCAAGAGTTTATCAATCTTGAAACGTATCAATACCAGTTATTGTCGTCCAATTTCAATCAGGATAACTTGAAAGCAAAGTTTAAAAAACTCATTGAAGAGAACAACCAAGAAAGTTTAGACATTGTCAAAAATTTTAATGACAGATCGCACGGCAGCGAAATATCCGATGAAAGTTTTGGTACTATGATTGAAAATTTTAAGAACAGCCGGAAGTTGTATCATTTTAGAAAGGAGAAATTGAATCGTTGGGAAGAAGAAAGAGTCAGTGGGTTTTTATAATGAAATAAACATATACCAATTCTTGAGTGTGCTTTAATGGGTCTGTGTCAGAGATATCGGTTCTGTCAATTCATGATTGGTTGATGAAATAGATGCAAAAAGATGACCTTGGTTCGGTATTGGGAAATTCAATTCTTTCTCTTTTTGTTTCATCTGCACATTAAAAATAGATTGAAATGAGAGAAAAAAATTTTTCTTTTTTTTTTTCCTATCGTTTGAGTTGCATTTTAAGGTCACTAAAAAATTTTCCTTAGGTCAAGTGTACAAAAAGTGTTAGCACGACAACCAAGAAAGTATAAATGAAGAAAAGAACAAGTAGTTGTGAAATTGATCCGAGTGAATTATCTTTTTCTTGTTTCTCATTGGTTTGCAATGGTGAAGATATGAATAGAATTGTATAGATTGTTCTCCTGTGTCCCTTTGTGAAAGTGGAGAACCGTTTTGATTAAGGTTGCGGTGAATATAATAATAACAGTATATACACACATACACACAATCATGAACGCTGGTGTGCGCAACATCCGCGTTAAAAAAAAAGTGCAATCTCTTGCATTAATTTCTTCGCTTCGATTCTTCCAGGTTCTTTTCCATCATGGATCAGAATTGGACACTGAATATCCGAGATGTTTTCCAACGAGTGGAGTATACATGTGGAGTAACAGGTACCCCCCATTGACGACATTCTTCTTGATTCTCTTAGAGGTGCCCAGTTAATGTCTCTCTCTGTGTCCCCCATCGCTAGGTTTGACCAATTTATCTGCATGAGTTGATAATTTCACTCCCCTCTTTATACTGTGTAATAAACCGGACTTTAGGTGTCCATGAAGTAAAGTAAATTTTTGACTTCTCACTGCGACAGAAGTTCAAATCTGTGTTGTGCTGTGCATGGGCATTGTGCCGGACTTTTTTTTTTTTGGCTGGTGTTTAGTTTAGTTCGAGAAAATGTCGCATTGAATTGGCGCCGTGACTGGTGGTAGTCGCTGTCGTAGTTTATAGTGGGGAGAAAGAAGTAGTGGTGGTGGTGGTGGTGGTGTGGTTGTGCATTACATTCTGCATTAATTTTTTTTTTTTAAATTGCCTCATCTGGTACACAAAAATTAAAAGCGACTTTCGGGTGAAAGAATGGAAAAGGTAAAGGAAAGGGAAAGATTGTAAAGAAGTTAATTCCCTCTTTGTTAATCATCATATAAAAACTCTTATCATCTGTCCGAAATTTTTTTTTTTCTTCTTTTCTTCTTCTGTTCATTTTTTGAAATCTTTGTTTGAAGAGTTTTTCTAATTTTTCTAATATTTTTTTTTTCTTCTTTTTGTAGAAAGCAAACCATTCTTTAGGATTTTATCCTTTCCAACCTTTATCTATTCCTTATTTCAATGTTTTCAAGATCATTGGTTAATGGTGGCAGATCAATGGCTGCCACTAGATCAGTAGCCAATTCGAGATTATTGTTCAAATCCAATATTTCAAAATATTCCACTTCTGCATCAACTAAATCAAAGGGCTCTTTGATTGGTAGAATCGTTAAATACAGTTTTTACGGTACCGTTGCTTCTGTCGTTGGTACTGTTGGATTTGTTGGTTACAAGATTTTTCAAGAATCCAAACCAGTTGACCAAGTCAAACAAACTCCATTCTTCCCAAATGGTGAAAAAAAGAAAACTTTGGTCATTTTGGGTTCTGGTTGGGGTTCCATTTCTTTGTTGAAAAACTTGGATACCACCTTGTATAACGTTGTCATTGTCTCCCCAAGAAACTATTTCCTTTTCACTCCATTATTGCCTTCTGTCCCAACTGGTACCGTTGAATTGAGATCCATCATTGAACCTGTTAGAACCGTTACTAGAAGAACCCCTGGTCAAGTTATCTATCTTGAAGCTGAAGCTACCAGCATTGATCCAAAAAAGAATGAATTGACTATTAAACAAAGTACTACTGTTGTTTCTGGTCATTCTGGTAAAGACACTTCCTCCGCTAAATCCACTGTTTCTGAATACACCGGTGTTGAAGAAATCACCACCACTTTAAACTATGATTACTTGGTTGTTGGTGTTGGTGCCCAACCATCCACTTTTGGTATTCCAGGTGTTGCTGAAAACTCTACTTTCTTGAAAGAAGTCAGTGACGCTACTGCTATTAGAAAGAAGTTGATGGATGTTATTGAAGCTGCTAACATTTTACCAAAAGGTGATCCAGAAAGAAAGAGATTGTTGTCTGTTGTTGTCTGTGGTGGTGGTCCAACTGGTGTTGAAGCTGCTGGTGAAATCCAAGATTACATTGACCAAGATTTGAAGAAATGGGTTCCAGAAGTTGCCGATGAACTTACCGTTACCTTAGTTGAAGCTTTGCCAAATGTTTTGAACACTTTCAACAAGAAATTGATTGAATATACCAAAGAAGTTTTCAAGAGCACTAACATTAACTTGATGACCAATACCATGATTAAAAAAGTTGACGGTAAAGAAGTCATTGCTAACCACAAGAATGCAGACGGATCCACTGAAACCATCCAAATTCCTTATGGTCTTTTGATTTGGGCTACCGGTAATGCTCCAAGAAACTTCACTCATGATTTGATTTCTAAAGTTGATGCTCAAAAGAATGCCAGAAGAGGTTTATTGGTTGATCAACATTTGAAAGTCGATGGTACTGATAACATTTATGCCTTGGGTGACTGTACTTTTACCAAATACCCACCAACTGCTCAAGTTGCTTTCCAAGAAGGTGAATACTTGGCCAACTATTTTGATAAATTACACCAAGTTGAATCTTTGAAATACACTATTGGTCGTGCTACTGAACAAGATAACGTTCCAACTTTAAGCAAGAAATTGGCTAGATTGGAAAAGAACTTGCCACATTTCATTTACAATTATCAAGGTTCATTGGCTTACATTGGTTCTGAAAAGGCTGTTGCTGATTTGGTCTGGGGTGATTGGTCAAACATTAGTGCTGGTGGTAGTTTGACTTTCTTATTCTGGAGATCTGCTTATATTTACATGTGTTTATCTGTTAAGAACCAAGTGCTAGTTGTTTTGGATTGGGCTAAAGTTTACTTATTTGGTAGAGATGTCTCCAAGGATTAGAGATAACTAATTATCCATACATTTTTTTATTGATTTACATTTGTTAATTCTTTTCTTTTGTTTATATTTTTTACCTGTAGAATATTTTGTTTCAATCTTATATACACATATATAATAAGAACAAACAATCCTGTTTTAATAATACATATTCTTATACATTTTGAAAAATTATCGAAATTCATTCTTCAATCGAATTAAAATTAAATGGTATAATATATATATATATATATATATATATGTATAAAACGACTATCTATCTCAATAAATTAAATTATATATAAAAACGAAAAACGTCTATTTTTTATGTTTCTTTTCACGGGTACCTTTTGGAACTCTAGCCCACCAGTAGAAGAACACTGTAAGACAAATATTAATAGCAATGAAAGCAACAAAAATACCAAAATTTCTCCATCTTTCACTATAAATAGCATTAACTGAAGTCAAGAAAGAATTAGTACTACGCATTTGACAGAATGAACAAGATCCATCACTGTTATCCAAAAAGTAACCACCTGCTGCTTGAGCATATGGACCCAAGAAATTATCACAAGTTTGACCCAGAGGTGGTTGAACTGTAACATATTCATAAGATGAACAAGTCACTTCAGTATTAGCTAAACCAGTAGAAAGAAGACCTTGAACCAAATAAGTGAATGGATTACATCTGTACATGAAAATCCAGAATCCTGGTAATGCATCCTTGGTTGCCAAAATACCACAGAAATTCAAACACATAGTAAATAACAAAGTGGCCAAATTAGCAGCATTATCAGCAAGTTCATTGAATGACATACATAATTGACCCATGGTTGATGTGTAAACAAAGAAACCAGTAAGGAACATCCACATAAGAACACCACGTTGATCAACTGCATCAGTAGGTTCTGCATTACGGTATAAACCAACAGGATAATACCAACAGAAGAATGAAATAGTACCAACAACTGTCATATATGGAATTTCAGAACTAATTTGGGCAGTGATAAATGCAAACCAACTAAATGTACGGGATGGTGCTTCTCTAACTTCATAAATATCTCTTTGTTTGACAAAAACTGGTAACATTTGTTGCACCAAAGTATTGAATGGAATGAAATACATGAAAATAGCAAACATTTGATTTTGAAGACCTTGTAACGAGTTTGTGGCTTTGAAGAACGAGAACCCATTGAATAAAGCAGATGAAATAGCCAAGAACAATTTGGAATAGATATAGCCTGGAGATCTCCAATCTTGAACAATTGTTCTCCAAGTAACCAATAAATATTGTTTCCAAATTGGAGCAGCATACTTAAATTTAGCTTCTGGATCTTCATCTCTTGGTAATTTAACCAATTCAGTTTCCATACGGGTGATTTCATCGTGAACTGCTCTATATTCGTCAGAATTTCTCCAAACTTCAAAATAGTCTTGCTTAGCATGAGAACCTGGGGCAGCACCAACAACTTCCAACATCCATTCTGCTGGATTAGCTTCTTTTGGACATGGATCAGCTCCGTATTTTTCAAAATAATCAATCATAGTTTGACAGTTTCTACCCAAGTCACCAAAGTAAGCGGTTCTACCACCCTTTTGCAAAAACAACAATCTATCGAATTCAGCCATAATAAGTGCGGAAGGTTGATGGATGGTACACAAGATAGCTTGTCCATGATCAGCTAATTTTCTCATCAATTTACAAATAGACCAGGCAGTTTGGGAATCTAAACCAGAAGTTGGTTCATCCAAAAACAACAACAATTTAGGCTTGGCAACTAATTCAACACCAATGGTTAATCTCTTTCTTTGTTCAACATTCAAACCTTCACCGGCAACACCAACCAATGCATCAGCATAGTCAGTCATTTCTAACAAATCAATCACATAATCAACATATTCATCTTTTTCTTTCTTGGATATTTTACTTGATTGTCTCAAGTAAGCAGAAAATCTCAAAGCTTCTCTAACAGTGGATGTTTCCAAATGAATATCTTGTTGTTGCACATAACCGATAGATCTTTGGAATGAAGAATCCAAAGCATGTCCATTAACCATTCTTTCACCATCAGTAATAACACCAGTAGTGACTCTCTCAGACAAACAATTCAACAAAGTGGTTTTACCAGCACCAGATGCACCCATCAATGCAGTAATTTGTCCAGGTTTAACCCAACCATCAACATGGTCTAAAATGACTCTATCTTCTTTCTTAATCTTGACTTGATATGTCAAATTCTTCCAAAAGAAAATTTCCCTATTGCTTGGTATTTCATCACTGCCCATGGAACCCTTTTCACTCATACGTTCACTATTAGAAGCTTCTGCCACATCTTGGAAATTGACTTTTTCAACAACATTACCGGTTTCAATATCTTTGCTTTTGTCAGCGGCTGCCTTTCTTCTCTTCTTCAATGAACCTCTAAGGAACAAAACAATTTCACCCTTTTGCATGGCACCTTTGTTAAATTCAGTCAAAAAGATATAAATACCCAAAAAGAAAACAGCAAAAGCAATGGTGATACCCAAGTTTCTCCATTTATGGGAGTTGTAATATCTATAAGCCTGAGCCAAATAATCAGTACCATTAACAATGCTGCTTCCTGGAGTAGAACCAACTGCAGAACAAGCTCTGTTTTCACGTGGAATAGACTCGTAGGCACCACCGGATGGAATATAAGTTGAACACTCAAACTCACGATCGTGGAATTCATTAACCATAAGTGATTCAAACACATAACCAACTGGATTGATGTAATTGATCCATCTAGACCAGCCCAACATATTTGGAGTTGGAATAACAAAACCGGTGTAAATAATCATAGCTAACAACAAAACAGTGGCTGGAGTCATGGCACCTGCAAGTGAGGTGGAAACAGCACCAATTGATCTGAACAAATGAGACATGACTAAAGTACACCAACCACACATTAACCAGTAGAAGAAGAATCTACCTGCATTTCTTCTAAAGTTAACCATAAAGTAAAAAATAAGATTGAAAGCCAAGGACATCACTAATTTAACTGGCAACTCACTAATGATACTTGCCAAAGCATCAGCAGATGGTCGATAAAGAGCATATTTTTTATGCTTTTCAACAATTGGTCTGGCTTCGAAAAGTGACATAATTTCCAAAAGCGAAGCAAAAGCATTGAACAAAACAGCAAAGAACATAGATGCCCCTCTATAATAAAACGAACCGGTTGTTTGTGGAAGATTGTAAAACACAGATGATAAAATTAAACCCATAACACATTGACCAAAAACAGAAAATATGGGAATAGATGGATCTCCCTTCATACGAAGGAAATTTCTCGCAACACCATATCTAACTTGCATATAAAATGAAACAGTGTATGGAGAACCAGGACGAATGTGATTGGATTGTCTTGCAACGTGAGAATCATGGTAGATTTCTTTGGTATTTAATTTTTCACATTCTACAAAATAGTTGTCAATGTCTTTGATCAATTCTGCATATTCTGGAGAGTTTTTCCAATATGCTTCAAATTCTTGAGGAGTTCTTGGAACTTTATCTTCATACCCTGGCAATGGTTCTCTTTCAGCTGGATTAGTTAAAGAAGTCAAATAATCAGCGGTGGTTTGTCTTTGTGGACATTTGTAACCCATTTTGAGGAAGAATTCTTTAGCTTTGCTTGCTTTACCAAAGAAAATTTGGTAACCTTCATACAAAACGACAACATTGTCAAACAAGTCATAAGCATCTTGGGAACATTGGTAAATAGCAATCAATGGGGTACTTTCCAAAATAGCAGCAGAAGTTTTCAATGCTCTGATGAATTCCAAGGCGGTGGCAGCATCCAAACCTCTAGTAGCATTATCCCAACATTGGATATTAGCACCACTTAAGGATGCTTCAGCAATGGATACTCTCTTTCTTTCACCACCAGAAACACCTCTGACAAAATCATTACCAACGCTGGTATTTCTTGTGTGTGATAAACCATAAGTGGCCATATAAACACTAGCCATGTGTTTAGCGTATGTTTCTCTGTCAATTCCTTCACCTCTATTTTGAGGAGTTCTTAATCTAGCTGCAAACTCTAAAGTATCACCAACAGTTAAATGTGGGAAATGGATATCGGTTTCGGCAGAATAGATGACATCACCGTGGTAATGTTTTTTGATATCATCTTGGGTTAACCCATCGTATGTAATTTTGGATTCTTTACCAATGTGGAACCCATAAGTTTGTGCAGCAATGGTTTTCAATAATGTAGAACAACCGGCCCCTGGTCTACCCAAGACAACCGTAAGTTCACCTGGCTTCATAATAGCATCCATAGGTTTTAAAATATTAAAACATCTTGACTCGTCTTCTTTTTGGAAAAATCTGATACCTTCAACAATGGCTTTCCAAAGACCGTTTGTGACAGTTGGTTGATAATCGGAATCATTAGCCACACCATATGCTCTGAGATCTCTATAAGCAATCCCCAATTTCGATGGTTTATAATAATCTGGATCGGAATCAACCAATTTTCTCATGTTCTTAACCCAAAATTTTGCGTTAAACTTGTCTGAATCAGGATTTAATTGTTCATTTATTTCTTCTTCAGCAAACGGCGATACCCCTGGGACTTCAGACATGTGACTTAAATACTTCATTAACCCAGCAGAAGAATCATCTTTGAATGAATTATGAGACAAAGTTCTTGCTAAATTCTGGATATCTTCAGTTGCATGAGCATCAAAACCATGATACTCATTAATGGAGTGGTTTTCTGATGAAGAATCTCTATTATCTTCAAGTTGATCCCACTCCCTTTGACTCGATGTTTTGGAATCTGACATCGTGGATTAGTCTATAAGATTGTAATTATAACTATAGTAGCAAATAATATTAGTTAGTTAAACAGAATAATTAAGAAACTAAAAACCAAAAAAAAAAAAAATTATAAAATCAACGAATGTAATCCCTCTGTTCGGGAAACTAATTTTATATTTATACTGAAACGTAATGTAATACCAATCAAGAAATTGCTTTTTAATCATTTCTATTTCTATTTTTTTTTCACAATAACACATCGGAAATTTTTATCCTCACGGGTAAAACTGAGCAAAGTAAAAATTGTTAGTTGAAAAAATTATCCTACCCGAAATTATTAATAGTGGTGCGGAGATAACTAGCCATGCGCAAAGGCTTTCGTCCGCCGGAAGTGTTTTGATATTTCTTTTGTTTTTGTTTTTACTGTGAGTAATTTTTCAAGCGCATTTTAACCTCACACGCAGCATGTGTCCTTATATTGTTACTATATTTTGTGTCAATCGTTTGGCATGAACATTGGGGGAGGACGACGTGTTCGCCCAAAGGAACAACGACTCTCACACTCTCTCCCCCCTCCCGAATCTGATGGGAATGTCTAGCCACAGCGGTGTTGATCTCAAGCACTAAATAATTTTGCTACTTTTTTTTTTCTTGTTTCTTGTTTCGCCCGTGCGCTTATTCCCGTGCACGCACTTACTGTATTAGGAATATCTCCCCTGTTTTTATTTTATTTTATTTTTTTTTTTGTTTTTGCCTCATCTCTGGAAATATGGCACCGTAGTAGTGGTAGTGGTAGTACTCGAACCGCACTTCCACAGATCCACCAAGGCTACCACAAAAAGCAAGAAAAGCAAATAAAGTGCTTTAACGAAGAACCTGATTTTCCTGTTCGATTACGAACCCATAATAATATTTACATCGAAGGCTGAGTCACAATGTGTAAATAAAAGTTAATCTCTCAAGCGGACGGAGGGGGAACTACGATAAGAAAGACTATCATTTATTTGCATTGTCCAATACATTCTAATATCAATTTCACCTTCCTCGCATTCTAACCCGTTTTCAAGTTAGCCGTCTCCCGTCAGCCGGTTCGTATGGGCGTCTCTCTACACATAAATTCGTTTTTGTTGATCACGATTGAATAGCACTCGAATCGTGATTGATTATTGCTATGGTTTAGAATTCCTCCCATTTCAAAGAATTCTGATCCTCAAAATACGAGTTCATGATGTCTGGAAAAATTAGTACAATAAACACAAATTGTTCCAAACTTGAATTGGCAAAATTTCTTAAATTTTATTAAGATTTCGGATCAAAGGTTTAATAAATCTTTAAAAAGTCATCAATGTTCAATTGATTCATCATTCAAATGTGACAAGATGTTGACAAGAAAAAGAAAAAGAAATATATTAATAAATTTGCAACTATAACTTTATTTAATAACTACTATATAAAAAAAAACACTACCGAAAATACCTTATTGAATGTTACTGGTTATTCCGAGATTGGGAGAAGATGTAATATCAACTACCCTAATAGCAAACACAACAACAACTCAGCTTTACCTTAATTTATACCCACAGAGCTTAGCAATTTGTTTTTCATTCTACAGTTTTTTGCACTATTCACTTATTTATTGGATTTTATGACTATATACTTTACAATTGGATCATCTTGGTAAACTATTGAAGAACTATTTATCCAAACAATGTTGAGCATAATCACCAGCATGTTTGCAGAAATCATCATAACTTTCATTGGGAATCTTACCTACTGATTCTTTAACTGTTGAGGTTAACGCTTTGTTTTTGCTCAATACAGACTTCTTGATTATAGATTTACATTCTGGCCAGAATTCCTCAATTGCATTCAAATCAGGTGAATACGGTGGTAAGAAGACGAGCTCCAATCCATTATTCTCTACCAATAAACGAGTGTTTTTGCCTTTATGTATAACAGCATTATCAAGGACTAAATATTTAATACTTCCAAACTCTTTATTAGTGGTTATCTGGTGAACAACAGATTCTATAAAACAATGGAAATCACTAGCAGTAAGACGACTTCTACTATCACCAATTGGATTATTTTTTGAATACTCGGTTTTAGTCGTGACTTGAAACTTCAAATCAATACATCCTTTAGCACAGATCGCTCCAATTAAACTAATCTTTACATCTCCTGCAACGTTGAAACTAGTTTCATCAATGAAGGCGCAATTTTTATTAAAGTCAAGATCTTTATGTTCATTTGCCCATTCATATCTCTTTTCATTTACTTCAACCAGTTTGCCTCTTGCTCCTGAATTGGTGTTGTTTATAAAACTGAAATTGCAGACTCTGGTCGCAAAGTTATAGATAGTAGAATTACTTGCATTGACATCATCAAATGTGTCTCTAAGTCTTTTTGACAATGAATCTAACGTAAAATTTACATCTTCAACAACTAAGTCATTCAAGAACTCTTTATGTTCATCTGTAAGAAGAGGTTTACGTCCACGCTTTTTGGGAGTACGAAATATACCATTTTGTTCTTCGAAAATTTTACGGTTCCAATTCTTTTTCCAGGTATAGGCAGTTCGTAAATTTATATTATTTGATAAAGCTGCTTTATAGGCAGAGGACCCTTCTTCAATAACCATTTGCCAAAAGCATTCTTTCTGATACTCAGAGTAGTTTTTATACAGACCTCTACTGTTTGTACTTTGTTTGCCAACACTGTTATCATGAAGTTTGGTCAATTCTACATTTTCTATGTCATGAGTAACTGGACTTGTAATCTTTTTGTATTTACTAAAATCAAAGCATTCTTTTAATGATGATATTTCACATTCCGAAACTTTATCATCATTCACATTATTAGAATTGATTAGTTTATGTGTATTGTCAACATAGATGTCAGAATATCTTCCATGACTTGAACTCATAATAACTACTTATTTACTTCTCTCAAATTACTGATATTTAGGGGGAAAAAAAACAAGTATACTAAATGTGAAGATTTTCTTTGCCAGGAAATAGGGGATATTTATATTCTTTTTTTTAGTGCCCGCCTTTAAGGGGGTTTCAGAGTTTGTTTCTTATTTGCTGACTAATATTTACGTGTGTCATTATGTAATCACAAGTCTTGCAACTAATCTTTTCGACAGTTTACTATTTCATAGGAGAGATCCCCAACTTGATGACAGTTGTTGATACTTACTAATGTCAAAGATGTTCAAACACTACAGCAAATACCTCGAAGTAGGTATATAAGAATATGTAATTTTTCGTTAATGGTACAAGAAGTTGGTTAATACACGATTATGAAACGCTTAAATTCAACTACAACCCATCTAAGGGAATTGGAATTGAGCAACAAAAATAGTTCCTAAAACGGTGTTATTGGTATATAAATGGATATGCATCCCTGACATTTTGAATATTATCATCTAGAGATCATTCTTTGGATTCCTCATTCCATTTACCTATATTGTGCAACCCAGTTGAAACTCTTCAAAAGTAAAGCAACGAAAATATGGGTCGGGGGTATTTCTTATTCTAATTGAGATGAGTCGTCTTTTTCGGTATTTCATACTATCACTATGAATATAAATAATTCATTCTGTTAATTCAAATTAAAAATACTGTCTAATTTCCAGATAATATTGATTTCAAAGGAAATTGTTTGTCAGTTTCACGTGTAGCCAAACACGTGAAAACGCCCAGTTTTACTATAACAGTATATACAATAAAAACAACCGAGTTTACATGTAAACTCTTCATCCAATTGTCTAAAACATTGAATATACAATCATATCCATATGTTCCAAGAGTGAAATCAGGTCTATATCATCAATTGTTAAACGATTACTCTCTATATGTATCGATTTCCTGCACAGTGCGGACCACTCAAAGATTCTAGCCAATTAGATATTTGATTTTTTCTTATTACCAAATGAAAAGAAAAAAAAATTAAAACAGTGAGAGGAAAAGAAGAGAGAATTGAAAAAAAAAAAAAAATTCAAAACTGTATTGAAAATACCTAATAATTGATACATTATCTATTCGAATTTTCTGTGGAAGAAAGAAAAGGAAGAACCAACTTATAATTATTCAAATACAAGAAAATGTCATTCTTTAGAGAATTATTGGAATCAGTTATCCCAACTGCTCATGCTGAAGAAGATGAAGAAGTAGTATGTTATAAACTATTATTGTCCAAAGATTAATTGCGAAAATTATCTCCATTGCAATTGGTCACCAATACCATTGAATTATGTATACTAACTAAATGAAATTTAGGTCATTCAAGAAGTCGACGAAGAAGAACCAGAAGCTGCTCCAGAAGAATCTGTTGAAGAAGAAACCGTTGAAGAAGAAGATGACGAAGAAGATGATGATGAAGACGATGAAGATGACGAAGATGAAGAAGAAACTGTTGATCCATTAGATACTTTACGTGAAGAATGTGCTAAAACTGCTGCTTGTAAACCATTCGATCACCATTTCCACGAATGTATTGAAAGAGTTACCAAAGAACAAGAAGAAGAAGGTTACGAACATAAACACTATAAAGAAGATTGTGTTGAAGAATTCTTCCATTTACAACACTGTGTTAACGATTGTGTTGCCCCAAGATTGTTCAACAAATTGAAATAGATTTCAATAGCAAATTCAATCATTCACACCCACACACTCACATATTCACGTATCTATTTAAATTTTTAAAAAATTTATTAAAAAGAAAAAAAAAATCAATAAATAAATAAAAATATTTCCTTTCACTTGCTTAATTACTTTGGACAATGTGTAAGGTGTAATTAGCATTTGTCAAAACTAAAATATAATAAACAAAAGAAGATCAATTCTTTGTTTCTCTTTTTGTTTTATTGTTTTTATAGGAATTTCCTTTCTACACTATTCTTCATATATATTAAAATATAAATAATTTCGAAACTTGAGTTGATTATTGTAGAGTTATCATGTGTTTTGTGTCACGTGTAATACATCACATGACGCGGCCATTTGAAACAATCTTGGATTTTCTTCTTTTCTTGTTATATTTTATTTTATTCTTGGGAATATTACAAATGGTGAATGTGGGGCGGCGGCGGACGGGATATATTACCTACCTCCACTCTGATACCAATTGGGGACTTTATATTATTATTTATTGTAATACTCATTGATCTCTGTAATGTGCTTTTATTTTTATTTTTTTTATTCTTGGATTAAACATGTCTTGTGGTTACATGACTTGCCTGATTCCGAGATTTCATAGGAGAAGAAAAAAAAAAAAATCAACAACAATGAACGACCAATTGTCGACACTTTACTCCCTTAATTTTTTTTGCTGTTGTCGTTGTTGTAGTGCTCACTCTTTCCTTGTTCACAACTCTCTGTAATTTTTTTTTTTTTTTTCAAAAGACCAAAATAAAAAAAAAGAAAATCAATTAATTTGTTCAATTCTTGATCGAAAGTTAATCAATCTTGAGAATCCCTTGTAATTTGTGATTTGAAATCAGACAAAGGTGAAAAAAAGAAACCATCAAAAGAAGAAAATTTGTTGTTGTGAATTTATTTAATAATCGTGTGAATTTGTAATTAAAGAATAAGTAAGAACGAAAAATAAAAAAAGAAAAATGTCTACTGAAGAATCAAAAGTCATTAAGCCATTGATTGAAGATAGAATCTACGTTGGTAACGTTGATTTCAAAGCCACTGAAGAAGAAGTCAAAGAATTATTCAAGGGTTTGAATGTCACCGACGTTGAAATCCCATTCAAGGAAAATACTCGTGGCGATAAAACTTACAAGAGACATTTGGGTTTTGCCTTTGTTCAATTTGGCAGTAAAGAAGATGCTGATAAAGCAATTGTTGATTTCAATGGTCAAAAGTTCCAAAGAAGAAACATCTTTATCAGAAAGGCTGTCCCACCTCCAACTGAAGAAGAAAAGAAGGAAAGAGTTGAAGCTTACAGAGCCAAGAAGGAAGAAATCAAGAAAGAAAGAGAAGAAAAGAAGGCTGAAGCTAAGAAGAAGAGAGAAGAAGCTGCAGCCAATGGTGAATCCACTGCTACTATTCCAGATGGTACTCCTTCAAAGGATACCATTTTCATCACCAACTTGGATTACAAAGTCAATGTTAAAACTTTAAGTGGTTTGTTTAAAGATTTGAAACCAAAATGGATCCATGTCCCAGCCAGAAGAGTTCCATACAACAGAAGAGGTGGCCGTGGTGGCAATTTCAGAAGACCATTCAACAAAGGTATTGCTTTTGTCAAATTTGCCAATGAAGAAACTCAAAAGAAGGCTGTTGCTGAATTTAACGGTAAAGAAATCAATGGTAGAGAAATTATTGTTGACATTGCTATCGACTCTAGAATTCCAAAAGAAGACGAAGCAGAAGAAGACGTTGATGTCGAAGAAAATGGTAACTAAGGAATACAATTAATGTAATGGAATTGGCGGATTTGAGAGAGAGAAATAAGAAGTAGGACGTCTCCATCAAATATATAAGAAAAAAAAAAAACTGTCCTACTTTCCCATGTTAGTCCTATTTTTTTGAATTTTTTTTTTTTGATTTATTGTTTATTTAATGTTGTTATTACTTATTTTGATGTCGTTTCCATTTTGTATTCCCAAATATCGCTCTCATTCAATGTTTATATAATGTTTTATTATGTATAGGTATTCTGTCTTTTCTTTTCTTTATTTTTTTGCCTGATATCTTTTTTTATATATTTGCATTTAAAAGGCAAGTACTAAGGAGTTCTTAATTGAATCTATTTTCTTTGGTTCTTGTCTTTTGAAATAAAAATAAAAAGAGAATGAAAAGAAGAAAAATGAATAAATTTTAATATTGTAAATTAATCCATGTGTTTTCATATGGGTTGCTGGTGATAGACATACAGTCTAACTAAACTCAGGTTCCAGTCGGGTCCTATTTTTTCATTTTTTTTTAGTGAAAGTTTTGCAGTAAAATATTATCAAATACTAAGAGAACGAGAGGAGAGAAGTTGAACCAGGCGATAAAAAACGTACAGATGATTCCGCATTTCGTGCCGTATCAGCAGACGGAATTAGACAAGGCACTTAAAACGAGTCAATGTTTGGTTTAAACAAGAGCAGAAGACAGATTTCTTGTTTGTTTATCTTTTGATAGTAACGAATATTAGTCATATTTAAAGGTAGAACTGGAACCTGAATTGAACTATGTGGACCACTCATGACAAATGAAACATGCATTTCAACTGTATACATTATATCTGGTTCCTACAACAACAACAAAAAAACAACCTATTATCAGCAAGATGTATCACCTTATCCGTGATACTTGAATTCTTGTGTTCTTGTGTCTGTATAAACCAAATTAAAGAAAAAAAGTGAAATTATCAATACTAAATTAAATAAAATAAAAATTAAAAATAAAAAAAATAAAAAATCGCAATGCGGTTGAGATTATATTTAAGAACCACAAAGTTCCTGCTCTCTCCCCCCATCAAAAAATTTTTAATTTTATGAATTTTTTCTTTTCTCCTAGTTCTATTATTTCTTTCAATACTTAAGAGTATCCGTTAAATAATATTCAGTCCTGAGTTATCATACGGTTTATTCAACAACTACGTCTACCTTATTTCATAGTCCATAGTTGTTCATTATAAGATATTCCAGAATATTGCATTTCGTGTCACCGTGAAATATTAATATTTTTTTTTTTTTTAAAGAAAAAGAAAATCAAGAAATAGTTTTGCCTTATCCATTCCTTACATCAAACAACCATTCATATCAGACCTTTATTGACAATCATCTATAAAGGAGTACATACCATTATTGTCATTACTATACTTTTCAACCAATGGAGCTAAGTATTCTGCCTAATTCTAATGCAACATCCCCTCTGTGCCAATTTTGGGACTACGATGATGTGACAAAATGTGGAAGATTTGAATTGGAGTATTACCCTCCACTTATAATCGGTACAATCTCATTTGTCATCTTATTAATCAAATCAACTATATCCCTACGCAAAAGGAGACAAGGTAATCAAATCCATTTGGATACTTCCAATGATACCGAAACGCGTCCACTTTTGGCAAACTCAAATGGTTATGGGACTACTGAAGGATTCGACACCAAATTAACCAAGGAAGAAATTAAAGCCCTCCACTTTGATGTAGCCAGATTACCAGATACCAATATCGATGGTAAACAACATGGTTACGTCCAAGAGGTCTACAAGAATATTTCTCAAAGATTAAGAGTATGTGTCGAGTACGTCTTAGTAATTCTGAGCTTGGCTTTACACATTTCACCTTTTTTCTCCAGACAATTGCACAGAGAATTCCGCGATGCTGCATTTATACCGCTTGTTCAATCGATCTTTTGGTTATACGTATTCATTCTTGTCACTATTAGAATCGTCAATTTGAAGAAAGTATCCATTAGATTACCGAACTTATGGGTTCATACAACTGCATTATACTTTTTCAGTTTTTTCCCAGCTTTGATCACTTTCAGATCGGCTATTGTCAGCCCAACAATGAAGACTCAAGTACGTCAATACTACATAACTGAATTTGCTCTTACTGGTGTTTTATTGTACTTGAACATGACTGCAAAGATTGGTGATAAACCTTCTCAATTATATGTTACTCCAGGAATTGAACCATCTCCAGAAAATGTTTCCAGTATTGCTTCTTTTATTTCTTACTCATGGTTAGACAAGATGATTTGGAAGGCTTATAAGAAACCATTGAAGATGGATGATATTTGGGGTTTGAGACAAGATGATTATGCCCTTTTTGTATTGAAAGGTTTTGAAGCTTCAAAGTCTACTTTCAGATTTACTTTTAAATTGTTTTATCATTTCAAATATTTATTCGCTATCCAAGCATTCTGGGCTATTTTGGAATCATGCTTAGTCTTTGGTCCGTCTGTTTTGTTAAAGAGAGTTTTAGAATATGTCGCCGACCAGCATTCATACCCAACTAATTTGGCCTGGACTTTTGTTTTTATGATGCCCCTCGTTAAGATGGCTGATTCTATTGCTTCAGGTTGTTCTTTGTTCTTAGGTAGAAGAGTCTGTTGCAGAATGAAAGCCATCATCATTGGTGAGGTCTATGCCAAAGCATTGAGAAGAAAAATCACTGTTACTGAAGGTGCTTCTGACGATTCGTCTAGCGAGTCCGACAAAAAAGATGGTGAAGATAATGACAGCGAAGATTCTAAGGAGACCAAGAAAACTGCCGAATTAGGTGCCATTATCAACTTGATGGCCATTGATGCTTTCAAAGTTTCTGAAATTTGTGGATATTTGCATTACTTTGTTGGAGCAATTTTAATGATTGTCATTTGTATCATCTTATTGTATGGTTTAATTGGCTGGAGTGCCTTTGTTGGTTCATTAGCTATTTTTGTATTGTTGCCTATCAACTACCAATTTGCTTCTTGGACCGGTCGTGTTCAAAAAGAAATGTTGGCAGTCACCGATAAGAGAGTGCAAAAATTAAACGAAACTTTCCAAAGTATCAGAATCATTAAGTTCTTTGCTTGGGAAGACAAGTTTTTCGAAAATGTTATGAACATTAGAGAAGAAGAAATCAGATTCTTGAAATTAAGATGTCTTATTTGGTGTTGTGGTTCATTTGTCTGGTTTGTTACTCCAACATTGATCACTTTGTTGTCATTCTATTGTTACACCATTGTTGCTGGAAACACCTTAACTGCACCAGTTGCTTTCACTGCTTTGTCGTTGTTCACTTTGTTGAGATCACCATTAGATCAATTAGCCGACATGACATCCTTTGTGATCCAATCCAAGGTCTCTCTTGATAGAGTTGCTGATTTCTTGAATGAACCAGAAACATCCAAGTATGAACAATTGGGTCAAGAGCGTGGTCCAAACTCCCCAGAAATTGGTTTTGAAAATGCCACCTTATCTTGGAATGCCCAATCTAAGAATGACTTCCAATTGAAAGACTTGAACGTTTCCTTCAAACCAGGTGAATTGAATGTTATTATTGGTCCAACCGGTTCAGGTAAGACATCTTTGTTGTTAGGTTTATTAGGTGAAATGGATTTGGTCAATGGTAAGATATTCTTGCCAGGTATTTTGCCTCGTGATGATTTGGTGGTTGATCCGGTAACTGGATTGACTGAATCAGTAGCTTACTGTTCACAATCTGCTTGGTTATTGAATGATACAATCAGAGGAAATATTACTTTTGGTGCACCATTCAACCAAGAACGTTACGATAAAGTAGTTGAAGCATGTGGATTGGCTCGTGATTTGAAGATTTTGAGTGCTGGAGATCAAACTGAAGTTGGTGAAAAGGGTATCACCTTATCTGGTGGTCAAAAACAAAGAGTTTCATTGGCAAGAGCTTTATACTCAAACTCTAAACATTTATTGTTGGACGATTGTTTATCTGCTGTCGATTCTCACACTGCATTATGGATTTACGAAAACTGTATCAGTGGTCCATTGATGCAAGGAAGAACTTGTATCTTGGTTTCTCATAATGTTGCATTGACTGTTCAAAATGCTGCTTGGGTTGTTGTTTTGGAAAATGGAAGAGTAAAGAACCAAGGTACTACTGATGTATTGTTAGAATCTGGTGATTTGGGAGACGACGAATTGGTCAAGACTTCTGTTATGAATTCTCGTTCTCAATCAACAACAAATTTGCAATCATTGGATGATAAAAACGCTGATATGAAGGCTAAAGCTGCTGCCATTGAATCGAAATTGAATGCTCTTGCTAAACCAGATGAAGAAGAAGAACCAGTTAAAACAGATGGTAAATTGGTTGAAGAAGAAAGCAAAGCTGAAGGTGTTGTTGGTTCTGAAGTTTACTTTGGCTATGCAAAATACTTTGGTGGTTGGCCAACATGGACATTAGTTTTGGTTGTTTTCCTTCTTTCTCAAGGGGTTTACATGTGTCAATCATTCTGGTTAAGAAATTGGTCTTTACATAGTGAGCAAGCTTCTAGCTTAGTCAATTCTGTTGCCATGTCTACATTTGGAACTGTATATGATAGTTCACAGTTTTCTCAATTACCTGTTGTTCGTACTTTTACTGGTGCTTCCAAATTATTAGTTAATAGCTATAATGCCATCAATGCCATTAAGGAGCAACACACCACTGTTTATTACATTTCAATCTATGGTCTCATTGGTTTGGCTTATGGTGTCACCGCAAGTTTCAGAGTTTTCATTACTTTCTACACTGGTGTTATTGCCTCCAACAGAATTTTCAAACAAGTCTTGGTTACTATTTTGAGAGCAAGATTAAGATTTTTCGACAAGACACCATTGGGTCGTATCATGAATAGGTTTTCCAAGGATATTGAATCTGTTGATCAAGAAGTTACACCATTTGCAGAAGGTGTTTTCATCTGTTTAGTTCAATGTGTTTCGATCTTGATTTTGATTACTTTTATTACACCAGGATTTTTGATTTTTGCCGTTATTATTTCCTTTTTGTACTATTTGGTTGGTTATTTCTATTTGACACTTTCTCGTGAATTAAAGAGATTTGAATCTGTTACCAAGTCTCCTATTCATCAACATTTCTCAGAATCCTTGAGTGGTGTTGCCACTATCAGGGCTTATGGTATTGAATCAAGATTTATGAAGCAAAACTTACAAGCTATTGACAACAACAATAGACCATTTTTCTATTTATGGGTTGCCAATCGTTGGTTATCATTCCGTATTGATGCTGTTGGATCCTTGGTCATGTTGTTTACTGGTGTTTTTATTTTATTAGCTGTGGGTAAGATTGATGCTGGTTTGGCTGGTTTGTCATTATCTTATGCTATTGCATTTTCAGAAAGTGCTCTTTGGATTGTCCGTCTTTATGCCAATGTGGAAATGAACATGAACTCAGTTGAAAGATTGCAAGAATATCTTGAAGTTGAGCAAGAACCACCTGCAGAAATCAAAGAGACTGAGCCAAGAGCATCCTGGCCAGAAGCTGGTCAAATTTCTGTCAATGATGTTTCATTAAGATATGCTCCTAACTTACCAAGAGTTATTAAGAATGTCACATTTGACGTTCAGCCATGTAATAAAGTTGGTATTGTTGGACGTACTGGTGCTGGTAAGTCTACTATTATCACAGCATTTTTCAGATTTTTAGATCCAGAAACTGGTTCTATTAAGATTGATGGAGTTGATATCACCACGATTGGTTTACGTAACTTGCGTCAAGCTATTACCATTATTCCACAAGATCCAACTTTGTTTACCGGTACCATTAGAACCAATTTGGATCCATTTGAACAATATACCGATGGTGAAATTTTTGAAGCATTGCGCAGAGTCAACTTGATTGCCCCAGGTGAACAACAAGCTGCATCTGGCGAAAACCAAAATAAATTCTTTAATTTGGAAAATGCTATCACTGAAGGTGGTGGTAACTTATCTCAAGGTGAAAGACAATTGGTTTGTTTAGCAAGATCATTGTTGAAAAATCCAAAGGTTATTTTATTGGATGAGGCAACCAGTTCAATTGATTATAAATCTGATTCATTGATTCAACAAACAATTAGAGAAGAGTTTGGTCATCTGACAATTTTAACCATTGCCCATAGATTAAGAACAATTATTGATTATGACAAGATTCTTGTTATGGATGCTGGTAAAGTTGTTGAATACGATAATCCATATGTCTTGATTGCAAATAAGGAATCTTTGTTCTACAGTATGTGTGAAAACAGTGGTGAGTTAGATTCATTGGTTAAGTTGGCCAAGGAAGCTTTCATCAAGAAAAAGAATCAATCCAAATAAACAATGACATCTTTCAATTTCTATTGATTTTATAGATTTTATAGTACAGTTTTATTTTTTTTTTTTTTGCAGTTTGATCAATATGATTTCCGTTATTTATAGCTATTTCCGATCAGTAGAATTTCTTTATCCGATTGCACGCGGATATGTCAACATAAATAGTAGTGGGATATTTTTGATCCATGCACGAAAGAGTTTTCCCGCAAAATAACTGAATATCCGAAATATAGAAGGAAAAAAAAAGGACGCCACATTGTGACAAAAAAGAGTTTTCTTATCTATGACATAAACAAGTGATCATTATCCTCCCCCAAGTATCTCCTTGCACCCATTCAAACCAAAAAAAGGGAAAAAAAATTTTAATTCATGGATTAGTAATGATAAATAATTTAAACACCATTAATCCTTCAATTACTGAAGATACTCTGAGTTTGTCCAATAATTCTGAATCTAATCTCAACAACAACAACAACGATAATAACAATCCACAACAAAGTGAAAATATAGAGATGAAAGATTTGGATAAATCCGAGTATACGAAAATACCAGATGTGTTGATAACTGAAGAAAGAACAAGAACACCAAGTGATCTTTCTATTTCTGATGTGAATTCTTATTTACAACCATCTATAGAGGATCAAAATGGACGAGTGTCATATTTACAAGATTTGGAGGATCTTCCTCAAGGACGTCATTTGGGATTATTTTCAACTATTGTTTTATTTGTGAGTCGAATCTTAGGAAGTGGGATATTTAGTATCACTAGTGGTATCTACCAGGATTGCGGGCAATCTGTTTTCTTGTTTTTCAGTGCATGGTTTGTTGCTGGTGTTGCTTCATTTGGGGGATTATATGTTTTTTTAGAAATGGGATCATTGGTTCCACGAAGTGGTGGTGCCAAAGTATTCTTGGAATTTATATATCCATATCCTAAATTACTTGCCACAGTGGCATTTCTGGTTTATTCAGTATTGTTTGGTTTTACAATTTCCAATGTGTTGGTTTTTGGTGAATATGTGATACATGCATGTGGGATTGAACCATCAGATTTTAAGACAAGAAGTGTTGGCTTGGTGTTTTTATACTTTGCTGCAATACTCCATGGTGTTAGTGTTTCCCATGGGGTGAGAATACAGAATGTTTTAGGTGGATTGAAACTTGTACTTGTTGGTATTATTGTTGTTTCTGGATTATATGTGACTGTTTTCCCTGAATCAATCACTGGTATCAAACACGAAGTTGAATGGAATAGATTTTTTGATATAAGATCGAGTACAAGTGTACTGAAATTTGCTTCTGCTGTGATTAAAGCATCGTTTGCCTTCTCGGGTTGGAATTCAGTGCATACCGTTTCAAACGAGATTAAAGATCCTGTTCGTACATTCAAAATCGCTGGTCCAGTATCATTGGGTATCATGGCAGTAACTTATCTTATTGCAAACCTCGCATATCTTACTGTGATTCCAAACGATGAGTTAGCTAATGGAAGCACACTTGCAGGAGCAATATTATTCACAAAGATCTTTGGTAACTTCATTGGACAAAAGTTGTTAACTTTGGCTGTTGCGTTGTCTTCTGCTGGAAACATATTTGTGGTGATTTATACAATATCAAGAGTAGATCAAGAGGTTTTTCGTGAAGGATACTTACCTTTCTCGAGATTCATGTCCAGTAACTGGCCCCGTGGTGCTCCATTTCGTACGTTGATATTGAGTTGTAGCTTAACAACCACTATCATTATATTATTTCCACATGGTGATATTTACAGTTATATGGTATCCTTAGAAGGTTATCCACAACAATTGGCCATTGCATTGATTGCGATTGGGATATTTATTGTTCGCAAGAGATATCCAGAATTGAGAGCACCTATAAGAGCAGGATATACAGGAACCATTGCAGTTTTCATCATTAGTTTGTATTTATTAATTGGTCCATTTGTATCCTCACAAAGTCCGAACCCTAAAGGGTTAGAGAATTGGCCAAATTATGGACTTGTTGCAGTGTTTTGTATTCTTGCATGTATTGCATTTTGGTATGTCAAGTTCAAGTTGTTACCATCAATAGGTGGTTACGAATTAGTTTCAGACGAAGAGAAGTTGAGTGATGGGTTAACTATTAAACAATGGAATAAGGTATATAACTATACAGCATTATAGAATAGAACAAATACATGTCATAGATATTCATTCTAGCAGAAAATTTAAAAGTAGAGAACCGTTGATATTCCCGATGGAAAAAAAGAAGACAATACATTCTCAATGCAAGATAATGGTTCAAAAATGGCTACATGCTTGTATATTAGTCGTAGATAAATGTTGGGTAAATTTTTATTTTGCTTACAATTTGTACCATTATCATTGGTTGTTAAGAAGTATGGTGATGTTGCAAAAAAAAAAGAGAGAGCGAGTACTTTTCTAATGAGTATCACCATTTTAGAAGCAAACCATACTGGTTCAAACATACCTGATACGATGATTCGGGTTCACTTCGTTTCTGTTCGTTTCAGAGTTGATCGGTAACAAGGTCCTACGATGGTGTTGGATATGTGAATGAAGTTATGTTTCACTAGTTCATGATCATTGGTAAACATATAATCAGCTAACCAATATTGGTTTTGCTCTGTATTAATGTTAAGGTTGATAATCGTTTTTGATATTAAGACAGAATAAAAACTGAAAATGGAACCTATCAAAAAAAGAAAAAAGGATCTCCATCATTGATAATTAAAACAAGTAATAAACCATAAAATATAATCGTATAATAAATCGTAAGATTTTTCTTTGGGATAACCTCCAGATTTAATCATATGATGGCACACAAAAATGAGTAAATGTACTTAGACAGGGTTGGCTAATAATGAATGAAAAATATATCGTGATCATGCATAAGGGGGAGCGGACAGAAAGTAAGAAAGAAGAGAAAAAAAAAGTTTACTATGGGCGTGTACTACCCAATAAGTTATTCTTCACTGCCAGAGAACAATCAATGAAGTAAAAAAAAAATGAGATGATTTTTTTTTTTTTTTTTTTGCATTTGGTTTATTCAATTCGCCTTAATTTTATTTTGTTTTAGTTTGTATTGCATGAACGAATGATATGTGGGTTGAAAGAATTTAGTTCATGAACGAGCAATGCGTTAGAAAATCTTGTAAGCAATTGAGACACCTTCAATTACTGCAAATATTCACTGTAAAAGCCCTGCTCTGCAAAGTTTTTTCTTTCTTTCCTTATGCTCTCATTGTCATCCAAGAATGAAAAATGGTTTGATACTCAACATTATTCAACGAAGGATCTGCAATCCATTCTTAAATAACACGTCAAAATAATTTTTCTTCTCTTTTGTTTCGTTTTGTTTCGTTTCGTTCTGTTTTGTTTCCATTTGATATCTTTAACTTGTTTATTTCTTTTTTGGGAGGTTTTTCTGTATAAAAGCGTTTTGATATCCCCGATCTCCAAGAATTTTTTTTTTTCTTTTTTTTTTTTTTCACTATTCCTTTTCATCACTACCCTGTTCATACTTATTTAAATACCACTTCAATTTAAACAACAATTAAATATGGTTTCCCCAGATCAGATTCATGACACATCATTCCCAATAAGGGAAAGAATGGAAGCTTTAATCCGTTTAAAGCAAAAAGAAATCACCGATGCTATTGCCAGTTTAGATACTGTTGAATTCCGTACAGACAACTGGTCTAGAGGTGACAACGGTGGTGGTGGTCAATCTATGGTCATCCAAAACGGTACTACTTTTGAAAAAGGTGGTGTTAATATTTCTATTGTTCATGGTAAATTACCACCTCAAGCTGTCACTAGAATGAGAGCCGATCACTCCAACTTGAGAGGTTCTGAAAAAGATGGTAGTGTCAACTTCTTTGCTTGTGGGTTATCCATGGTTATTCACCCAATCAATCCACATGCTCCAACCACTCATGCCAACTACAGATACTTTGAAACCAGTGATCCAGAAACTAATGAAACACAAACCTGGTGGTTTGGTGGTGGTGCTGATTTGACCCCATCCTACTTGTATGAAGAAGATGCCAAGTTGTTCCATCAATTACATAAAGATGCATTGGATAAATATGACAAAGAATTATATCCAAAATACAAGAAATGGTGTGATGAATATTTCTTTATCAAACACAGAGGTGAAACTAGAGGTGTTGGTGGTATTTTCTTTGATGATTTTGACAGCAAGCCAGCAGATGATATCTTGAAGATTGTCGAATCTTGTTTTGATGCTTTCATCCCAGCTTATATTCCAATTGTTGCTAAAAGAAAAGATACTCCATACACCAAGGAACAAAAAGAATGGCAACAAATTAGAAGAGGTAGATATGTTGAATTCAACTTGGTCTTGGATAGAGGTACACAATTTGGTTTACAAACTCCAGGATCAAGAGTCGAAAGTATTTTAATGTCCTTACCAGCTACCGCCAGTTGGGCTTATGATCATCATCCAGAACCGGGTTCAGAAGAAGATAGATTATTGCAAATTTTAAAGAAACCTATTGATTGGGTTTAAGTATAGATGGAGTCTCGTTTAACTAAGACAAATTTCGTTGATAGAACAATTATAGCAAAATGTCAATAAAATAATGATAATAACAATAACAAAAAAATCTGTGCATAAATATGAAATCAATTATTGCCCATATCTGTAAACCACAACTCTTTTCACTCTTTGGGACACCATGATTCAAAGTCCAGCCAAGCATCATCTAAAGGGTAGAATGTGTGAGTATTGAGTTTTCGTATTATAACAGGAATTGCCTGACCAGTATACATCGGAAACCTTCTATGGCCAACAACATTCAAAATTGAATAAATGATTCCCGAATGAAGAACAATACTGATAACTTTTTTGTCATCACTAGATTCGTTGAAAATTTCAGTTAACAACTTAGCGGCTCGATAATCCACATGCTGTGATTTTTCTCGAGTATCTGACTTCCATGTCACATCTTGCTCGCTAAAGCCAGATTCAAACTTGAAATACGGATAGTTCTCAGAGATATAACTCATATTATGACGTTGACTCTCTGAATCAATACCATATATTTCACGTGCCAATTCCTTAATGGTAGGTTGATGATGCGGCAAGTGTTCCCACGTGTACAACCATGTTTGTAAAGTTCTTCTTAATGGACTGACATAGAATCTTTGTGGTTGGGGGAATCCAATAGTTTGATTTATATGACGGCTTAGTTCCTTGATTTGTCTTATACCATGAGGTGTTAGTTCAGCATCTTGCCAAATCACATCATTGTTTCCAGGTTGTAAGGACCAATAGCATCTCCAGTCATCATGAGTGAAATTCCGGGGTGCAACATTATGATACCCTTGTCCATGTCTCTGCAAGAAAAATAGCTTTTCGTCTGGTGCTAACGATTCAACAACTTGATTCCAGGTATACTCCTTCAATAGACCAAAATTGTGGGTATAGTTAACGTCTGAAGGGGGTATCGTGGGGTTACTTTGTGCAAAAAACTTCAGACTTGTATTGAAAACAGGAAGGTAATTGTGTAGATCAAGAATCAACTGAGCCAGGCATATAACATGATTAATAGACAATAATAGCAAATATTGTAGCAAATCCATTGTACTTACAGTAGAAAAGTTGGTCTTTGATAAGAGATAAGATCTGGTTGACTAAGTTGAGAAATCCAATCAACCCCCCGCCCCCCCCCCCCCCCCCAAAAAAAATTCTAGGATTCTATTTTGTGTCAACGAGAGGAATGAAACTGCAACGGACCACACGCAGTAATTGGCAACATAATCGCCGCCACAGAATGAAGAAGGAAAAACAAAAAGACGACTAACTGAGAGAGGTTTTATTATCGTTTGGTGTTGTGGGATTAAGGACGACTACATGTATAACAGGTGGTGGCATTAGGGACCAGGTAATAATACATTCCATATATTTATATATTCCAATCTCATTGTTGCAAAATTGGTTGCAGTACCTGAGATTCTTTTCTGGTTTTTTCTTTCCCTGTTCGAAGTTAGATTTCGTGAGCCACAATTTTTCAGATCAGTGTGACAAAAACAACAGAGTGAATTCGTCATTCCTGTAGAATATTTCCCCATGGATCAATGGAGTGGTCAAGTTGATTGATACTGAGTCACCCTATCAGGTAATAGTCCGAGTATAGCTGTATTTAAATGAGAGTAATTCCGGCTTGCTTAGCAATGATGAAATTAGTAGTAATCACATACTAATTAAAATGACAGTCACTAATAAAACAGAATACAGCAAACTTTTGGAACTGGTATCTATAAACGAAGCCGATTCTTCAGATTCTTCCACATCAGACTCAAATGAATATTTGAAACCATCGATTATATTAAATAGACGGTATTCATACCTACAAGATTTGGAGGATCTTCCACAAGGACGTCATTTGGGACTATTTTCAACTATTGTTTTATTTGTGAGTCGAATCTTAGGAAGTGGGATATTTAGTATCACCAGTGGTATCTACCAGGATTGCGGGCAATCTGTTTTCTTATTTTTCAGTGCATGGTTTGTTGCTGGTGTTGCTTCATTTGGGGGATTGTATGTTTTTTTAGAAATGGGATCATTGGTTCCACGAAGTGGTGGTGCCAAAGTATTCTTGGAATTTATATATCCATATCCTAAATTACTTGCCACAGTGGCATTTCTGGTTTATTCAATACTAGTTGGATTTACTATATCGAACGTATTAGTCTTTGGTGAATACGTAGTACATGCATTTGGGATCGAGGGTTCAGATTTTAAGACAAGAACCGTCGGTTTGATATTTTTGTATTTGGCAGCATTGCTCCACGGTGTTAGTGTTTCCCATGGCATAAGAATCCAAAATATTCTTGGTGGTTTAAAATTGGGACTAGTTGCCATCATTGTCTTTTCTGGAATCTATGCCGTTGCATTTCCTACGTCCATCACTGGTATTGAACATCAACTTGAATGGGATAGTGTTTTTAAAGTACGATCCAGTGTAAGTATTCTGACGTTTGCATCTGCTGTGATCAAAGCCACCTATGCGTTTTCTGGTTGGAATTCAGTACATACTGTTTCAAACGAGATTAAAGATCCTGTTCGTACATTCAAAATTGCTGGTCCAGTATCATTGGGGATCATGGCAGTAACTTATCTTATTGCAAACCTTGCATATCTCACGGTAATACCAAGTGAAGAATTGGCTAATGGAAGCACGCTTGCTGGTTCACTTTTGTTTTCCAGAATTTTTGGTAGTTTCATCGGTCAACGATTATTGACATTAGCAATTGCACTTTCTGCAGCTGGTAATATATTTGTTGTTCTTTACACCATTTCTAGAAACGATCAAGAGGTATTTCGTGAAGGGTATCTACCATTTTCAAAATTTATGTCTAGTAACTGGCCCTTCGGTGCGCCTTTGAGAGCTTTGGTTTTGAGTTGTAGTATTACTACCACAATTATGGTTGCATTTCCACGTGGTGATATCTACAGTTACATTATTTCTTTAGAAGGGTATCCTAACCAATTAGTACTTGGATTGGTTGCTGCTGGTATATTTATCATTAGAAGAAGATACCCCGAATTAAATGCCCCGATAAGAGCTGGCATTATTGGGACTATTTCAGTAATGTGCATTAGTTTGTATTTGTTGGTTGGTCCTTTTGTATCTTCTACGAGTCCTAATCCAAAAGGTTTAGAGAGTTGGCCAAACTACGGTTTGATTGGTATTTTATTGATTACTTCATGTATTGGGTTTTGGTATATCAATTTTAGAATCTTACCCTGGATGGGTGGTTATGAATTAATTTCAGAAGAAGAGAAACTAGGTGATGGGTTAACTATAAAACAATGGAAACGGGTATATAGCTAATTAAGTTCATAGACATTATAAAACCAATAAGATCTCATATATCATCAATAATTCGGTCTAATCTAGAAACAAATTCCACAAACTCGGGATTCAGTTTAATCTGGTTTCTTATAGCCGCACGTAATGATGAATCAGTTAATTTCTTTAATTCATCAATGTTGCCCATGTTTATATCAGGAATAGGCTCAGGTAAGTGTGCATAAACATGCGTAGGATTAGATGGTGTGATTGAAGGATAAGTGAATTCTTGATTAGGTGGCATAAATGCCACTTTTGCTTCTGGTTGTGATGATATAACAGGATAATATACTTGTTGTTGTTGAGTTGGTTGGGTTTGGGAAATATAGTGTACAAATGATTGAGAGTTCTGTTGTTGAATCTGAGAACTTGCGACAGGCACAACTTGAGAAGAGGACAACATTGCCGATGAAGATGATGAAGATCTTGAAGTGTCTTTGTTGCTTAAACAGAATTTGAAAGTTAAAGACAACATGTTGCAACACTTGGTATATTCTTTATCGTCTGTGAAACTCACTTGAAATCTTTTTACAATGTTGCCAAATCGATCACATTGTTTGATACCAATTGATGGCAGCTTACACAAGGCAGTTGTCACACATTTGTCTGTCACCATAAGTGAAAAACTATCCTGGAAAATGGTGTTAGTATTATGAACAGGTAAAACTCTTCAGAATGTGGGTTGTTTTTCGTACTAAAGTTGCACCTCTCCAATACACAGTCACAGCTATTTCTTCCGATTGTCCACTAACAAAACTGATGGATAAATCTGATCTTTGTGGGAAATGATACCAATTCTGGTTTCTTTGGAATATAGAGAATTTGTTAATATTGAAGTGGTATATCTGTTGTGTCATTGAATGGATAGGACATTCACTCTGGTGGTAAAAAAAAAAGAAAGGAAATCTACATTTGCAACAACTTTCTCAGAATCAAAAAATAATTATAGTTTTTATCTCATCTACAATTCTAGATTGATGTAATGTCTATATTTCATCTATAATAAATAATTAACTACTGATGGTCACCTTTGACAATTTCAAAGATTCTTTGGTTCGTATCAAACGGATTGTCAATGTATAGATTATGTCCACCTTCACTAATTTCATAATAACACGCTTGCTTCTTCTTGCTCTTTAATAACTCTACCAATTTCTCTCCTGCTTCGGAATTCATAAAGTCAAACTGGCCATACATGATATGAAAATCAAAGTTTAAGTCATTGGGTCTTTCATCTAAAGCTTTGACAAACTTGTCATAAATCGGCCATTTACTCACCGTCGCAGTAGTCAAAACATATCTGGTGTAAATATCACTATTCGAACCATTGGTGATGGCATTATATAAATACTCAATGATCAAACGGAGCTCTTTCTTGCTACCATACACCAAGTCATTATGGTTATTGAAGATTTTCTCTGGCCCTCCATGTTTGGCAACTAATTTGTTAATTTTATATAATTTCGACATCCACATCTTGAAATACAATTGAGCACCCCAAGGACCCAAATATGGAAGTATTCTTGGTAGAAATGGTAATCTATAGTACCAGTAGAGAATCTGTTGTTTAGAAAGAATAGGTAATCGTGACAAAAAGTTGTAGCTGGTTGGATCCAAGCTGGGTTTTTGAATCTCATTGGTAATAACATTCGTGTTTGTCACTGCATGAACATTTCTTTCAACCCCTACTGGAGATAGCAAAATCAAACTCGATATCTTATCTGGATTTCTCAATGCATATGACGATGACCAATATCCTCCATAAGAATGGCCCACCAACCAATCAATCTTTTCAATCCCTTGATTTTTTCTCCAGTTGTCTATTGCAGAACAGTAGAATTCTTCGAGATCCTTAAGAATGGGAGCAAAATAAGACCGATACTGTTCAAAGTTCTCGGGGTCCAATCTGTATCCTTCAATCAACTTATAGTATTTGCGGTACAATTTCTTTGAATCTGTTGGTTCATTATCTATCAACTCAATCTTAGCCACGGGTGGTATTCTCCAGTATTGTACTGTCTCGTTCGAAACCTTCGGGTTGGACGATAAACCAAACGTAATGTTATCCAAAAAATGTACATGATAATTGAAATTCTCATCTCCTTTGAACTTATTAATGAGTTGAAAGTTTCTGGCAAAACATCCTAGAGAAGCTCCATAGCCGTGAATGAAAACAATATGTTTTGTGGGTTTTGATTCATCGTTGATGATTTTGAACCCCACTTCATTGATGTAATTTCCCTCTTCATCAAGATGGACTTTCTTATACTCTGTAGTGATACCTGCATTTTCTTCGAGATTAGGTGATATCATGAGTTCTACTAATTCTTTTTGAAGAGTTTCAAGTCTGGTAGGTGATAAGGATTTCCACCACACTTCGAATCCTATATTCCATGGTAGTTGCTTGAGTAGGGATCTATTTGGATTGTATGACTTTGGGATAACAAACCTAGACGTGTTTCTCACATGAATAAAACGTAAAAATACTCTATTCATAGATGTAAACTTTTTCTGGGATAAATATCGGAGGAGTTTTGTCGAGATTTAATCAAAAATTTACTCAATCTAAACTTTCTCCGAATCTTGAAATTCCCCAGAGCTTTTTTTCACCGACATTTGAGGAGACAAATAAATTTTCTCCCGCATGTATGTCGTCGGGAAGTTAAATCAAACTACAACGCCAATATGCCGGAAATTAGTTTGGATGCAAACAGACAGGATATTTTTTTTGCAGTAAGTTGTTTACAGTATAGCAAATTAATGTTATTGATGGGCTATTACTGATGGTGAATGCCCTATCTACAGTGAAGAAAATCATTTATTCGTAACCATTGTATATTTTATAGAATACTCAAAATCATGCTAATAAATCCTACTTATCTATTGTAGCTTCTTGCTCTTACCAAGCAACTCATCGTCAAACGATTCCACATCGGGCAACTCTTCAAACCAGCCTTTTTCAAATGGTCCAACTTTCTCTGTACCTGTGGGTACTGGGAAGTAAAAGTTCAAAACAGCATACACGATCCAAGCGCTAAAGAAACCCATAAAAAAATTCATCCTGTATACTTCCGTAGCACCTATAGGGACTTTACGGGCTCCGGTAGCTCCAACAAACCCAACAATGTTTGGCAAAATACCACAGATGTAAGCCGCATAAGCTCTCCAGTTTACGCCAATTTTGTTGTATCGGTAGAGCGACTTCTTGCTTGGGTCGTCCTTCTGGTGCAAACAGTACAAGTTGATGACGTTGATGTACCCTCTTCGTAAATAGAAGTAGTCGCACGCAACCACACCAGCAACAGATGACAAGAACACAGCATATGCTGCCAAGTACGTGGTGAACTTGGAGGATGAGGAAATCAACTTCCAGGGACAAACAGCAAGCGCCAAAAACGCACAGATATAGCTTCCTCTTCTAATGTTTAAAAATCTTGGGAGCAAGGCAGCACAGTCAGTTCCAAACGACAACGAGTTTGCCGAGATGTTGGTACCCAATTGTGCCAATGCAAATGCAGCAGAAATGAAAAAGACACCAGCACGGTTTCCTGGTGTGTAATCGTCCAAGAACATTTTCAACACATCCAACGGTGACCAGAATGCTTCTCCGTACATTGCTTGCGATGCGGATGTGACCAAAATACCAATAAGCGATGTCAATGAGAAACAAATTGGAATGGACAACGTGTAAACCAAGTACTTCATGGCAAAGGATGGCTCTTTGGCAAAACGTGAGAAATCGGGGGCGTTGATGATCAAAGTACAGAAATTGGCCAACGATGTGAATGTCGATTCAACAAATGCCCATGCCAAAGCAGAACCGTGTACTTGTGATTTCTGCAGAAATACCGGACCAGCTCCACCAGCTTTGACTATGGTCCATACCAAGAACGCAATACCGGCAACAGGGACAGTGTATGCCTTCACTGTGAACAAATGTCTAATCTTGTGTGGAGGAAACCACAAGAAAGGCAATTCAAACAACCAGAAAAGAAAAATCCCAAGGAACTGGAACGTGGTTAAATCTTTATCAGGGATGGTGTCGTGGATTCTTTCAGGAAGATCCTTGCCAAAGATGGAATGCAACATAAGTTCAAATGTTGGACCAGCGATGGCCGTTTGCACAGCATACCACACGCAGGCCATGAAAACACGATTGAACACCGGCCATAATGAACCATAAATACCAAAAGATGCTCTGATTGACACAGGGAAAGATATGTGGTAGAATAAACCGACTCGTGACCCAATACTGACAAATATACCACACAATGCATATCCTAACCAAACACTCAACCAAGTCTGCCACCAATTCATTTTCCCAGCTTGGATACCCGTGGCTGCAATCTGCCAGGTGTTGATATTGAACGAATCCGAGATCCAAAGAAAGACATAATTATACCACGACCACTGACGTCTTGCTTCCTCAACGGGACGCAAATCATGGTTATACAAGAACATCTGAGCCGTGGATAATCCTCCCCTGGGCTGCACCTCGAGGGTTTTGATGAGTCTTTGCCAGAAGGATGATGGTGGTTCTTCTGTCTCTAATGTATCATCTTCCTGGTCTGAACTTGATGAGGGGGAGTGCTCTTCATACAGTTGAGTATGAATTTCTTCTTCGACAAATACGTCCTTTACTCTGACTTGTTTCGGGGCTCCCATTAGATGTTGATATGTTGTAGTCTGGGGTATACTGAAACTTGTGAAATAAAGCGAAACTGTATTTTATTTATTTTATTTATTTTCTATTTTTTTTTCACGAAGTCATCTTGTCTGTCAATACGGCACTAGTTTGAGTTCGTTCCCTGATTTAGTTAATTGCATATAGTAAGAATGAACAAAGCAAATTAAAGGAGGAAAAAAATTTTTTTTATCTGTAATATAGATTATGCATACCCGCCTGTTTTGTGTTGGTCATGGTTAGGAATCATTTTATACAAAATAAGCCTTCTTGTGGAGGTCCATCCCGTCCACCAAATAAACGAAACAGAAAATAGACTTGTAAAAGGATTCAAAATGATAAATTGTGTGCAAATTGAATCACCACCAGCCTGTGGCTAAGAGGATAATTGGTTCTAACTTCAAAAATCACCGCACTACAATATTGTCTCACATTTGACACTTTAGAAGGATTATTTGTAATCAATTTAGTGTCACTTGCGAGATGCATCAGTTAAAACTCAAAAGAAATCCCCAAGTATGATTCCGTTGATTCTTGTTTGAGTTTATAATAAGTACTCAATGATAAACCTTGGTAGGACCATTATAATGTATAAAGGAATAAACTTATCTGGTCCTTCGTGGCCTCTATTGCAAGAATCAGAAACATAGAAGAATTTTTGAGCCTATTTCTTGCCGTATACCTTTCTGGGGGGCTTCTAGTTGCACTTCCGAAACAATGTGGTTGTTACCATACCTTGTCGAAGATACCAAACTATGCTTCCAATATAGTATAGTTAGTCTGAGTCCATCCAAGAGAATTTGGAACGATGTTGAGTAATATTCTAACCATTGTTTTGTTTATTTTATTTTGATGTCAGAATCTGTTAAGTACTATGTAAAAATTTGCCCCACGATACCAGGTCTATTCCTGTGGGGCGACAGAAACGCTAACTTGGTTTCGAAAGAGAGAGAGGAGAATCCAATATCTAATCAAAAGGAATACAATAGACATAAAAGTCGAGATCTTTCAGTAATTATTCGTACTTTAGTCACTGAGATTCATTACCGTGTCATCCTATGATAAACATCTACATAAATGAAAGAATATCCAATGTAAGACATTTATAACTACTTGTATATTAATGAAAAAAAAATAGTACTCATATGGGAAGTAGCTACTTAACTACAACAGCCAGTATTGGTATTTGCTGGAGCTTCAGCATTCAAATCTATTCTATTTATACCATTGTTGTTTGAAGTTGCTTGTGATGTATCGCCGATCTTGATATTCTTGCCGATACCTTCAAAAACCTCTAACACACCTTCTCCTGTTTTGGCAGATGTTTGGAAAAACATCAACCCTTGTGAATTTGCTTCTTCTTCTACTTCACTAGCCTCCACCTTTCTCTCATCCTCTAAATCCAATTTATTACCGACCAACGCAATTACAATACCTTCCGGTGATTGATCCTTTAATTCCTTTATCCAATGTCTGGCTCTTATAAAAGACGAAGGTTTGGTTATATCATAAACAACAACGGCAGCCTGTGCGTTTCTATAGTACATGGGAGCCAATGATGCAAATCTCTCTTGTCCAGCTGTATCCCAGATTTCATATTTAATAGTACGGTCTCCCACAGTACACTTCTGTGTTAAAAATGCTGCTCCTATAGTTGGTTCCTTATTCTCTTGGAACTCGTTGGAGACAAATCGCAAAACTAACGACGATTTCCCTACAGCAGCTTCTCCTAATAAAACTAACTTAACCGAGGTAGCAGGTGTTGGATGTTGACTCATGATGTCCTAACTAATAAAAAAAAAAAAGAATCCAAAATGCAAGTAAAGTTCAAATATGATAATAACAATAATAAAGCCAAAAAGAAGATATTGAAACTTAAATCAACTGATCCTTTGTTGAATGTGAATGGGTCTATACTAAAATGAAGAGTAATGATATCTGAGAGGTTGATCGCCACTTTTTTTTGGTCTTTTTTTTTCCTTTTCGATTGTTGTAACCCTTGCTTTAAGTTTAGAGGTGCGACATCGTTTCAAGATAAGAAACGACATTTCGCGACATGTTTTATCTACTGATAGACGTCATTACTCAGTTTGCTGGATTCACTGGAGGAAACATTCATCGATTCTATTACCACCAGTTGGAATCAAATCGTGTGAGTCGAGAGGACCCTGGCAGAATGCAAATCTGATTTGTAGCGTCATAGCAATGTTGAAGTTTTACACCTTGACTCTGGAGGAAGCTATAATTACAGGTTCGAAAACATATACTTAGTGGAAAGCTACTGCAATAAACTCTACGTAACCAGAGTATATTATCCTCGTTCCTACGGAACCAAGATGGCTTATCGTATAGATAGGATCAGTGCAATATTTATTAATTAGCCTTGTTCTTTTTGACTTTCTGTTGTAGAGTAATAAATCGACAAGCGACACACGTGGAAACTATTTTGGCTTACTAGTCTATTTTTTTTGAGTATTGGGGTAGCAACCATTCGCTATAAATTGGGTCCCAGTATAGAATTTACTAGAATCTATAGTGAAGAAAAAAAAATTAAAGAACAAAAAAAATTAAAATCAACTATACACCGACAAACCGATTAAACTACCTACAATTGATACCTTTTGAAGTTACTAATTGATATGAACAAAACTGCATTAACCGGACCAGTAAACACTGTGGTGGATAGCACAAAGATGGCGGCGAAAGGGTATGATTTGTTTTCTATGATTAGCCACGTTCTCGTTGTTGCACAACGATTAATGTTCCAAATATTGAATTTTCTAGTTATCGAGATCCCAGCTTTTTTTATAAGGCTACTAGCCATTGACTTTCAGTTTTCATTGCATTTATCCTCGATATTGTTGATTGTGCTTTGTTTTGGGATTTTTGTATTCTTTGTACTAAGATACAAGTATCTCAACAGTTACAGTATCCCAGATAAGTCTACAGGCCAAGACTTTAACCGTCCAAATGTATTTATGGAGAAATCTAAACTGGTCAAGAATCCTACAAATTATCTATCACAGTTTATGCAGGGAATAAAAGTGTTTGGATATTTAGAAAAATCTGTGTTTCACGAATTGACTAAAAGTATGTACACGCAGAAGCTAACTATGAATGAAGTGATGATACTTGATGAGTCAGTGGGATTCCTGGTTGTGGTTGAAGGTGTAGCTCAAGTATACACAAAAGTATCAAAAGAAACACCGGTCAATAGTGGCGGTATAGATACAGAATATTTTGAGGATGCAGGAACCCAAACGGATGAGTTTTTGACTGTGGGGAAGAAGCAGTACCAATTGTTAAACGAGGTCAAAAGTGGTACACCATTAAGTTCATTATTCTCGACCTTGGAATTATTCCAGCCCAAAAGAAATGTTATGTTTACACCTCGAGAAGAAGATGAGAATAGCGTTGTTGCCTTGAACTTGGACTACACGGGAAATTCGGGTAATGCACAACCCACACACCTCGAGGACCCGAACTATGAAGAATATCCGGAAATTATTATCAGACCCAAAAAGCTACATAACTATGACACAGTCACCATTGCAATCATCCCACAGAGTGCTTTTGAAAGAGTCCATTCAAAATATCCAAAGGCAACGTCTCGTATCGTGGCAATGGTTTTAACTAGGTTGTACAAGGTGACCTTGAACACTCTTCATAATTATCTTGGGTTGACGGGTGAGGTGTTGAAACTGGAAATCAAGTTAAATGAAAATAGTGGCAGCACAAACTTGCCAAAACATTTGGTGGACGGGTTATTACAAAGGTTAAGTAGGGCCAATGCTGCACAAGAAGACAACTTACCGAAAAAGACAAAACACCATCATCGACAGGCCCTTCAAAGAACTTCGTCTAGATACGTTTTGTTAGGCTCTAAATTGACGAATAATAATCCGGGAGATCTTTTATCGTCGGTACCAATTTCTCGAGATGGTTTCGTGAATAAATCGCTTTCGAAATCCTCAACTACAACTTTGTCACTGGATGCTGAAAGTGGGAAAACTGCTAGAAGAACAAATTTCACTGACGAGATAGAAGAAACTGAAGAGAATTCGTTACGTGTTGCAATTGTTGAGAATATTTTTAAAATAATTGGCATCAAGGATCAGAACGGGTATATGGTTGACAATTCTGCTGATTACCACAGTTTGAATTCTTCTACAAATAGCTCCATGATTGGATTAAGTCAATCTGTTTTGTCTATGCCTTCAGTAAGACCACCCTTGTCATTAAGACACAGTGGGAATTTGATGAATACAATTAATTTATCTGAACTAAATAACAGATCGGCAACTGCCTCACCACTGTCTCCATCATCTTCTCCATCTCCAATCCGGGAAGTTGATACTTCTGCCACTCCAAAAAGAGAAATTCTTACCAAGAAACGCCATATTTCAGATATGAGCATCAAAGATGAATTTGCAAACCATTTGGAGATTAGAAACATAGAGGCAAACACTACCATTGTTCAGCAAGATTCAATCACTGCCGGGCTTTATTATGTTATTGATGGTGAGTTAGAGGTCTACCACCACTCTTCTGAAGCAAATTCACCTAACAAGTATGTTTATTCCGTGAGATCTGGTGGAATTGCTGGATACTTGACTTCTGTTGTGGGATCAAGATCGTTGGTTACAATCAAAACACCAAAAAAAACTGGAGCTGTTGTGGCATATTTATCAAAGAATCATTACAATTCGTTATTAGACAAGTACTACTTTTTGCAGTTACCTGTTGCTCTTGGATTGAAGAATTTATTGTCCAAGCAGATTATCACCATTGACTATGCTTTAGAATGGTGTCATATCCCCGCAGGGGAAGTGCTTTTTTCTCAAGGGGATTCGGCGAATGGGTTCCATGTTGTATTAAGTGGAAGGTTTAGAGCCATCCGAAAAGTAGGGGCAAGTGATATACGAAGTCATGATAAAGATTTCCAAATATTGGGTGAATATGGACATGGTGAGTCTATTGGGGAAGTTGAAGTTCTAACAGCCACAAAGAGATCCCATTCACTTGTTGCTGTTAGGGATTCTGAAACAGCTCGTATTCCCAGATCATTATTTGAAATGTTGGCCAATGAAAACCCTTCCATAATGGTAAAAGTATCACGACTTGTTGCATCAAAAGTTTTATTACAAGGTAACGAGCCTCCAACTAGAGGATTTGTTACATCATCATCGTCAAAAGCATATACGTGTACTGATTACAAAACAATCACGATATTGCCAACAGTGGCCGGGTTGCCAGTGAGACAATTTGCAGAAAAGCTTGTCAATGCATTAAAACTAATTGGGAGGAATGTGATTGCATTAGATCAGGCCCTGATGTTAACGCATTTGGGCCGACACGCGTTTGATGAGAGCTTGTCAAGGTTGAAAATGCTGGGTTATTTTGCATATTTGGAAGAGGAATATGAGACTATTGTTTACATTTGTGATACTGCGGTTCAATCTAATTGGACATCGACTTGTATCTCACAAGGAGATTGTATTTTGTTGCTAGCAGATGCAGACGAGGAAAATAATGGTGTTGGTGAGTATGAGCAATTGTTGGTCAAATTAAAGAACACTGCAAGAACCGATTTGTGTTTGATTCACCAAGAAAAATCAGTTACTCCGGGATCTACAAGTCCTTGGTTGAAGAATAGAATTTGGGTTCAAGGGCACCACCATATCGAGATGAGATTTGAGCGTGGTGGTTCACATTTGCCAAGTAAAAAATCGTTCATCAGTGATTTAGCTAATAAAATTTCACAAAATAAGACCATTAAATCGACTTACGAAGCTACCAAACAACACATCCGTTGGTATTTAAGCGATGAGAATCGGAACAAAGCTATGAAAATGCACAAGGATGATTTTATGCGGTTAGCCAGAATTTTGTCCAACGAAGCTGTCGGTTTAGTATTGGGAGGTGGTGGTTCTCGTGGGATTTCACATGTCGGGGTAGTTACTGCATTGGAAAGACACGGAATACCAGTGGATATTATTGGGGGTACTTCGATTGGATCCTTTGTTGGTGGGTTGTATGCGAAGGAATACAACATTGTTTCGATCTATGCAATGGCAAAGAAGTTCTCCAAGAGAGTTTCATCTCTTTGGAGAATGATATTTGATTTGACGTATCCAGTCACTTCATACATCACAGGTTATGAATTCAATCGAGGAATTTGGAAAGTTTTTGGGTTCACGGAGATTGAAGATTTCTGGATCAAGTACTACTGTAACTCCACCAACATTACCAATTCTACAATGGATATACATGAAACTGGTTATGCATGGCGATTTATCCGTGCTTCTATGTCTCTTTGTGGGTTGCTTCCTCCTATTACGTTCAAAGGATGTATGTTGTTGGATGGGGGATACTTGGATAATTTGCCAGTACTTGAAATGAAGAAACGTGGTGTTAAACATATAATAGCTGTTGATGTGGGATCAGCAGATGATCGTACACCGATGAACTATGGTGATACGTTGCTGGGATTTTGGGTTTTGTTCAACAGATGGAATCCCTTTTCTAAGCACCCAAACGTTCCAAGTATGATGGAAATTCAATTGAGATTGACCTACGTGTCTAGTGTTAATGCTTTGGAAGAGGCGAAGAGAACCGCTGATGTATACTATTTGCGTCCGCCTATAGATGGATATGCCACATTAGATTTTGGTAAGTTTGATGAGATATATAATGTTGGATTGAAGTATGCTGATGAATTGATAACAGAGTGGAAATGTAACAACAAAGTTCCACCAATTGCAGGTTTAGTTGAGAAGAATCATACAAAACAAGATGAAAACAAGAGGATATTGTATAGGAGAAACTCTGTTTGAGTAAAACAAAAAAAAACTACATAGAAAAGTAAAATAAAAGTTCATTTAGATATTATATTTTGTCATTAATCTAGTTGTAAAATGGACCATCGTCACCTGATTTCCTTTTGTCGCCTCCAGGATAGCCACTGTTCTCTAACCTATACAATCTCCAAGCCTCTCGTATGTGGTGTGGTTGCAATGGATGTATTTCATCTCCTTCGTATCTCAATTCTTTTTCTTCCACCTCGATATCTTCTCCCCTTTCCAAACTATTGGCAATCTGTCGCTTCTGGGTCTTCTTGGCTTCTATATCCATTATAAGCTGACCTTTGTAGTCCCTCTTCTGTATCTCAAATGCTTTTGTTATTATATCACCTAGAAACAGTTTTGAAATACCAGCCATGACAACAGCTATTATTTGCGGGATGGTATGTCCAACAATACCATTACATATTTTCTTGACACCAGGTTTATTCACAGTCATTCGTCTATATGCTTCAAATCTTTCCATTTGATCGTCGGTAAAGTTTGCAATTAACAATCTTTTCTGTTCTTCTTCTGTGAGATTTCGGTTTACAGTCTCTGATTTCAATGCTTTATACTTGGCCACCAATTCTGCATCATCCACGTCCAATAGATCTTCAATATTATCCTCATCTATTGATGAGTCTGATTCATCATCATCTGAAATATAATCGTTATCATTTACAAGTTCCTCTTCTTCATCGGAGCTCTCTTCATAACCCTGTGATCGTTGTTCATACTTTTCTAGTTCATGAAAAAAAACTCTCCATATTAGCTCTTCATCCTCTTCATCTAGACTAACGTATCCATCATCAGATTCATCATCTTGCAGATGAACATCAGGTTGTCTGATGGTTTCTTGTTTTTCCTCGTTCATATTAATGTCTTGAGTTGTAGGTATTGTTGACATAACGATGAATGTAAAAAGTATTGGCTGGAGATACTGGGAAAGAAAAAAGAAAAAAAAAAAAACGAAAAAAAAAAAAAATGAAAACAGAAATACAACAATTTTGAGAAAATGATTAAGTCCACAAAAGTGGCAGCCCATAGGATTGTAAGTCTTTCTGAGTATTCAATAGATTATCACCATGATGATTATTTAACAACTAGTAGTAGGTTTATAGAACTGAGTGGGTGTACTACTCAGTTTCGTATTCTCAAATAAGTTTGTCCCAACTACAACAACTACGACAACCATTCGTTAAGACCCGCTAATGATCTTCTTTTTCTTTTTGTTGCCTCCGCCTCCGCATTTACTTTCTTGTTTGGTTTATCAACTGAACCACGGAACATAGGAAAAAGGAAAAAAAAAAATCATGTTCACCTTTTCTTATTAGAAAAATTCGTACTTATCAAATATATAAATATAAATCAACCCTCAGTTCAGTTTAATTTCCCTCCCCCCACAAATATTTTCTTTTTATTTATTACATTTAACATTCTTCCCCTTCTTTTTTATACACCTTGTTGATCATATTTCATTTGTACATTTAACGTATATTTATCAAATGGGCAAGAATCATTCATTATTATCTGGAGACACTGGAAGATCTGGTCATTTAGTCCAGGAAATAGTTTTGCCGACGTATACATTGGACTCGAACTTGATATTATTACCAGGAATTATATATAATGTGACTTTCTCAAGGTACAAGGCTGCAGCTTTGTTATATAGATATAAGAACCTTGTTTCTCAAGTATCGATCATCAATAACTTGTTGCATGAATATGACTTTGATGAAAATGAGAAAGATTTGGATTCAGTTCATGGTAATGGTGATGTCAACCCAAGTGTAATTTCACGTGATGCAGTTCAAGGTATAACCCAGCTTTTCAAGTATGAATCTAGGGCTAAATCCAGTTCTAGTTCTAGTTCTAATTCTGGTGATTCCGGTGAAAAATCGAAACAACCAACTGAATTTGAATGGTTGGCTTTGGGTATCATCCCCAACCAAACTAAAATTGGTGATGTAACTGAAAGTGACAGTAAAGTTGTAACTGTCTCAAGAATTATTGGGATAGCTGATGATACAACCAACATTAAATTGACAATCCAAGCTATTACCAGAGGTGTTTTGTTGGATAGCAATCAAAGTGGAGAGTTGCAACTGGTTCTGAAAATGAGTGAGAACCAAGTAAGAATCGACTGGAATCACAAGGTTCATGATTTGGGAAACAAGTTTAAAGACTTGAAAGTAAACTATAGTCAGTTACATCTGTCGATTGAGAGGTTTCTTTCTGATTACCGTCGTGCCTTGTCGGTGTATTCCAGTCAGTCTAATGGAAAAGGGAACTTATCTTTGGTGAGAAAGGGATCTAATACACCTAATTCTGGGAAGACTGATTCAACAAATGACAAGGATTCTCGTCAAGATCTATTGACTCTCAATCCTTTGGCAAATTCATTATACTTGCAATTAGTGGGTTCCAAAGATTTCAACAAGGCTTTCACTAGTTTGCAGAGCTTGTTTTCTCAGTTTTCAAGTGATAAGTACGAGATTGATGGTAGAACATACTTGAGATTAATCGATTTGACGTGTGGAATTTTGCCATTTCCAAATCAGCAAAAATTGGCATTGTTAAAGAGCCATGGTATTGAAGAGAGAAGTACATTGATGAATGAGATGATAATGCAGTTGAATCAGATATTTGAAAGCTTACATGTCAACAATACTTTTGTGAACAATTGGTTTCAAAATGAAGCAACAAATATTCAAAAGGCAAATGTTGTTGCCAATCAATTGAAGTCTATTAGATATTTGTTGGAAGATATGACAAAGAATCGTCAACAATCTAACCTGAGAAATGCAGCGTCCTCTAAAAACAATAACAAACCGAGAAATCATGGACCACAATCCTACAAACGTGACGATCCTCATGATGAAGACGATGATGATAATGATGATGATGAGTTGAGAGCCATTGCAAATTTTATCAAGAACAAATTACCAGTCATTTCAAGCTTATCGCTGGACTCTAAGCGTTTAATTACGAAAGATTTCAAACGTATTAAAGCTTCAGCAAATTCTCCTGGTGGAGGTGGTAATTCTGATTTTCATGTGTTGAGGAACTATTTGGAGATTGTTATGGATATCCCTTGGGATGTACATGTGTCCAAGTTTAAGTCAAACAAGGAAATTGATTTAAAAGTTGCAAAGAAGCAATTAGATGATGATCATTATGGGTTGGAACATGTAAAGAGAAGGTTGATTCAATATTTGGTAGTGTTGAAATTATTGGGAATAAACTCTGAAAATCAACAAATTGAGAAGTCAGCTAAGAAACTGATACAGGCTTCCAATAGTAAGTCAGGAGATCTGGAATCTGGAATTGTCATTGCTAATGGTGACGACACATATGCCGCCAAACAACAAGCTAAAAATAAAAACAAACAGTCGATTCTTGAGGTTAAGAGAGATCCTATTAATTCTTCGGAAGCTCTTGAAATTTCTAAACAGAATCGATCACCAATTATAATGCTTGCTGGTCCTCCAGGAACTGGGAAAACCTCATTAGCCAAGTCCATAGCAACATCCTTGGGTAGAAACTTTCAAAGAATTTCTCTTGGTGGTATTAAAGATGAAAGTGAAATTCGAGGTCACAGACGAACTTATGTTGGTGCTATGCCAGGTATAATTATACAAGCGTTGCGTAAAGCCAGATGTATGAACCCAGTTATATTGCTTGATGAAATTGACAAAGTTGTGGGAGGAAATTATGGTGCCAGTAGATTCAATGGAGATCCTTCTGCTGCATTGTTGGAAGTTTTGGATCCAGAACAAAACAACACGTTTATGGATCATTACTTGGGATTCCCAGTTGATTTGTCCCAAGTCATATTCATCTGTACTGCGAATGACCCGTGGAATATGACAAGACCATTATTGGATAGATTGGAAATGATTGAGATTGGTGCTTATGACTATAATGAAAAGTTGGTGATTGGTAAGAAATACTTATTGCCAAGACAAATCAAAAGAAATGGTTTCCCCGATGTTTCAGATGCTTATGTGAAAATTGGTGATGAAGCACTCAAGAAAATCATAGTTGAGTATACTAGGGGAGAAGCGGGTGTACGAAACTTTGAACGAAAGTTAGGTACGTTATGCCGTTTCAAAGCAGTGGAATATTGTGAATGGTTGAACAAGGACCGTGGGTCTTACAACCCCATTATCGAAGAGAATGATTTGCCTATCTATCTTGGAGTTCCTTATTCCCCAGGTGATGTTGTTTCCAGTGATGGAACCACAATTGGTAACTCGCGTGTTGGTGTTGTGAATGGATTATCTTACAACTCCGAAGGTTCGGGATCTGTCCTAGTTTTTGAAAGTATTGGGTTTGACAGAAGAAATGCAAATGACAATGACTCAAGTGGAAGTGGACCAACATTGAATATGACTGGTAAATTAGGAGACGTATTGATGGAAAGTGGTAAAATTGGGCTAATCTTTATCAAGCTGATACTTTATAAGAAGTTGCTCAAAACTGACGATGATGTTGAGGCACAACGTTTGTTGGATAGATTCAATAATTTGGATATTCACATGCATGTACCAATGGGGTCTGTGTCTAAAGATGGTCCATCAGCTGGTATTACCATGGCACTTCTGTTTTTGTCTGTACTCTTGGACAAGCCTGTTCCAACGGATATTGCTATGACTGGAGAAATAACTCTTCGTGGATTGGTTTTGCCTATCGGGGGAGTTAAAGAAAAGCTTATGGGAGCTCATTTAAGTCGCAAGATTCGTAGAATGATTGTTCCACGTGAGAATCGTAAAGATTTGATTGAAGAGTACACAAGAAGTATCGAGGAAGCAGGAGAAGTTTTGGATCATAATTTGATTAACGAATTATTGAAGGATAATGAAGAACCTAGTTTCAAGATGCATCAAGTCGAAGAGTACTATAGAAACAAGTATGGAATATCCATATACTATGCAAAGGAATTTTACGACGTGATCAGGATTGTCTGGAATGAAGACGACATGTTGATAGATGATAACAACAAATCTAGGCTTCTCGAATACCACATTTAAGCTCAAAAAAAAAAAAAAAATATTTGCAACGTATCTATTATAAAACCTTTAAATAAGAGTATATATATACCAGATAGTTAAATAATCTAAATATGATATAGATAATAATAAAAAAATTAAATAAAATTAAAAATACCCATTTCGTTAATGGGAATCAAACTCGAATTGGTAATCAAAATAAATGACTCTGATAGTTTATCTATTTTCTTTTTGCTTTCTAATGGATCATAGTTAGTTTACATCACAAAATAAAGCCATGCTAAGATGGAGGAAATCAAACCTTGAACTGGAACAGCAAGACCATCAGCAATGCCACGACTGGATGTTGTAGAACTGGAGCCAGAACTAGAACCTGAATTAGATCCAGATCCAGATCCAGATCCAGAACTTGAACTAGAACTGGAACTTGCACCAGAACCAGTGGTGTTGGTGATACCATTGGAGCCAATTATTTCGATTGATTCATCATTGGTATAGGAAATTTGTGCCAAACTAACTTGATAATCTTCAATATCATAAACAACGTATGCACTTCTTAAAATATTATCACCAAATAACATGTAACTAGAAGATGAAGATTGTGCTAAAACACCCAACATACATTGAGATCTAGAAACTCTAAGCACCAAGTCAGAAATTGGAACACTAATGGTTTTGACACCGTCAAAATTTATATCAAGAGTCTCTGAAGAAGAACGTAAATCACAATCAACAACATATGCACCTTGAGTACTATCATATGTACCACCAAGTGCACGTCCCAAAGAACGTAAAGTATCACTGAAGACATAAGATAATGTTGAACCAGTATCCAAAACAACACCAGTAGATCCAGACATGATAGTTGCATTATTTCCATCGCTATCAGAATAGTAAATACCAGATACTGGGACTTTAATTCTATCAGGAACACTAATTTGTCTAGATGATGACATCATATCAATTGTAGCCAAATCACCTTCGTATTTAGCATGGTCTATGGCACCAAATAAAATTGACCCGGTTTGGGCATCTGCAGTGTCCAAATATAAAGAATATATAGCTTTATTGATGATTCCTTGTTGTGCTAATTTGATTGGCAAATTTTCATAAATATATCCGTATTGGGAGGTCACTTCCAACCAAGGCAAACCAATACCTAAAACACCCACATCAGAAGAAGTTTCATTGGCAATAGCAAAGGATAAATCATGTACTGTAACATTGTTTATAACAACATCATCATATCCCCAAATCCCGAGAGCATGAGTGCCATCAGCATATTGAATTGCAAATGGGAAAGTATCATTTCTTCTAAAAGTATCGGAATTTTCAGTATTAAATGACCCATATGAAGTACAAGTGTTTGAACCTGATCCGGATCCAGATCCAGTTGATGGTCCCGATAAAAAGTTTGAAGGGAAACTGCCATCGGTAATGTATATGGTAGTGTAAGAACCAAATAACTTGTTGTGAACATCTTCTTCTTCTTCTTCATTTTCTTCTGTTGTTTTGGAAGGTTGTATAACATCACGTTCACGTTCAGGTTCACGAGCAGCTGGGAGTTGTCGTTTTTTCAATTTATGGATGGGCAGGACACCAGTACCTTGGCCAAAACTTCTTTCAAAACGTTTTGTATTCAGGACAGGAACACAATTCAAGTCATGGGACATGACCCATAAATCTGAAGATCCAGTATCGACCAAAACTTCATTGACATCTTCATTTGATCCAATCTTTAAACTGGCCATATAAAAAGTTTGTTCATTAGTTAAAATCATTTCAAAAGAACCATCTCTCTTGACAAATCTTGGAGTTGTATCTTCATCTTCAGGTGTTAAACTGTCTTTCGAAGATCCCCTACGGATCTTAAAGTCTATTTTAAATGGTGCTGTAGTAGCAATCGCTGTTGCAATAACAGATAAAAACGTTAAACTACTAAATTTCATATCTCAGTATTGATTTAGTATCTTGAATTTCTCTCACAAGGTAGTTCTTAGTTGCCCAAACAATTCTTTTTCTTTTTTTAGTTTTAGTTTTAGTTTTAATATTAGTTTTATTTTTTTTCGTCCGGTATCTTGTATAATAGGAAGGAGCAAATACCCGAGCGTTCAATGTTGCAATAAAATGTCAGCTAAGTATGAATTAATAATCTTTATTTTTTCCCTCTATTCTTTATAAAAATTAGGTGTAGTTAAATAGTAGGAGAATAGAAATAAAAAGATCAAGTTGATTCGAATTAAATGTTTCTAGCAGGTTATATTCTTTTTTCACAAAAATTCCAAATTGCAATTTTTTTTTTTGTATTTTTTTTTAGGCAAGTTCTTGGGTTACTTTTATATACTGTAGGCCAACGGAATGTTCGTTGGTTATTTCCAGACGAACAACAAGCAGCGCCTCCGACATGGAATTTACGCTTGCACACACACACACACACACACTCACAACAGGGCGCATCGCACACAAAGAAAGATCCAAGAAAATTTGAAATTTAGCAACTCTCTTCCGTCGCAGTAATAATGGCGGGCCATGGTGGTCGTGGCAGTGGTGGTAACGTCGGGCCGTGGTGGACGGCAGGGAAATAAGAAAAAAAAAAAAGAAATTTTTCACAGAGACACAAGTTTTCAAACCCATGACCCCTACAAATCATTTGCACCGTTTTTACGTGCCAATTACGTAATGGAAAACACACCGTCACATACTCACACACACACATATATTTAGATGTCATAACTAGCAATATATATATAGATATGATCAAAATAGTAATGGCTTTTAAGTAAGACAACTAATTAAATTGAGTTGATTTGAATATGTGCAATGTTAATCGTTGATCTCAACTGTTGCAGATTATTCAGATCTCATAAATTGAAAGGAGGAGGAGCAGCAGCAGTAACAGTAGTAGAAATAGAATCACTTGTTGGTTAGTAATACAACCAAGAAAAGCAATATAATAATAATAATTGTAATAATAATAATTAAGCTAGTTTGACAAAGAAAAATTATTACTAAGTCATCTACAAATACATGACATCAACTCCTACTCCAACCTAGCTTAACCCAGCCTAGCCCAGCTTAGCCTAGCCAAGCCAAGCAAAACAAAGCAAAGCATCATTATGTAAGCAATATATTTCTGTATTCTTCTATCAAGCTTTCTAGTTTTCCTCCTCCGCCCCTAGCTACAAATGACGTTGCTTCTATCAGTTACAACAATAATGGACATTTCTTAGTAACAAACCGTTCTGTACAAAATATAGGGGTTTTATCAATAGATATCTCTCTCTTTGATTGGTTGTCATTTAAGGTTCAATCATCAATGGGAAAGAGGTTTTGCAAAAAAATAAAAATAAAAATAAAAAATGGCGATGCTATGGGGAACTTGATTTAACCTTGGCACAAAAACCCCCTTGACTAGTTAGATGACATGCATACAAAATTTACTTTATTTCTTTATTTATTCATTAGCACTATGGAAAAAAAAAAAAAGAAGGAATCACCTATTGATCTCTGTAGAGAATGATTTCACTCTGTTTGAAGTATCTTCTTGCATCTTCATCAATTAAAACTAGGGAAAGATATGTCCTTGTAGAAAATTTCTTATTGACGTCCTTGTATGTTGGCACCAAATCAAACCCATTTAAGAATAATCGGATCGGAATAGTTTCGCCCTTAACAGGTGCACCATCCATGATCTCAAATCTTACCACTGTTTCACTATCAGTCACCTGGTTTGGTGCAGACCCAACTGTTTCTCTTCTTATCAAGGACAATTCCATGTGCTTGATTTTCAAACGGACCAATAAAAAGTAGATCTTTCCAATGATTACATCCTTTAATGAAAATCTTGATTTGGAATACTCAAACTCAATATGTAAACAATCTTCTATCCCCACATCCATTTTCACACTATGTGGTTCATTCTTAGCAGCAGGCTTGTTATTATTGGATGGCACTACTTCTTGACGGTTCTCCTGTACCAGTTCGCCATTACCATTAGATGTCTCCCTTGTAGTAGTAGTACTAGTAGCAGCATCGGTTTTAGAAGAATGGGTGGTTATTGCAGATGCTGGTTTGGGTAAGGGAGTGGTATAATGGAAAACCCACAATTCCTTCTCCCTAGTGATGTCGGCTGATGACTTTCTCATCACGGAAACTTTGATAAAATACCTTAATCTAACATTCTTACCACGATAACTTTCATATTGTTTCTCGACATTTTTAAATTCAAAAGGATATGATTCCGGATGGGTTAATTGAGAAGGGGCAGCTAACTCGGTTGCTAGCGTCAAAAACTCCGACGAAACAATACTATCGGTATTGGTTTCAATGGAACCCAATAACTGTACTTTCACACCAAGATGGTCTAGTTTCTTTCCCTCTTTGGTTCGTAATGTGACAGTTCCCTTAACTGATTCGCCATCCTTGTAGACGGGTAATTTCTCTACTCGCCCCTGCGGGCTCTTCACATCAATGTGTTTGCGTGTATCTTCATTGTCTAATCTAATCTCAATGTCTAATGGAGCCTTAAAGAAAATTGACATTTTATGGTTAATAATCGGTAACTGAACGAGTGTGTGTCTATGAAATACGTTTCCTAATCAAAACTAATCGAGTTTTCTTCCAACACTACAAATTGAATTGGTTCGCGAGTTTCTGTCACAGTACTTTATTTTGATTTTTTGTTTTTTTTTTTTTTTTGTTCATTAGGTCTCTTTTGTCGCAATCATTTGGTGCGATTTGGCCTAGTTGTAGGTCGAGCACGTGATTCTGTCACATTTCTCTATTCTTTTATTTTTTCCAAAACCTAATCCAACTCTACATACTACCAGCTTGTAAAGGATCGATACTAGTGGGTTTTTGAAGGATTGTAAGAAATATTTATAAACAAATTTCAGTTGCTTTCTCATATAATTATTATTTTTCAAATGTAAAATTCGATATCCAGCCCATCTTTTCTTCCGTCCCCCCTGAAATTTCTCCTCTCCATTTAAAAAAAAATTGAATTGAATTGAATGATAATCAAAACCTGAAGAAAAACAAAAAAAAAAATCTTCCTTAAAAATTGAATTCGTCAGCACACAATCCGTACAAGTGATTCAACAGTACGATTATTATTGGGTGCATTGTTATGGTAATAAGATTTATACAGTTGGAAGTTTGATTTATAAATATTGATTATTTTTGTTATTAATATTATTACCCTATTTGTTTCCAATAAGTAATACTTCAAAAAATAGCCACTAAAGACTTCACACTAAATTTCAGATCTGTAATTTTACGCTTTTTACTATTATTGTTATTATATTCCTTGCCATTGGCTTCTAACTAGATCATTACAGTTAATCAATACATAATTTAACTAATATTATATTTTTTTTTCCCCATTATGAATTATCCTGTTGATGAAGTACCTCCAGACGTTATTAGTCCTCATGATAACAAACCACAAAGAGATGAGCCTTTGAAACATTTGGACACTGTTATTGCATTGTACGATTTTCCAGGAACTCAACCATCACATTTACCATTGAATTTGGGTGATACGGTTCATGTCTTATCAAAATCATCAACTGGTTGGTGGGACGGTGTGGTGATGTCAAGCAATGGAGAACTACAGAGAGGCTGGTTTCCTCACAACTATGTCCGCTCAGTGAATTATGTTCAGCCAGTCTTGAACAAATTGAAGGACAACAAAGAACTCGATTCGATAACAGCAGCAAATACTGCAGCAAATGTTGTAATGCCATCCTTAACTAATTTGATTCAAAGAAGCCTACAAGAATCTGAACGAAATAGTCCGTTAAATTCAACAAGAAAGAATTCAGTTGTCAGTTTTGCTAGTTCTGAAACAAGCATGCCGAGTGAGTCCAAGGGTAATCAGCAAAATCAACAGCAGCACCTGCATCAACTGCATTTTCCTCACTTGCAACAACAACAACAATTAAACTTGAATTTGGGTCCTCCAGCGGGGCATCATAACGTGGGGTCTGACGAGCATGGGGATTTCGAACTAGGACCTACTTCCCAGCAGCCTTCGATTTCTCATACATTGACTGGATTTGAAAGCGGTGATGATGAAATCAACCTTGTGGAATTGGAAGAAGCAGAAAGATTGGTGGATGATTACAGAGTCCAACATGGCAAGATAGTGACGTGGATTCCAAGAAATACTACAAAGGGTGATATCGTCTTCTATTGCGAACAATTGGATATCTATTGTGAATCATTTCCATTGATTACATTTGATGGAGACGCGAAGCTGCCCAATTTGGTGTACCCAAAAGATGAAGCTATATTACAGTCTTCAGTAATACCAGTACAGGGTTCTCGGTCGATGGATAATATATTGGGGCAACGAGAAGGGTCAACTGCTGGCACATTTGATCCTCTCAAGCGTGATTCAAATGTTTCCGTTAATACTCAAAGTTCAGGTTCATCATACCACCGCTTTAGTCGTCCTTTTTTTTCAACAGAGAAGTTGTTCTATAAGCACACTTCGGATGTTAGTACTTGGACCAAGTTAAAAGAGCATTGTAATTATATTTTGGACTTGATGTTGAAGGCATTAAAGGATCAAAATAGACAATTATTTAGCACCCATTTCACCAGATTAAACAAATTGGTGGTCCTTATATATGGTGCGGCCAGATTAAATCAAGACGATTATGTTGATACAAAGTACGAGGCTTCTGCCAAACGAAAATTGAAACGAATCTGTGCATCATTTGCCCAGATATACATCAATGGTATCTTACATTTAAGTGTATTGCACTATTCAGTTGACGAGTTTAGCGAAGGAAGTCATTTTTTTGGGTACGATATATCAAGGTTGAACAAATCCAATCCAAGTAGTGCCTTTCAATCACCCGCATCTTCGTTGTCCACCATACGACAAGGATCCGAAGATAGTTTCCGCATGAATCAAAGGTTATCATCAGTTACTACTACTGCTGCAACTGTGGCTGCCAATGCTGCTGCTAATGCTAATGCTAATGCCAGTGCTGCTGCCAGTGCTGCCCACTTTTCCCCGGATGAGGGTGTAAATAGGGATATGAGTGATGATATGAATTACAAGAGTCAACTAAAGTATGAAATTGAAAACTTGAGGGCAAACACCAATTCGCTTGTTAAAATTTTTCTTAAACTCAGTAGGGATAAGAAAATCAAAAATGCCGATTATGATTCTTCAGATGCATCGGAAGATGAAGGTGAAGATCGATATGACATCTTGCCCCAGGCATACCCTCGATTTTTAATGGAAGAATTCAATGGAGGTAATTGGTGTAATCCATTCTTTTCTACTAATAATCCAGTTTTGAATGTCAGTGGTGATGACTTAAAGAATAGATATCACACAAAAATAATAATCGATCATTCTGCATACGACTCCGTGCTTCAATATCTGGAAAAGATGATTGAATTGAGTGAAAATACTTTGGAATTCCTTGACCCAGGTGTTCAGGAAGTATACTATTATAATGAAAGTTTAAGGAATGATAGAAACACGCAAGTTTTGAGATTGATTTACAAGTACCTTTATAATGCTAGTTCTATGATTGATTTGATTGAATCATTTGATTTCACTCTTTTTTGTTCAGTCAAAAAGTACTCTGGTCATGGAGATGATAATGATGATGATTATGGTGACGATGACGATGATATCAAAACTGCTGAAAGAGCCAAACACGACGGAGAGGAAGATGCTTCCAGCATTCCTGATGATGATCATGGTTCTGCTATGCCACGTAAAAGGGCTGGGTCTAATTTGACATTTGATTATCCAGTTGTCTTGGAGTTTTTCCAGTTGAAACAAGAACTCCATGATTTGATTTCAAAAATTATCATGTCTACACAGTCGTTAACATTAGAGGATCCGGAGGTGTTCAAGGGATTAAAAGACGAAGACCCATTGTTTTATAACCGAGATGTCTTGCGTATTCCAAAGGAGAAGGCATCTTTGTTGTTGTCTAATGTTCTTATCGATCAAGTGAATAGCAGCAAAAGAAATGCAATTTCACTAAACCCAGATACATTATTGTCGGATTATTTAAGTGATGGTATACAAGCATGCCGATCTGTATTAAAGATCACACAGCAATTAATTGAAGAACGTGAAACAATAATCAATTATGCCACCAGAGTGATGCAAGACAATTTTGATGTTCAATTACTTATTGTGGAACGAAACAATACTTCGTCATCCGAGAAGACAGACGACCATTCATACTATATTGGTGGACACAAGAAATCAAACGATGTTCCGTGGTATTTGGAAGGTGATGATGAATATGAACTATTATTGGATGTTAAAGGTAATATTAAAGGAGGTACAAAGGAGGCTTTGGTATCTCATTTGACTCATCACTTAATGTTTGATAGTACTTTTAATTCGGTGTTCTTGTTGACTTTTGCGTCTATGATGTCTCTTGGTGAGTTGATTGGATTGTTGATTGGTCGTTTCAACATTGAACCACCAGATGGTTTAAGTTACGAGGAGTATAATACTTGGATTTCTAAGAAACAGAATCCGATTCGATTGAGAGTTATGAATGTTATGAAATTATTAGTGGAAAAAAACTGGTCTCGTTCGTATTATAATGAAGCAATATTACGCAAATGGTTGACATTTGCAGAATCTGGTCAAGTGCAAGCATATTCCGTGGGGAAAATGTTGGCTATTGACTTGAAGAAGTTATTAAAAGGAGAAATTATTTATGTGGAAAGAGATCCTGTCATACCAAATACAAAACCGCCTGCACCATTGACCAAAGTTTCGTCACTTCTGAAGAAGATTAAATTGTTGGACATTGATTATGTTGAGTTGGCTCGTCAATTGACGTTACGTGAGTTCAAATTATATTGCAAAATTACCAAGTATGCTTGTTTAGCTAAGGTCTGGGGGAAGAAATCGGGGCTTCATGAAAGTATTGATAGTATAACCCAGTTTATCAAGGCTTCCAATCAGTTGACTAACTTTGTCGGGTATATGATCCTTAGAAAAGCTGAACCCAAGAAGAGGGTGCAAATAATTCGATATTTCATTCAAGTTGCAGACAAGTGTCGTCAGTATAACAACTTTTCGTCGATGACTGCTATCATTTCGGCATTGTATTCATCACCAATTCATCGTTTGAAGAAAACTTGGGAATATATGAATGGTGATTCGTTATCCCATTTGAAGAATATGAATAAATTGATGAACTCATCACGTAACTTTAATGAGTATCGAGATGTTTTGAAATTTATTGGTTCGGAACCTTGTGTACCATTTTTTGGGGTTTATTTATCAGACTTGACATTTGTTTATCATGGTAACCCGGACTATTTATACAACAGAACAAGACAAGTCAATTTTGCCAAGCGAGCAAAGACTTCAGAAATTGTATCTGGAATTGATCGTTTCAAGACTACAGGCTACAACTTTCAAGAAGTTACAGAGATTCAAAAGTATCTTGATTCTTGGTTTGAAAAGTGTCCTACGATTGACGAGCAGTATCAAATATCATTGAATTTAGAACCTAGAGAGCAATCTACTAGTAATAGTTCTAATCTCAAAAGCTCCAAACCATTTTCATTAAGATGAGTTTATTTTTGTATTACTGTGTTTATGTTTTTGTAGTTTGTTTGTATGGTATTTTGGGGGGCTTAGTATATAGAAGTGTTTTGTAATTGTTACAGCTTATTTATCTTCACTTTTATTTGTTTACATCTTGAATGATATTCGAATTGATAAATTATATTCATAAACCTAATTAAACACATGCCATTTAAAATGACAATAAAAAGAACTAAATAATGAAAAAAGGGAAAACTAAAAATACAATATAAAACAAAAAAAAACAAAGTAATACAAGACTAGACCAGGGATGATTGAAGCTAGATTATACTCTTTTTATTTCTCTCTGTCTGTGGTATGTCTAATTAGAAGCAGATGAATATTTGGTGACAGCTCTGGTACCTTCGGAAACAGCATGTTTAGCCAATTCACCTGGCAAGATCAATCTAACAGCGGTTTGGATTTCTCTAGCAGAAATGGTAGATTTCTTATTGTAAGCAGCTAATTTAGAAGCTTCAGAAGCAATTCTTTCAAAGATATCATTAACAAAGGAGTTCATAATAGACATGGCTTTTTGAGAAATACCAGTATCTGGGTGGGTTTGTTTCAAAACTTTGTAAATGTATGAGGAGTAAGTTTCTTTTCTAGCCTTGGTTCTTTTTTTACCACCTTCAGTGGAAGCGGTCTTTTTGGCAGCTGGTTTCTTTTCAGCTGGAGCTTTGGAAGCTGGTTTCTTTTCTGCTTTTGGAGCCATTATGGAAATTTAACTATGAATAATAATAAAAATATGGTATATAATTAACAAGAAGAAAAAAGGAAAAGAACAAAAAAGAAAGAAATCTTAATTTGTTTGTGGTTAATGTATCCTTTTTATATACCCTCCATGATTTTGATTTTTCTGTTGTTGTTGTTGTTGTTTTGTTTGTGCGTGAAGTGTAGTCGTGTGTCTATTGCAAAAAATCTCTCTTTCTCTCTCTTTCATTCTCTCTCTCTCTCTCATTATTACGCGCGTTCTCTCTCTCTTTCTCTTTCTCGTTCTCTTGCATAGATTCTCTCTCCTCTCTCTTCATGTATTTTCCTAAGTAAATCTGAGCACGCGTGAGGTTGTTTTTTTTTTGTTTTCCTTTGCAACACCACACAAATACGCAACAACGAAACCGAAAACGAAACCCATGATCAATTGAATTAATTTAAATACAGAAAAGTTCGCCACTTCTAAAGAAAGGGGTATTGATTTTTTTTTCTTTCTTTTCATTCTTGTTTTTATATTCATATTAAACAACTTATAAATCAATCTACTAATAATGTCCGGTGGTAAAGGAAAAGCAGGTACTTCTGAAAAAGCTTCTACTTCAAGATCAGCTAAGGCTGGTTTGACTTTCCCAGTCGGTAGAGTTCACAGATTATTAAGAAAAGGTAACTACGCTCAAAGAATTGGTTCTGGTGCTCCAGTTTATTTAACTTCTGTTTTGGAATATTTGGCCGCTGAAATTTTGGAATTGGCTGGTAACGCTGCTAGAGACAACAAGAAATCCAGAATTATCCCAAGACACTTACAATTGGCCATCAGAAATGATGAAGAATTAAACAAATTATTGGGTGATGTCACTATTGCTCAAGGTGGTGTCTTGCCAAACATTCACCAAAACTTGTTGCCAAAAAAATCAGGTAAAGGTGGTGTTAAAGCTTCTCAAGAATTGTAAGGTGGGTTTGTGTTGTTAAAAAAATCAAGGCAAATATAATTTGTATTCAGTTCTAATTTGTGTATTTTAGTTTTTTATTAATTTAAGTAAATATCATTGCTATCATAAGTAATTTTCAATTCAATGGAAAGGGTAACTCTATTCCATTGTAGGTATGTCAATGCGTAGTGACTCGAAAGATATACACTGATGAGCCGTTTTTTCTTATCTTCCAGTACATATTGTATTTTCTTTTTGTTAGATTAGAATCCGTTTTGTGCGCAATTTAATCAAACCCGTCCCACCAATGATCTCATTCCTATGACTATGAGCCAATTTAACTTTAATATTAATAGGCCATTTTACACGACTATAATATTTTTCTTTAAATTTCGAGATTTTTCACATATAGTCTGAACTGGAGAAGAATTATCTTTATCAACTGAGGTAATTTACCTACAACTGGATTACCATCTTTACTATACGATTGTATTAAGTTTATTGTACATTAATACCATCAAAGCTTTTTGTTTTCACTGATTATCTGTTTTTCAACGCTTTTCGTATCATCTAATTGTTAACAAGCCAAGCTTGCCGCTTAAATTAATTTTTTGACTATTTGAACCATCAAAATACATTTATTGGTAGACTTGTTTATAATATTAATAACTTTAGTCGATCAATCAATCAATCAATCAATCAATAATTTGGGAGCTGTTTGATTTTTAGTAACATTATTTGATATTTTTCAAAGTTTTACGTTAGTACCACATCATTTCACGACAATCTACAACAACTATGGCACCAAAAGGAAAATGGAAGATCGGTTTGATCTCAACTGCAGTCGTAGTTGGCACAACTTACCTTGTTCTCAAGACATTCCCACATCTTTTTACTAAACAAGATGATGACGAAAATGAAGTTGTCGAACGCACAGAAGATGATGGAAATCAATCCAATAAACCAATTGAATTGTTTGAATCTGAAGAGGCATTCAAACAAAAATAAATAGTTTAGTGTATTCTTGTGTGTAATAAATAGCTGATTATGTTTTAATAATATATTTGTACTATAACTATTCTGTAACTAAATTTTAATCGCGAATTCTAACCAATTCTTTATGAAAATTATTCTATTACAATAAAACACTATTTATTTCTATTATTATCCCAGTCCCTTAAACCTTTAACGAAAACATCTCTCGTTAAACCAGTAGACACATCTTCAATATGAACAAAGTAGCACGAAATTGACGACACGTCTCGATTTCTCCTCTCGTCATCAAATAAAACAAACTCACCATCTTCCAATTCCTGCTTCATGTCTAACTGTTTGGCTGCCATCAGTATATGACGTGTTTTTGAGCCCTTTCCCCACTGCAAAGTATCAAAGTAGTCTATTGCTGGTCGATCGTTTATGTGCAACATACTTAGTAACTTCTTTGCAACATCAGGAGTATAAGTTCGGCTTGCACCAATAATTCGAACATCATTCTCCACCAACTCCAAAATAATTGACTCGACATCTCTGAAAAATGACAAACTAAACCCAGTACGGTCTACAATTTCTGTTTTTGAGACCGACTTTAATGGTGTGGTAATGTGGGTGTCACACCAACATGGCCATAACGTGTAATCTAAATCGAAGACCACAGCTTTAGGATATCTTGAAATAGTCATCACACACAACCAAATATACTCAATAAATATAACCAAGCGATAGTACAAGTAACTAGTATTGATTTGGTTAGATTGTACAAACGAAATCAGACTCCTGCTCGATGACGACTTATTTTTTTTCCCTCTTCGCCCTCAGTGTATCGATACAAAAGGTGAGAATAGATTAATGTGTGTGTGCGAGTGTGAAAATCGTGTTTTGCATTTTTGTGTGTCGGGGGAGGAAGCCGTTGATTGGGAAAAAGGGAGCAGCAATTTTGAAAGAAACTACAGTACAAAAACCCACAATAGAAACAATCAAACAAAAATGCGTGATAAATACAAAAAGTATGGAACCAAAGATTAGGGGAAAAAAAAAGACCTCAGAATTGCCACTGATAAAATTTCAAACTTTTACCATTCCCCCCTTTTTTTCCTTCCTTCTTTCTTTACTCTTCTGTTCTGAAGTCCTTTTCAATCCAATCAACAAGTTTTTCTTCTATTAAGCAATAATTGTTGGATAATCCAGGTGAATAATTCAGAGATGCCACCACAAAACCAATCCCAGCGTATTATCATTAAAGTTGCAATCACTAAAGCAAACACCGGTTCCGATTCTACCCCGGTAGAGAAAACTGTCTATGCCAGAAGAGATAGCTTCACCAAGATCAAATCAAAGGCTGCCCTAACTGCATACTTAAGCAAGGAATTACCTGATTATATTTCTAGTGATGCTAGTTATTTAGCCTTTACCAGAAAATCAAAAAAGTACAAAGACTTTATCTCGTTGGACTCAGAGGATGACTTCAAGTCACTTGCAAGAAGCTTGAAGGTGAAAAATCATGTCAAGTTGAATGTTGTTGATTCGTCACCAATTGCCAGTGATGCCGACGATTCCACAAGAAAGAGAAAATCTACCACAATTGATTTTGGTGCCTTGGGTGACGCTTTGATTGAAGTTGCATTTGAACACTTTAAGGAAATGTTTGGTGATTTATCGAACGGTGCTCCATTCAAGAAGGGTACATCTTCTGTAGCTTCTGACAACTCAGATTGTCCAAGCTATAACACAGCTACAAAAGACGAGGCATCATTGCCAGTTCATTCAAATATCTGTTGTGATGTTTGCCATCCCGACGATTTTGTTCCACTCAGAGGAGTCAGATACAGTTGCTTAGTTTGCCCAAATTTTGACTTGTGCTCAAGCTGTGAGTCTAGACAACTTGCTGATAAATCAAGTTTTGGTTCACATTCATATTTGCATCCAATGGCCAAAATTATCCACCCATCGTCATCATTTGTCAGAGGCGGAGCTTGGGGTTCTACAATCCCACAAACAAACGATATTGTCTATGACATTCCTTTGGAAAATTGTAACCTTGCAACAAAGGAGAGATTGGAAGAGTTGTTGAAACTGAAAGGATTTGAAGGATTTGTTAATGATGTTGACCGCTATATTAGCGACTCAGAAAAGTACCAAAAGTTGTGCACCATGATGGAGATTGAGGATGAGGATGAAGAAGTCCAGTTTTTGGTTTTGATGAGTATTCTTGAACATGCAATGGATGAAGATAAAAAGGAACAGGATTCCGATGTACCACAATCCGAACCAGTCACATCAGACAATGATTCTGTCGCTTTCCCACAGAACAATATTGAAGGTGAAGTTATTGTGAGACCTAAGAAGTTTGGTGAAATTTCAAGAATTATATCCTTGCAGTTGACTAATAATACCAATCAAACTATTGAAGGTGGGGAATTGAAGTTTGAATTTTTCAATTCCAAACAGACAGAAACAGTTGTGGTTAGAAACGCAAGTGCCATCAAGCCTGGAAGAATTAGATACTATAATTTGGGTAGGTTAGCAGAGGAATTTGAAAGAATTAATGGCATGCAATTGAGAATTGTCACTGAAGGTGCTGTCTTTGTTGGTGAATATAAGGATAATTCTGATTCCATCTTGACTGCCCAATCTAGTTTTGAAGCGAAAGTGCCAGAGGTGTCTGAAGCTGATGATAGTGGTGACACTTCAGCCACTGAGTCCATTGCAGAAGATGAAAATGTTTTGGCTAAGAGTGAATTAGCAGAAGAGCACAATTCATGTGGTTCAACACATTCAATGGTTTTGCCATCTCTTCCAAAGGAAAGCACAATCCTAGCCTCGTCTGAATACTACGATGCCACTAGTGATGCAGCTGATTATTCCAAAAAAGACTCAATGGTAGATGATGAAGACGATTATGACATCATTAGTGGAGCAGAAGATGAGGATACTGCATCTGATTTTGAAGTATTATCTGCTGTCAGCTCCAACAATCAATAATGTGCATTAATGTGATCAGGTTTTGGTAAATGGTTTATTCTTTTTTTTCAATTTTTGTTGTTCAGTTTTATTATTTAATTTGGGAGTATTTTTTTTTATATATATCTATTACTATTTTGTTTCTTTTTAAGTTTATGTTTCTTCTACATAGTTATCCAAATCGAATGTTTGTTGCCGTATATATCTTTAAACAGTATCTTTTTGTGTAATTGATGATTGTTCACTAGGATCAGACGATGGACCCTCTATGTTGGAAGGATCACCAAACACGACAGCAACCTCTTCCAATGTATACCCAAAAGTTTCAACATAGAAAAAGTAAATTATGACCACTTCAATTACAAGAATGCAGCAATAGACAATGTAATATTTCCATTGAATGGCATCCATGGCCACTGGGTTAACAAATCCATTGTAAATAAGGAATATGTTATTGAATGCTTGGAAAATGTTGAAGCCCTTGGCTCTATGAGAATATGGCAACACCTCAGAAAGATAAAGGAATGGCAAAATATTAGCACCAGCATTATAGGCAAAGTAGAATAAGAAGATAAAAACTAGTACAGCATTTGCCAATTGAGTGTCGGTGAAATTCGTGTAAGCAAATCTCGCTGAAAGGATTGTGCATACCACGTAGCAGATCATCATTCCCATAGAAGAAGCCAAGAACAATGTCCTTCTTTTGAAGTAACGTACCATCAACGTAAGGATCCATGATATTCCCAAATTGTAAATCATCAACCCTCCATTAATTTTCAATTGTTTGGATGCTTCAGTGATGCCAATGGTGTTCAACACTTTATTCAAGTAATAAGACACTAACCCGTTTCCCGATAATTGCATAAAAAAGGCGGTAAAGAAAACCAAGAACAATCTTCTTCTATAACTTGGAAATGTTAAAAAGTCCAAATAATTTGAAGTGGAGCTTATTTTCTCTAACTCTAATGCAGTTGAAATCTCTTGGACCTCAAACTCAACTAATTTAGTTGCTCGTTCTGAATAGTCATTACCTGTATGATACTTTCTCAAAATTCTAGATGCCTTTTCAATCTCCCCTTTAGAGATCAAGTATCTAGGAGACTCGGGAACCCAATAAAAGCCTATGGTTTGGATCAATGGCAACAATCCTTGCAAATACGAAGGAACTCTCCATGAGTAACTATTATCAAGTCCATGTATAAAATAGATTACCCATGCCGCAATTGCAGCTCCGAGATACCAAAAAGTATTATAAAAAGATGTACAAGTCTCTCTGTATTTTGGAAATGATAGTTCTGAAATTAAACAAGGCGAAGCAACACTGGTTAAACCGGTCCCAACCCCAATCACAATTCGTGAAACAAGGAAGGATGCATAGCTTGTGGATGCCCCTTGTAAAACTGATCCAATAATGGCGACTATCAGCCCCACGACCACAGTTGGTTTTCTTCCAAAGTGATCGCAACATCCTGAGGCAAAAATCGTTGAAATAAACCCACCAAAAACAACTCCATTAGATAATGCTCCCAAAATTGCGCCAGTAGGATGTGACATGTCATCTTTCCAATTACCAATAATTTGCAACCCATTCAACATACTTCCATCATAACCTGAACTAGTAGAGCTGAGTGTACTCAAGAAGATATACCAGTGTAATATATTTAAAAACCGATACCTAAAAAAGGATTTTTCCAAGTATAAGTAGTCATTGATTGATTCATCATCTAAAAAATTAATAGGTTCAATATTACTATGGTATTGGTAGTGATTTGCATTTTCAATGCCATCTGTGGAACCACCACTACTAGCTAAATTTGACATTTTGTAGCTATAGAACAAAATTCACAGAACAGAAAGAAATAGTTTAAATAAAGGGGAAATTCCTTCACAATTTATACTTCTGTAGTAATTGGGAGGCGTTGTGCAACTATTGTTGATATGATTGCTTAAATGGAAATTGGAATAGATGACATAAATCAAAAATAATGATGATAAGTGTTGATTTAACTGAGGATTAGAATTTTAGGTACACTAACTGAGATAATGTGACTCTTATTAATATTTTCGTTTATTTGATTGATGATAGCAAGGCTATTCCGTTCAGAATTGAAGGGACCTGATTCTTAAGTGTTGTCAGCTTAATACATTGGAGTTTTATGATATCATTAGAAAGGATTATGTCTGCATAACAGCAATGCATATTGAAGTAATCTATAACCAAGAAGATCACGATTCCAAGCTGATTTTTATGAAATATTGATATGTTATAGTTGCAAATTATAAAAGTACTAGAAGAATCGGTGGCATTGAACATTGGGAAGTCTTTTCTTTTTACCGAAATTTTGTCACAATCTATGCAATATTGTTAATTAAGTAAGCTTTGGCGCATTATCGTGGTAAAATAGCATATATTCACCAATGATGGTTAAATATATGTATAGTTTTTGAAACAAGTCATCGAATTGTAACAATTCATGACAAACGAAAGAGAATCAAAATAAGGGCAATTTATGTGTTTTCCCCTTTTTGCAACGCTTATTTTTTATTTTTTCGCAGCCAGGGCTAATCTATCTAGAAAAATGTATGATGGTTTAATTCTTTATCTATACCTACCCTTTATTTTCAGGTTCTTGTCAAGTTGTCCAGTCTATATTAAATTTTCCTGATAACTTCACTAGAACGCATAACAAGTTTAACTTCAAAATCTTCTTTTCTGTGTCATTTATTTCTAAAAGGGTGCAAGTAAAATTTCTCCCCATAAGAGTGAAGATATTATAGTATAGGCAACCCAATCAAGATGACAGACCGGATCTCAGTTTCGGTTTGCCCATGTAATCACGTGTGTGTTGGTTTTGTGTCATTTTTAACTAAGCTTTTCTTTTGGTATGCCCCATACATTATTCTTTGGTATGCCAACGTCTTGTTTGGTATGATTCTTCATGAGTTTTATGTTATGCTTCGGACCTGTTTACTTGTTATGCTCGGCCGAAATTAATTTGATATGCCCGGCTCAATATTTATTTGATATGCTCGGGTAAAACTAATTTGATATGCTCGGGTGAATCTATTTTTGGTATGCTTGGTGGTCCCTATTTGTTATGCTCGGCCGAAACTAATTTGATATGCCTCTTGGAACGTTGTTTGTTATGCTCGGCTGAATGTTATTTGTTATGCCTCTTCCAAAGATTTATGGTATGCCCGGTGAACCCTGTATGTTATGCTGGGCTGGATCATATATGATATGCCCGGTGATTGTATCTAGAGTTTTGTGATTCACCGACCCTGAATGCGTCATCTTGTTGCAAGCTTTCCTAAAGCTCAATCATCAAGGGACCTGAGGCATGACCGGAACTATGTGTTGAAGGTCGGAAGTGCTTAGCATGTGTGGAAGCCAATGTTTGACAGAGGTGTCCACTTGATATCCTGGTAGTTGCCAAATCATTATAGGAGTATGGCATTTCAATCTGACTGATCAGGCAGTCATATTTGTAGGATAAGATCATGAATTCAAGGTGACCATTTCCCGTTAATTATCAATGTATTACCAAGTTATCTGCAGCTTTAATTGATGGATAGTAGGGTAATAGATTGACTATAGCCAACATGTAGACTAATAGATAGAATACCAGGACTAAAGCGTGAAATAAAGACAAATATTCCACACATTAAACATGCCATTGGTGTACTTTATTAGCTGTATTTCAAGATCCACAACCTATAATACTAATGGGGTTGTCTGAACCTGTGATAGCAACAGTTGCAGCAGCTACACATGCTGTAGCAACGGCTCTGTGATTAGTAGTAGGCATAATAATTACCAAATCTATTTCAGTATAAGTTTACATACAATACCATATGATAAAGCAGACGTATATACAGCTATCCATTGTGTGATCCTAGTATATCAGCTGCCCTTTTGATAACACACGTTCTGCTATTCTACCAACACACATGCAACGTACAATGCCAGTGTTTCTTCATACATTATATCAAGCTTTACTTCATTATATTGGTGGCATTGGCACAACCAACGTTCTTCAGAGCATCATACACCAAAAGAGATCACTATCAGTGTCATCTCCTGATCTTTGCAAGTAATTTGGGTATTGTCATTGTTGGTGTCTATTCGACTATGAAATGTCGTTTGCACCCTTTGTCGCAAGTTCAATATTGCATGTCGCATCTACCGTGTCGCATAAATCATGTCGGATGTACCATGTCGCGTATCTCGTGTCTCATACACCATGTCGCATCAACCATGTCGCATTAACCATGTCGCTGGTACCTACGACATGTGTATCCATGCGACACATATGACAGGCGACATTTTAAGGTTTATCCGATATAAGACATTTTTGACAGAAAAAAGTTTGACACTCAGGAAATGTCGGAATACACATTTTAACTACCACGCGACATATGCGGAAAAGGAAAAGGAAAAGTAGAACCGGAGATATCATAATGTCGCACGACAGTCGCTATTTTTCCGTGTCGCAAAATTCTACAACTAATTGTATGTGTGGAAACTATTGCCAAACACAGCAAAGATATTTGTATAGACATATGGAGACTGAATAAGACTTAGAATGCTGTTATTAAAATATGAGAAATATTACGTAGGATACCGGAACACTGCTGACCCGGAAGTGGGCGATTATCGGGTCATATCGTTAGAAAGGGTCTTACATATAGATCACAAAGCCTGGCTTCCCCTTCAAGGAGGAGCATATCATTAACGAAGAATAACATAAAAGCGCTCAACTACTGGAATAACAAAAAAAGAGTGGGGCAGCTGCATAACAAAAAGATCTTTGTGTTCTATCATATCAAACTCCTGGCATAGCAAAGGTGTTTTTTGTTATGCTGATTATTTCGATATGCTAGCTATTTCGATATGCTAGTTATTTTCGATATGCTGATTATTTCGATATGCTGATTATTTGATATGTTTGACTAGTTTGATACGCTGACTAGATTTGTTATGCTACTTGTTTGTTATGCTGATTATTTTTGATACGCTAATTATTTTGATACGTTGACTATTTTGATATGTTGTTTATTTGTTATGTATATTATTTGATATGACATTTATTTGTTATGTTATTTATTTGATATGTCATTTGTTTGTTATGCTATTTATTTGATATGTCATTTGTTTGTTATGCTATTTATTTGATATGTCATTTGTTTGTCATGCTCTATATTTGTTATGCTCTATATTTGTTATGCTCTATATTTGTTATGCCCTGTGTTTGTTATGCTCGATATTTGCTATGCTGATTATTTTGTTATGCTATTTATTTGATATGTGTCTTATTTGTTATGTCATTTGTTTGTTATGCTGTGTGTTTGTTATGCCCTGTGTTTGTTATGCTCGATATTTGCTATGATATATATTTGATATGTGTCATATTTGTTACGCTTGTTGATGTATTTTTTGGTATGCGCTTTTCTTGTTATGCTGCGAAACACTTTGATATGCACTAGTAAATTTATTTGTTATCCAGCTAGTTGACGTGTTTTCTGGTATGCTGGTTCTATTTATGGTATGATCGTATCTCACACTGTTTCTATACTCTATTCCTCACATCAGTTCGTGTTATATGAACGTAATTTGCAAGTACACTAATTTTCAAAATACAAACTGATGAGCAATTTTGATGGTGTTTTGCTGCAAATTTATACAGAAAACACACACCAAATAGAACACACACATATCTAGTAACTACAATGTAACACATAGCAAAATTAACTCACACTAAGTTCAGCGTATACGTTTCCATTATCATTTCACGTTGTTTCCAGGCATCTGTGGTCCTGTACTGTTAGCAGTAGACAACTTAGTGGTGCTACCAAAACACAAATTCACCACTTTGCACGACCATCGCGGAATTTCCTCTAAATGAACCAATTACAGATTAGCACCTGGTAACAGGTGTTGGTGGACAAAAGGAGACACAATGGACGTGTGTGTCTCTATTATAGTGTTGTAAAATATTGTGTGCTGTCTAGTTGGAGTACTCACATGTGTGTTAGTGTCAATTGCAACACACAAGAACCTCTTAGTGGAGACCAACAATAGCAAATACCAGCTCAGCAATTAGAAGTAGCTATTTATACTGCATCGTTTTCCTTCACCAATCTCTTGCCTGAAATCAAATTCTGGGTACTTTCATGTGGTAGTTTCCTATACTTTGTCGGGTAATTTGCTCCTGTATTTTCGGCTGTTGCAAAAGTTTTTTCTGAGGGTGTGGGATTCAAACACAGACACAGACGCAGGTATCAAATACAAAAAGGGGGTGAACTGACCATACATAAGGGAGTATTCTGAACACGTTAATAATGGAATTGAACAAGATAGGACGGTTTTCAGTAACGTCTGGATGGTTTTAATGGTAACTTTTCTCACAATTTCAGGCCGACTTGGGTGGTTCGGAACGGTGATTCTGGTGACTTGTTTCTGTACTCTCAGTGGTGGTTGTAAAAAATTTAGAAGAAAATACTGCTGGTTCCAATTCATTTCCTGACTTCATTGTAACAATAGTTTGATTGTGTATTGATATCGTTGATTCATAGTACTGCACTTATGTAGAAACCCATATGTCCAGGCTATTCTGCAGAGTGTGATCAGATAGCTGAAGCCCTTATTTGTAGATGATAAATAAAAGTTTTTAAAAAAGTTCGACTAGTAAGAGCGCCTCTCAGATTGTAAGTACAGAGAAAAAATGTCACTCCAGCACGAAAATCTGAGGAGTATCATCGCTCGAGTATTAGTTGCTCCCCCTAAATATATGCATTTCTCGTTACAAAAGTGCGACTCA